TTAGAAAACGCGGCTATTACCAGAAGCCGCACATACTTCATGGAGTGAAGAAGACTAAAAGACTGCAAGCAGGAGTGTGCCGCTGCCCAGCGTGCAAACTGACCACTCAATGAACAGTTCATAAACAACCAGCATGGTTCAGCAGCTACAGCCACGGCAAGTGGGTCTTTTTGGACAGACAAATCACCTTGCCACTACTATGGTACCAAAGTAGGTACCCGCACCAAAAACGCGAAAATTCCAGGGGCGAAGTGGGGGTGCAAATAATACAAGAAGTTTTTGTCACAGTACTGCTTCACAGCAATGCGTGTTGTGCTGTGAAGCCAATCAACAGTGTAGAAAGGGATACGGAGGCGGTTTCTGCAAATTCGTGTTGCTCCGCAAGTAGTATGTGTTATAATATATGGCGCGCGGGGTTAAAATATACAAAAAACAAAACAGTGCGCCGTGCGGTGGCGACTTGTGCGTCGATCCTTTTGAATGTGTGCGCCGTGCGGTGGCGAACTGCGTATGTGCCGTGCGGTGGCGAAGAGGACGGCGATCGTGTGCGCGGCGTGCCTCGAGACGGCGTGACCAGTGCATGGGCCGTGCGCGAGGGCCGGAATTCCAAGGCTGGGCTATCCTTCGCTGGGCGTCCGGTCCATCGAAGAACCCGGAGCCCTACCTCCTGCTGCCTCGACTTAGAGCGCTCCCGCCTGTTCCGCTACGAGGAGATCGGGCCAGGGAACGTGCACGAGGCCGGGCCAAGGCCTTGACGCTGTGTGCAGACGGGCACACTCAGGGTTCGGCCCACGAGCACGCACAGGCCGAGGGCGCCCACCGTGGAGCGGGTCCCTTGGGCGCATCGTCCCGGCATCAACTGCCGCGGAGTGGACCTCCGGGACTTCACGCGGCCAGACCAAGAACCGAGCTACGGCATCGGACAGACGGTTTACGCACGATGTCTTCGACTTGGCGACCTCATCGGCTCCGACAAAAAACTGTACGCTACTGCTTGACTATTTCGCGTAGCACCCCTTATGTCAAATGTAACTTTAATATTTGTTGAGTCCTGTCGTGTGTGTAAAGATGTCCTACGTGTGTTTGTCCACTTGCGTGCTGCATCATTCTTTCTGGAGCGAATCCTGAACCCAAACATAACATCACAGTATGGCAGCTTGCAGGTAATCTCTGTTTCCCTTGCTTGCATCGTTGGAGTGTTTAGAAAAACATTTGGGAGAGACAATTCGATTGTTCAGTGTAAACCTTACTGTCACATTACAAGTATATATTTTTTAATGTTTGCCACCGCAGAGTGACCCTCCAGCACCCTCCACATGCCCCTACGTGACAAACGCCATGTTTACTTTGGCAAAGGGCTTGCCGAAAAGGTGGTGCTATCTGAGAAATGAAAAGAAAGGGAAGGCATTTTTGCAAAGTGAACAATACCCGTATCTTACCTACAACTTTGTACAACCATTTGGGTTCCATGAAAAATCAAGCTGTATTTATTTCAGCGAGACAAATCAGATATTATCAGTAAATCAAGTACTACTGTTTGGCACGGTATAGCAGGCACGCATTTCAGTTCTGTTGCTTCCACAGAGCTGTCACCGAGTGTAAGCACTCGTTGCCTCGCTGGTGTCACCCATTCTCTACATCTCGAACCGTTCGCCAAGACTAAGTCGATCTGTGTGTCACCATGAGTAGCGTCCGGCGACAGTCCTTCACCACACAGCAAAGGCTAAGAGATCATCACCGTCGTCGAGGAATTCAGAAGTCGCGAAGCGGGAAGACTGCACGATGTGGACGAGTCCTGCGTGCGACTGTAGAAAAAGAAGAAGGACAACCTACAAGTCGGGTGCCGCGACTGTAAATAATTTCGTGGCCTCAAGACCGGCGCCTACCCTGAGCTGGAGGCGGAGCTAGTAAAGTTCATCGAAGATGTGAGAAGCAGGGGTGACGCCTTATCGACTGATATGGCCCAAGTGAAAGCGCGAAGACTGTCGAGGAAGGTAGATCTACCTCATGGGTTCCGTGCGAACCGTGGATGGCTGCACCGCTTTATGAAGCGCCAAGGGCTCTGTCAGAAAATGGACTACAATATGTCAGGGCTTGCCGTCTTCTTACGAGGTAAAGCTGCTCAAGGACCAGAGATGTGTAACTGGCTTGAGAAAGCAGCACGATTACATTTTCTTGTGAACCGGCAATGCCGATGAAGCTCTGGTTTATTTTGAAATGCCATTGAACACAACGATTGAGAAAACCAGTGATGGAAGTGACTTTTTTTTTTTTTTTTTTCGGAGCTTTGTAGCAGGAAATGAACTGTTTTAGAGCCAAAGCACGATCGAAAGTAGTGTTATTCATTATATTATATACTTAAAAGACAACAATTAATGTAAATTTCAAAAAGAAAATAAGTGAAAAAATTGGCTGGTTATCGAAAATGTGCTGTGAAATGAGCTATATAATTAAAATACTAGTATTTGTAGCAGAAATCAAATCAAACCGGTAGAGGTGAGCCCCACATTTTAGAAGTAACCACAGCCCCATAATATAACTGTTGCCAAATAAGCACTAGATAATCGATATGAAATAAAAGTTTCAAATTTCGCCATACCATCCTGCAAGTCTAGTTGAAAAAAAAACAAAAAAACAGCCAAATGAGCTATATGCTCAATATGCCAGTTGTTGTCACAAAATGAGATAAGAGCCATTAATTTCATGCGAAGATGCGAAGCAGCTCAAGTCGAGCTCTATCCGGTGTGCGGGGTGATCACCCTTACTACGCATGCTTGTCCGCTCTTCCTCTATCACCTCACAACTCTGAAGAAGGAAGGGCTTGCTTTAATGACGCGCACTAGAATAGCATGCAGTAGCCGTCCTATTTTTTCAGACCTGACGGGAACCGCAAAGTACTCCGAAAAAAAAAAAAAGGTCATGCCGTGAAAATGAAGTTTATTCCGATAAGAAAAGCCTAAAGAAAAATCCCCAATAACGCCATGCTCCATGCTATTCTTGGGGACAAGCAAACTTGGTTTTTATTCGAGCTACGGTAACGTTGCTGGTGGCAAAGTTGGTGGCTACATGGAACCACGCAAAACAAAACTTGATGCCGGCCGCGAAAGGATGCATGCAACCTCCCGCCTGTTCGGTGTAACACACAACGCAGTCTGGGCTTCTCTTGGCTGCGCCGACATCACACAGTACGTGGGCCTTTAGCGTTTCGCCACCATCAAAACACTACCGCCGCGGCCGCGATCGAACCCGGGTGTGACCACGGAGTGCTACTGGGCCACCGCAAACAGCAGCTAGCATGTGATCCGCACAATGGCTCAAAACACAATCGGCACAAAAATGACACGACCATGTGCGCAACGACAACCAGAAAAACAAACGCCCAGAAATGAAAAACAACCTACAGGCGTATTAATAATGATGATGAGGCTCACTGAAATGAAAAAAAGAAAAAGGTTTTGCAGTTTTGCTAGCCAAGAAAGATCTGACGAGGCCCCCGAAACGGGAAAACTGTGCGCACTCCTAATCTTGGAGGCCACACATCTAGCCACTGCAAGCCAGACTCGACCAATTCAACAAAAAAAATCCGACACGGCAGCTTTCAAAATCGAGCGGCATCGCTCAAAACGGCCGATTTAGTCCAGAAAATCAAACTTTGGTACATAAATTCGTCCGCAAAAATAGGTCACGAAAATGCATAAGTGCAACCGGAACCTTCACGGTTCATTTGTAACGTCCAACAAGTCCGTTTTTTTTTTAAGTCTGAAAGATTCGTCGGTGACTGTACTGGGAGATTCTTCGAACAGATTCTTTTCAGTTTTTTAAGGACTTAGGTATGAGCTGGTTCAACAGTTAAAGTTTGTCCTTCTCGTTCTCTCAGTGCCACTTTGGGGCAGGTTTGGAGCAATTACTATGAAAAATTGATGTTTAGAGCAGCATATCTCTTTTGGGGCTGTTTGAAGCAATTGAAGCGGCACTTCCATTACTGCAGGTAGCAGTTCGGTGAGCGTGTTGACCGGCAGGAACATGAAACTGCGCTGCACAGACTTGCTTTGTGCCCTCGCCGACGGCACGAAGCTGCGACCGTACATCACCTTGAAAAGAAAAAGGCTTCCGAAGATTCCTTTGCCTGCCGATGTGGTGGTGCGCGCACACGAGAACGCGTAGATCAACAGTGACTTGTTCATAGACTGCGTCAAGACGGGTTGAGTGAAGAGGCACGATGCGATGCTCGCAGAGAGGCCCATGCTCGTTTTTTCCTCGTTCCACGGCCACACAAGTGAGGAAGTGAAGGACCGTCTTTTACGTAACGACACCGACTTATTTATTATACCCGATGGAACGGCGTCAATATCGAAACCTCTAGATGTGTCGTTTAACAAGCCCTTCAAAGCGCACGTCAACCAAGAATCCCACCATCAGCCTGACTACACCCACTGCATGGCAAGGACCCTCCATTTTTCGCCAATCAACCCGGCCCTAATGTTGTCCAGCAATCACTGGATGGACTTCCATGCTTTGAAGGAACTATAACTGGGGTATGAGATCTGCGACCCACACTGCTTCATAAAATAATGAAATATGACTGCTCGTAGGTGCTACAAAGGGAGCACTGCTGCCATTTTTGCTGCATGTGTACGCACCTGAAGCCACTTAACCTTAGCTGTTTAACCCTTTGAGCCTTAACGACAAAAAGGGTGAAAAAAAAAAAAGCAATGCTACGCAAAATCAGTTTGCACGCTGGAGTCGCAGCAATAGCCTCTGCACAATCTATTTGGGCCATGATCTTAATGAGCAGAAGTAGAAACAATAGCGCTAAGCCTACAGGTAGTTCCACCACCTATTTGAAAGCAATCCGCAACTTAGTTCCCGCTTTCCACGTGCCCGTCTTTTTGAGGTAAAAACTCAGTGCCACCAGGAACCCTTCAGGACCAGTGCCAGGCAGAGGGAGGGCACGGCCTCAGTGGTGGGGTAGCGTTCCGCAGTCCCAAATACGTACCAACCTAGACTTGACCCGCTTCGGGAGCTCTTCTCCTTCGACATAGATGTCCTCGCGCTTGGCTGTCCGCTCGGATTCGTCCTCAAACACCACCTGTGCACGTGGAGCGAGATATCACTGCTTTCGTTACGGGTGCATTTCACACAATGTCAAATAACACCATCTTCAAGTAGCGAACACAGTTTTCAAATGCCTCGCTATTGCTGGCAACAATTGAAAATGAAACAAAGGTGATTCCTACAGAACACTGTGCAACAAATCCAACAGTCAACCCACGCCAGACCCTGCCAAGTGTGACATGGCTACTCTCCATGACCCCCTGTTCCAGCTTTGGGGCCCCATTTTGCAAGTCATCATATGGGAATGATCCTAAGTGACGTAACGACAGGCCACCCAATACATTGGGTCCTATTGAAGCTATGCTGTGAGCAGCCAAAAAACAACACAGCAGCTGGTAAAATGTAGCACGGGAGAACACAAAGACTGGCTTCACCTGCCGTTAAAGGGGTCCCCCAACATTTTTGAGCAGGGTCAGAAAACGCAGCCGATCAGTAGTAGGGGCTCTGAAATCCAGGTGAGCGAAATGTTATAGCGCTGCACGCAGCCTAGAATTTACAATTAATCCTGTAAGTACCTTTCAATATTGCTTCCTCCTCCTTCTACAAATGATGCCATATACCCAAGCATTCTGCCACAGGCTTATTTGAGTACCATCTGCTTCGTAGTTACCGTGCCCGCCACATAATTTTGCCATGTGCCTGCACACTCGCGATCACACTGAGAGCAATGCAAAGAAAATGGTAGGTGTAACCTGAAGAGACAAGAAGAGAGCAGATTGAATTAGGGAACAAACAGGGGTTAAGGATATCATAGTTGAAATCAAGAAGAGGAAATGGACATGGGCCGGACATGTAGCGCGTAGACAGGATAACCGCTGGTCATTAAGGGTAACTAACTGGATTCCCAGAGAAGGGGAGCGGGTTAGGGGGAGACAGAAGGTTAGGTGGGCAGATGAGATTAAGAAGTTTGCGGCTATAAATTGGCAGCAGCAGGCACAGGACCGGGTTAACTGGCGGAACATGGGAGAGACCTTTCTCCTGCAGTGGACGTAGTCAGGCTGATGATGATGATGATGATTAATACCGTAATTACTCGCGTAATCCTCGCACTCGCATGATTCTCGCACCCCCCACATCACCCAACAAAAACACGATTTCTTTTTTTCATCGAGTAAGTATCGCACCCCCGAAAATTGCTGCAATAATGTCGTCTGCTCGTTCCCGCCATTGATGATGATAGCGCGCATGGAGATTCACGGAGATTCAATCTAATCCAAGCCAAGCCAAAGTGACAACTGCGCATCACGGCGTGTTTTGTATGTTGTGTCGGTCTTGTCACGTTAGGGGCGATACTGAAACCACGCGGCTGTTTTCAAGTTGAAAGTGATAGATCATGCACTAAATAACGGCAACAGGGCCGCTGGTAGGCCCTTCAGAGTCGACGAGTTTTGTGATTGCTACTGGTGACGGCGGCTGAAAGCCGCCAAGACACGTTGGGCCTGCCGTTTGCCTAAGACTGGGATCGATGGTAAACTTTACTTCTCCAGAAGGAAAAACTGCCGACGATTCTGTTAAGGGGGGAGGTGGGGATCGAAAGTGAAATTCTTTAGTTTTTGTCGTAGAGCAATGAAATTTGGCATGCTTACTGGAAACTGCGCTAAATGATAAATGACAAAGTTTCATTCAGCTATCTCCAGTAGTTCTGGCATTATAAATTTTTTTATCCATCAGTGTACTACCAAACTTGCCCAAAGCCTGGTGTGACAAAAAAACATGGTAGAAGCCTATAGTTGCTCTTATATTTTAGCCATTGGGATGGTTGATGTCGTGACATTCTGCAAATATTTTTATGACTCTGTTTTTATTTTACAGAGAACATTGTATACATGCTTGTAAATGTGGTCGTTATCATAATGTGAAATTAGCTTAGGAGTAAAAATACTGAGGTAGTAATTAACAAATATGAAAACGTCACGACATAGAAAATTCACTGAGGAACACAATGCAAAAAACCACATAAAAATCCGTCAAGCCATAGTCATGCAAGCATCGTGGCAAGCTGGACAGTGGGGTCAAAACACGTTTCTGAGAAAACTGGCGTTAAAGTTGAACAGTCAGTAAAGGTCCATCAAAATGCCCCGGGACTGTAATACTTTGTGTCTTTGCTTGCGAGGGTCTTCTTACGTCCTTTCTCTTTCATTTTTTCTGCACTGCGTGCTTTTCGTTTTCTTTGCTGGTCTTTTTGAAGCGTGTTGGTCCTTTGAAGTCAGGGACCAAATAACTGAATGCAAGCTTTCCGCCGCATTCTGAGTTTTGTTGCCTTTGCATCGCTCCAACAGTTGCGGGTCAGAGAGACGTTGGTATACAGGCAGCAGAGCCTCCGCTACACGTTTCGACAGGTTATACCTGTGAGGTGGTGCTGGCTCCATTTTGGCCTGTGCTGAACGATGTTTGCACCAGCTATCAGGGCCAGGTGGGCAGAGCTCATGGTGAGGCTCGTCGTCGGTGGACGTGACGTGATAAAAAGTGGCGATCACGGCCCTTTGCATGTCAGGGACACTTGTGTGTTTTCGCAAGGCTAACCCGTAGTAGCTGGTCAGTTTTTTAATCAACTCCTGCGTCAGTCCACCTCTCCCACCCAATGGCTCCCCTTTCTTAGCTCTTGTCACCAGTGTGCGGAGAGCGGTGCCCATTCTCTTCTGCACATGGTTCACGCAGTCTTCTTTGGTCAGCGGTATGAAGCCGTACACCTCATCTTTGCACAGAGCAAGATAGGTTCGGCTGTCACCATCACATATAATGTTGGTGTAGCGGAGGCCATACCTGCTGACAGAGCGCCTGAAAAGTGTCAGAGCAGCCTCCACTTCCATCTGTCCGGAGCCAACATCAGTATTCTTCTGACATTGATGTTTCTCAGCCCAAGTGACGAAGTTGGGGTCGCTCTCTGCTGGTTGTTGACAACACCCAAGACAGAAGTAGGAAAGGACTGTGCAATCCAGCACAAGCCCCGTGTAAAACTCAATAACACATCCTACCCCAATGTGTGAGCTGTGGCCTCTTGTAAGCCACGTGCCGTCATACACAACTGTGATGTTGTTTGGGCTTGATGGCTGCATCTTACTGTACACGTCTTTTACCGCAAGCACAGCATCTGCAAAGATGTTTTGTGCAGCTTCCTCTGCTCCTGGTTTGAATGTTTTTTTTAGGTGTTCCTGATAGGTTTTTTTCAAAAGCCCTTCCTTCGGATTTTCTACTGGATGACCAAGGTGAATGAATAGGGCCACAGGAAGCACACAAAAGTACCAGTTTTACTGCCAGGCCCAATTTTGTCCCATGCTGCACTGACAAAGTCTTCTTACAACATTTTGGGCAGAGTGCAGGTCCTATTAGGGAATTCATGGCAGAAACCTGAATTAGGGTGAACTCATCCTCTTTTGTTGCCGATGTTTGCTCCGTTTGCTGCGCGAACCCGAACTTCCGCTCCGTTGCCGACACCTCGCGAAGTGCATCGCGGACACTGCTGGCTTGCTTCTCGGCGCCTTCCGAGGACACGAAACGAGGTTCCAGGTGTATTTGAACGGTGCGCTTCCGCTGAGGCAAACGATCGCCGACATCCTGGACAGCTGGCACCACGTCGTCGTCCGCCGCCGCGAAAACGAAACTTTTCTCGCGTTCACACCGCACCGTGATGCCGCGGCTAGTTGATGGCCCCGGGTCTACAGTGTCACTGCCAGGCGTCGATTTACCGTCACTTTGAACAGCCGGCACCGCATCGTCACCCGCCGCAGCGAAAACGAAACTTCTTTCGCGTTCGGGCCGCACCGCAACGTCGCGGCTAGTTGACGGCCCCGCGTCATAGGCCTCACTGCCGAGCATCGGCAGCGAGCAGGTGTCGGCTTCCGACGACACGTAGCTTGGTGGCGACGCGGTACTCGGTTCGTCTGATTCAATCGCTGCTGACTGCTTCGTTTTCCCAACAGGAGGCTTGCGTTTACGCTTCCCGTAAGCGTACTTCGTCCGGTACTTCGTCCTGCGCTTCCGGTCCACGCGACGATCCATTGCGGGCGCTAAGCCTCGCACTAGAGAAGAGTTGGCGTATCGGCGACCGTATCGGCGTATCGGCAGGGGATTCGCAAACTATAGTGCGCCAGCGTGTGCGTAGCAGACGTGCGTGCACGGAGCAGACGACCAGCGCAAGCAAGCGCGTCCCAGCAGCCACTCACAGAGCGCGCTCAGTACCACGTGACAGGAGCGACCAATGGGTGCGCGTCTAAGGCGTCGCGGATGCCTTCGCATTTTTTCTGTTTGTGCGTTTATCTTAGCTCGTAGAGTCGTGGTTTCACCGGGAGAAGTACGGCGGTGAAGCAAGCTTTCCAGTGACACCAAGCTTTCCGCGAGCGGCGGCGAAGGCGCGGAAGTATCGCGCTCAGAAATGGGCCATTTTCGCGCAGATTTCAGCCAGCTTTTTGCGATCCGCGGTCAGAAAAACATTTTTTAAGCTTACTTTGAGATCGTTTTCGGCGGAAATATTTTTAGATATGATAGAAATGGTGATGCAGAATCCAAATCTGCCCTTATCCAAAATTCGTTTTTTTGCGAGAATTTCGCGATTTGATCCCCGCGTCCCCCCTTAAATAGCCATCAGCCTAATACTGACATCCTACGCTTACCGTTTGAGGGTTCTTGTTCAGTGACGAACGCTACCGCTACGCCCGTAACGTCCACAAGCTTTGCGTATGGTATTCTAATTCTCGACTATTAGCTTGCACTTTTTGAGTCTCAAATAAATCTCTCCATGTGTTGTAACAGTGCTTTTATTGTTGCTGTAAGTTATAATTAGTACTTTTCGAAGCTTGCTGTTAGCTTAAGGTGTGAGAATTACGACTTGCAGCAAATTCGTTTTCTTTTTCGCTCCGTACGTTTTCGTGAAAAGTTTTCCCCACAGAATTCTTGCACCCCCCCACTTTTCATCGGTATTCCGCTAAAGAAAATGCGAGGATTATGCGAGTAAATACGGTAATATTCAAGCGGCACAATCTTCCTGCAATGCGAGAAAACACAACTTTCTTTACCGTGTACAGGTTGACCGTTTTGTGTCCCTTGAACACAGCGTGATAGAGCTTGCCGTCCGTCCAGTTCACCTGAACTATGTCGCCAAGGTTTGGTGGTCCTGCTTGCATGCAGTCCCGGTCCTGAAAGACGTCCCATTGCTATCACAAAATCACAAGAGAGAAACAAACAGTGACAGCATCAGAACAATTCGGTAATGAGGAGGCCACATCGTCTGCGAACACACAGCAAGAGTTCCCGTCACTGCTACCTTGGACACCCTGTGTTGACTTGTGTTCCCATTCGGATGGAGGAATCAGAACCAGCAAAATAATTTTCCCTTTTTGTTTACTTTCCAGACTTACCGTAATTACTCGAATCTAACGCACACCTTTTTTCCGGTTAAGCGAGTTTATAAATCGCATGCGCGTTAGAATCAAGTACGAAAAAAAAGAACACGGTCATTCTATTGCCATCGGCATTTCCGAAATGGCCACCCCCTATGTGCGTCAGCATAGCGCGTCGGCCATTTCTGCCTATGTCTTTCACATGTGGGGCACTTCGTACATGTTCTGAGGAGTTCGTAATCTTGGTGTGCATTAGCATTGACGGCATAGAAGGGCCGACTCCAAAAACTCGACGAGTGCACCACGACGCCGCTTTTAAAAGAAAAGTCATCGCGTGTGCCGAAACGAACGGAAATCGGGCCGCATCGTGGTCGTTCGGAGTTCCCGAAATGTGCGTGCGGGACTGGCGTAAACAAAAGCAGAAGATTGTCGACAGCAAATATAAAGGCTTCACTGGACCACAGCAGGATCGGTTTCCACAAATTGAAAAGCTGCTCACCGTGTATGTGCTTGAGCAGCGAGCGGCACAGCGGCCCGTGACGACAGAACTGCTCCAAGTGCAGGCTATGCTGTTAGCCTTAGAAAAAGGGCTAATGCGGAGCCAGTTTAAAGCGAGCAGGTGCTGGATACTAACTTTATGAAGAGGAACGGCTTTTCCCTCCGAAGGCGAATGGGCAAATGGGAAAAGTTTTCGGTGGAGTACGATAAAAAGCTTCACTTTTCAGAGGTTCGTCATAAACTTGCGGCACAACAACGGCTACCTGCTTGGGCAAATCGGGAATGCCGATCAGACGCCTGTTTACTTTGACATGTCTAGCACCACAACCGTCGAGAAGAAGGGGTCGAAGCAAGTTCGCGTGCTGACATCGAGCCACAGTAAAACTAGAGTGACAGCGATGCTCCGTTGCACGTCAGATAGACACAAGCTTCCCCCGTACCTCATATTTAAACGGAAGATGCTCCCGAAAGGAGTCGTTTTCCCGAGTGGTGTGATCGTGCGGGCCAACGAGAAAAATGGGTGCGCGTTGCAATCGATGTCTTACTTTTTTTTTTCGTCGCGATAACCTGGTGCGCGTTACAATCGAAGGCGTGTTAGAATAGAGTAAATACGGTATGTGATTTGCTATTTGCAGCAATGTGCCCAGAAAGGTAGTGTTCCCAGGTTCAAATCTTGAACAATGACAAATTTCGCATAGTTTTTTGTTTACGGTAAATCCGTGCAAACTCTTAGTGGGACTTGAGCTTAAGGGGAGACGCGGGTCGAAAAGTCGCGTTTTTTTTCCAAATTTCACCTTTTCTGTTTTTTGTTGCTTTATCATCTTTATACATTATATTTTGACATCTGAAAATATCACAGCGAAATAAGCATCAGAAGTCAGTGAAAAACGCGTCTGAGTGAGCGGCAGTGACGCGCGGCATCACGAAATTTACACAAAACGGGCTGCTGTTCGCGTGCTCGCGGGGCCGCGAAGAGAGCTGTCCGCCATATTGCGGCCGCTGGCTCGTGTAGAGTTGTCCTTACTCTCCACGATCCCGGTTCTTGAAGTCTCGTACGTTCACGAAAAATCTAAAAAAAAAGCAACAAAAACAGTCTTTTCCCGCCGTTTCAAACCGCGCGCCACTAACGCAGGGCCGCCATTGGCTGACAGCACCCGTGTTTTCTTGCCGTAGTTCGCTTCACTGTTTTCCGGAGTTATTTTTCGCTGTTTTCGTGCGATGGCAAGCCCGAAAAAGGCCGTTGCCGACCATCGGAAATACAGAAGTAAGAACAAGTTCAGAGGGAAGCGGCGGAGGACGTACAAGAAAGCCACCGCCAACGAAAATGTCCGCGACGGGCCAGCGGCCGGTAGGCCTAACATCGACCACGGCAACGTCGACCATGGCAACTGCGACGACGAGATCAACGCTGCAGTGAATTTTGTGAGTGCATCGCAGAAAAAGATCGCGTTATTCGAAAACGACGTCAGGCCGAATGCCGATCGTGCCGAAAGCGTAGTGCTGTGCGAGTTGGGTGCATTGACGGCCGTCGTCGCAGGCGCGGCATGCCCCGTTTGTCACGAGAGTAAACTCGCAGTTCGGGCACCGAATAAAAAGCGGAAAGGCCTTTCGGCGTTTCTGGAGCTACACTGCGAGAATGCGGAGTGCTCGGAGAGCATCCTTTCGTCCGCGTACTCGTCGAAGCGGGTCGCGTCAGATGGCGGCCGCGGTGCAAGCAGAAGCTACGACAGCGGGAGTTCGCGTGACGCCTTTGCCGTGAACCTGAAAGTGGTGCTTGCAGCGCGTGCCGTCGGTATCGGGCATGAGCAACTTTCACGATTTTGTGCAGTAGTTGGATTGCCAAACCCTATGCACCATAAGACCTTCCATGCTATCGGCAAAAAGATTCACAGTGCGGCAGTGAAGGCTGTCTGTGAAAACATGCAAAGGGCACGCAGCGTCACCAAAGAGGTGGCTGGTAACAGTGACGTGCCAGTCATGTTTGACGGCACATGGCAAAAAAGAGGCCACAAAAGCCACAATGGTGTGGGAACTGTAGTGTCCTTGGACACTGGTTTGTGCCTGGACTATGAAGTGCTTTCCAACTTCTGCCTGGCGTGCAGTTTGCATAACGACATGGGAGGCGATGAAGAAACATGGCAGGCGTTTCATCATCCCGTTTGTGAGAAGAATTGCGACTGTTCTTCGCATGCCATGGAGGCCGAAGCTGCAGTGCGCATTTGGCAGAGGACTGTGGACTATGAGACACCCCTGCGGTTCACCATCTTCCTAAGCCATGGAGACAGCAAGGCCTACAACGGGGTCTGTGATGCCAACGTGTACCCTGACACTCCAATTGAAAAAGAGGAGTGCACCAACCACGTGGCGAAACGTCTGGGCACCGGCCTGCGGAAGCTGCCAACGCCACTTCCACGAGGGGAGAAGCTGAAGGAGACCACCATCCAGAAGCTTCAAACTTACTTTCAGGTGGCCATTGTGAACAATCGGGGAAATGTCCACAAGATGTACACTGCCATATGGGCCTCATGTTTGCACTCGTGCTCAACAGACGGTGCTGGAAGTCACAAGTTCTGTCCTGCAGGCCCAGACTCGTGGTGCAAGCACCGACGTGCTGAGGCGCAGGGCCAGCCTGCACCGTGCCACACCCCCCTCCTGACCAAGGCCCAGGGTTTGGCAGTCCTCCCAATCTACAAGCGTCTCACAGATGCGAAGCTGCTTGCCCGGTGCCTCCACGGCAAGACACAGAACGCGGCCGAGTCCCTGAACAGCAAAATATGGCTGCTGTGTCCAAAGACCCGGTTTGCTTCCCGGACTGCTGTGGAAACAGCCACAGCCATTGCAGTCCTGTGGTTCAACCGGGGCCACGCGAGCTTTGAAAAGGTGCTGGAAGAGCTTGGGGTGCTTCCTTCGGAGGCCCTGGTTACCCTCAGCGACCGCCGAGACAGCATGCGCATGCACAAGATGAATGTGCGTCAGACCGCTGAGGCGAGGGCACACCGTCGCAGTGCAGCCAAGAGGGCCCGGGTGGAAGAGTCCTGCCGCACCAGCCGGGAAGGGAAAACCTACGGTGCTGGAGAGTTTTAGACAACTGATATTCCCTCTGGACATGTGTGTATGTGTTCAGCACAAGTTTCGTGCTACTGCGTTTTTCATTTTTGTAAATACAGACTTTCAAACTTTCAAACGCGTTTTTCTCATTTCGCAATTTTGGCCAATTTGCATTTTTTGCGGGAAGTGTTTCGGGCACTTAGAATGGTCATACGACGACGAAATTTGGCACACACATTGAGGAGAGTGCGTAGGGTGCCGATATCTACTTGAATCAGCACAACCTATCAGCTGTAAATATCTATTAATAAATTTAATGGTGGTCGAGTGGAAAAAAAAGGGTAGTTTGCTACACAGATGTTTTTTTCATAGTTTCAAAGTTGGAGCACAATTTCTAGCTAGATATCGGCACTCTATGGCTAATAGGGAGCAAAAGGAGCCATTGAACAACTCTCTGCATGAACATTTAGTATGCGCGAAAGTTCCCGGAAAACTTATCAAGTTTCACCATTACTTGAAACACAACTCCCAAACTATTGCACTTATGTAAAAACTGATTACAGATTTGGAATCAGGAGGAAAAACTGCATCAGTGGTCCAATTTCTGAAGCTCTAAGTTGAATAACAAAAAAAAAGTGCTTTCGAGGAGCGTCTCCCCTTAAAACACATGGATGACAGTTTCTCCCATCGATGAACCTCAAAAATGTAGGCGCTGCCTCCTGGCATGTGCCCAAATGGTTGCACACTTACCACTATGTCCACTGGCCGTAGGTTATCGCACGAGGAGTTGTCTTCAAAGACGACCGAGTACAGGTCCTCTCTGCGGCACTCCTGCACCCGTCCCCAGTAGTAGCGGCCGTTTTTGTGCTTGGCCACCACACGGCTGCCGGGCTCCACAGGAGGAAGGGGCTCGGCCGGAGCGCGCTGCAGTGAAAACAGTAAGCCCGTCAAGGACACTTGAAATATTGCCCGCATATTTATGCATTTTTGTAACTGCTACAATTGTTCATATATGCCAGTTTGAATTGTTTGTAATTGCTATAAGTAATTGCCCTATGTTGTAATAGCTTTGCAATTGCCCTAGGCTTTAAATTTTAGCTCCCTCACATTCTTGTGTCTACGCTTTTTTTTTTTTTTCAGCAATCATTCGTACTGATGTGTTTAGTATTTGCTGCATTTATGAAGGGTGTTGTATTCAAAGTTAGTCCAATCATTTGTCCTTTGTCCTGTGAACTCTGAACCCCCCCCCCCAATCCCGCCCCCTATGTAATGCCCTGTTTAGGGCCTTTAAGTGCTGATAAATGATGATGATGATTGCCCACGAATGGCTCAATGCTTCAGTAAGATTTTCTCCAACGCTGAATAAGCATGCAAAAACGTGCCATGTAATGATGTCTTCCCAAGGCTTGGTTATGCTGACAGAAACGCTTCACACAGACTATTACAGTTAACCCTTTTATAAGAGGCATGCTCTGGGCAGCAATTCTCGTGTCTTACACGAGATGCCTCTTATAATACAGTCAAACCTCAATATATCGAACACGGATATATCGAATTATTGCCTATATCGAATGGTTCCTATATCACGCGGGAAATCGCATGTATTATTGATTTTTTTTATTTCGAACAAAGTTTGACATATAATGGATATATCGAACTCAGCCACCCCAAACCGCCCGCGCTCCATTGACAGGCGGCGAGCTTTCCGCAACTCTCGAAAGTAGCGGTAGAGCGGCGGGCGTTTACGAATGCTGCACACATCGATGGCGCCGAGAGCATCACTTTAACGTAGCGGCGTACGCGCGCCGCAGCCTTGCGGTAGAGGTTCCTGAGTGAGGAAAGTGAAGAGAAAAGTGCGAAGCTCTCATTTTCTTTCAATACGAAGGCACCGACACGGCTTCGCGCGGGGGAAGCGGGAGTGGGAGGTAAAGATTGAGGAGGAAAGTATAGGAGGGAAAGGACGCAGACGACTGTCTCGGACGCGGCCCGCGCTGCCGCCGGGAAAGGGAAAGCAGTCAGGCGAGCTGGCATGGGCGCGCCATGTGCGCGCTTTACACCCGGGCTCGCGCCGCAGCCTTGCAGCTTGTCTCTATGGTGTTAACGGCACACTGCGCACTTGTTGCAAGCTCCTCCCTCGTAGCATCGGCAGGCATCGGTCGTTGTGCTCGCAGTGTTCGTGCGTTCGGAGTTAGGCCTGTCGCGCGCTGTGGTGCGCGACAGGCCTAACTCCGAAAGGCGGAGCTCACGGATGTGGAGATTGTCGCCGAAGCTACTGCTGAGCAGCCAAATGAAGACTCTGCCGAAGTGGATCCCACAAGCGCTGATGGTGCCCCGCTCCCGACATCAGCTGAGGTCGTAGCTGCCTTGGCCCTTGTGCGCCGCCACTGCGGCGCGATTGAAGGCACCGGCCTATCACTTATGGATCGCGTGGACTATATTGAGGACGCAGTCGTCAAACACGCCATGGCCAACAAAAAGCAGGCTACTCTTTTTCAATACTTTAAACCAACACAATAAATACTATGTTTGAATCTTTAAGTGAGTATTTACTGCACCACGCTTGAACGGTTCGTTGGTCGCTTTCAGCAAGCTGTTGACGCATTTTTTTCGTGATTTTTTTATATCGAATTCTGGATATATCGAACTATTTCGCGATCGTCGCGCCGTTCGATATATCGAGGTTGGACTGTACGCAGGGCACCAAGTATGCACTTTCTTTACCCGTATTTTACTGGAGGCACACTAATGTCTCTTATACCCATTTGTTTCTTAAATTAGTGTCTTTTACAAAGGAGTTCAACTGCATTTGCAGCAAAACCTGGAAGACATGAAAAAATTGAAAGCCGCTGAGCCCCATAACCGCGGTGTGTTGCTGTTTTGAAGGAACCTAGCATGCTGAGTGCAAATACTGCTGGACCACAGCACACGCTACCTCCCGTGGTGTGACAAGTGGTGAACGAGTGGTGTCCTCCCTGACCTTGGTGTCGCCCTGGGTCGAACCGTGCTTGATGCACTTGATGAAAATGGGCAGCGGCCAGTCCGAGGTGAAGAACGAGACACCCGCCGCGTGAGCGCACGTCACGTGGAACGCCGTCGTGCACTTGCCCGACGTGCACTGGATGCAGGCGCCAAACTCCAGGGGACAGCCGAGCCGGTCCCGTAGCTTGTGGCAGTATGTGCAGCGCTGGGAAGAGCAGGAACACGGGTTCATGAGGGGATGGCGCACAGCACTCCCGCGGTTTAGAGAGACGACCAATTTGTATAGTACAGTAGAGGCTCATAAATTCAAGATTAGTTCATTCGAACTTACAATTAGTTTGAGCTGATGCCCTCAATCCGGAACAGCCCTCTTTCTATGAGAAAAAAAACTTTCAATATTTAGAGCACCTCGGTATCCACGATGAATTCGAACTGGGAGCACCTGGTTTTTCTCACTCCTCGAAACAGTTGGCCCAGAGTGCCCACAACGTGTTGCAGAACCGAATCAAACCACACTTACTAGAGGCGCAAAAAAAAACAGAACAGAAAGGAAAAGCAGCATTCCTCAGCAGATAAGAATTCACACAATGGGCTGGTGCTTGAGGTCAAGCTGCGATTAATGCCTATAGAGTTGCAACAGAGAAAACGCAAGCAAATGCAAGTTGCTGTTTACTTTTTACTGTGATTGCATTGACTCATCATCATCATCATCAGCCTGACTACGTCCACTGCAGGACAAAGACCTCTCACATGTTCCACCAGTTAACCCGGTCCTGTGCTTGCTGCTGCCAATTTATACCCGCAAACTTCTTAATCTCATCTGCCCACCTAACCTTCTGTCTCCCCCTAACCCGCTTCCCTTCTCTGGGAATCCAGTCAGTTACCCTTAATGACCAGCGGTTATCCTGCCTACGCGCTACATGCCCTGCCCATGTCCATTTCTTCTTCTTGATTTCAGCTATGATATCCTTAACCCCCGTTTTTTCCCTAATCCACTCTGCTCTCTTCTTGTCTCTTAAGGTTACACCTACCATTTTTCTTTCCATTGCTCGCTGCGTCGTCCTCAATTTAAGCTGAACCCTCTTTGTAAGTCTCCAGGTTTCTGCTCCGTAGCTAAGTACCGGCAAGATACAGCTGTTATATACCTTCCTCTTGAGGGATAGTGGCAATCTACCTGTCATAATTTGAGAGTGCTTGCCAAATGTACTCCACCCCATTCTTATTCTTCTAGTTACTTCAATCTCGTGGTTCGGCTCTACGGTTATTACCTGCCCTAAGTAGACATAGTCTTTTACAACTTCAAGTGCACTATTACCTATCTCGAAGCGCTGCTCCTTGCCGAGGTTGTTGTACATTACTTTCGTTTTCTGCAGATTAATTTTAAGACCCACCTTTCTGCTCTCCTTGTCTAACTCCGTAATCATGAGTTGCAATTCGTCCCCCGAGTTACTCAGCAATGCAATGTCATCGGCAAAGCGCAGGTTACTAAGGCATTCTCCATTGACTCTTATCCCTAACTGTTCCCATTCTAGGCTTCTGAAAACCTCCTGTAAGCACGCGGTAAATAGCATTAGGGAAATTGTGTCCCCCTGCCTTACACCCTTCTTGATTGGTATTCTGTTGCTTTCTTTATGAAGCACTATGGTAGCAGTTGATCCCCTGTAGATTTCTTCCAGAATGTTTATATATACTTCATCTACGCCCTGATTCCGCAGTGTTTGCATGACGGCTGATATTTCTACTGAATCAAATGCCTTCTCGTAATCTATGAAGGCTGTGTATAGTGGTTGGTTATATTCTGAGCATTTCTCTATTACCTGATTGATAGTATGAATGTGGTCATTTGTTGAGTAGCCTGTTCGAAATCCTGCTTGTTCCTTTGGTTGATTGAATTCTATTGTTTTGCATTGACTATTCCATGTAAATAAAGGTGTTTTGAAACACAGAAATAGCGTTAAACATTTAGACATTATGGCTCACTGCTCACATGAATACGTCGATGCTTGTTCCTGCCGCAAGCCTGATCAATTAATTATGTTGGCTGTTAAGAGCTCCATGAACTTGAGCAAAATCACCTGCCAAAGAGGTGCAGTAGCACCTAATTTGAAATAATGAGTCTAGAGGTGGCTTCTTTGACTTCTACAAACACAGTGTAGTGTGATGTCCTTCATTGTAGCGCCTGTCCGCCAAATCAAACTCCGCTCAAGTGCGAGTACAACCGAATGAACCCTCTGCATCGACCACACAGCGCAGCCACCGATGCATGTCATAAAACACAACTTCCAACTCACCAGACGGGCCCTCTGCGGTGTGACTCGGAGAACGTCCACGGGAGAACGAGCACGCTGGTCGATCAGGTGAACCTCAGGCACCAGCAGGGCACACAGCAGGTGCACCCAGCGCCCGTGAGTTGTCTGTTTCAGGGCACCCCCACGCAAGGAGCACAGGCAACACTCCTGCGGGAAAACAGAAGAGAAACATGTATTGGGGAGTACAGGTTGCTGCGAAATGCTCTTACTAGGCGATTGTCTTTTAATGCGTCAGCATTAGGAATGCCGAGACAAAAAAAGGCAGCGCGTGCGCGATTGCAGTGAAGTCAGTTCATGGCAGAGTTCAACAACGACAATTCAAAGCGAGCTGTTGACTTTTTTTGTTGGGTAATGCCAGAAGTGTCCACCAACAGTGACCATGAGACTGCATGTGGGTGCTTAAAAGCCATATGCGGGAGGTGGTGCCATGACAGAGAGGGAAGCCTGAAGCGACTAACAGAAGCAACTGAAGACAAAAAAAATGTAGCTGACAGATTCCCATATCTAACAGTCTATCCCAATAAGGCACACCCCGATAGTTTTTCCAGTACATAAACGACGAACAATCAAGAAGCATGGACACACTTTCCATGTTTATGACTAAATGGGGCGGTAGGTTCACCGAGACGTGATCAACTCTGACAAACCCTCAAACACTAATAAACCCACCCCTTGTAATGAAGGTCGAAACCCATGGAAGCACTTCTTGCTTGGAAAAGGCTCTTTCAAAATAAGAATTTTATAGCAAAAATAACGAAGCTACAAAATGCTCGTGTACAGGAGGAGGCCATTTATAAACTGCAAACAGACTATTAGTAGTAGCCAATTCTAGGGAAACAAGTGTACATGTGAGGATAAAGCTTACCACACTGATAGGCTGCACAGCGCATCGGTCGCACTTCCAAGTTTCCTTGATGACAGGAACCGTGACACCATAACAGTCTGACAGAAGATGGGCAGACAGACAAAAAAAGTTGTTTTATGCGTGAGAACTGTAATATTCTACAACCTTGAGAATGAGCGAATTTCAGAACCAGGTTTCATTTCTTGATGCTTGCAACAACTGGCACAATCACTACAACGGCAAAGTACACAATACCATTTATTTTCCAAGTGGTCATACCTTTATATAACAAACCTGGATATAATGAAATATTGGTTATAACAAAATGAAGAACTAGTCTTGTATAAGGTATAATGTTAGAAATATGCTTCTGTAACGAATTTCTGGAAACTTATTTTTGTGCAAGATTAAACTTTGTTATAATGAACTTTGAGCGTATATGAAAACTTCACTTGATCTCATTTTTAATAAAGCAGCTCAGAGAGTGTAAGTTCATGGTTTCAGCTTTTATAGCACAAAAGTTATGAAGATTAAAAATTGCACTTTTTTATTTATTCCCCCAAAAAGCAGCTTCACCCCATACACAAGGTGGGCGAAAAGGAATTAACCTTGTTGCAATTCTGCCCTCACTGATATCCGTATCGCGAAGAACACTGTCGCAGACTAAATTTGTAACAACAAGCTTTCCTCCAGAGTTTTCTCGTGATCCGCAGTGCTACCAAAAACCAAATGGTTGTCATACGTGAGTAAACGCTGCTTTACAAGACAGCCGCAATCTTTCAGAAAGCATATGATCTAGTGTTGTACAATACTCTGAACTTCACACTCTGTGATCATAACTCACAGACACTACGAGAAGAGTCACCATACCTACCGTAATTACTCGAATCTAACGCGCACCTTTTTTCCGGTTAAGCCAGTTCATAAATCGCATGCGCGTTAGAATCGAGTACGAACAAAAAAATTACGGTCAATCTATTGCCATCGGCAAATTCAAAATGGCCGCCCCCTATGTGCGTCGGCATGGCGCGTCGGCCATTTCTGCCTATGTGTTTCCCATGTGCGGCACTTCGTACGTGTGCTGAGGAGTTCATCTAGTAGTGCATTAGCATCGACGGCGTGGAAGGGCCGACTCCAAAAACTCGAGTGCACCACGATGCCGCTTTTAAAAGAAAAGTCATCGCGTGTGCAGAAACGGACGGAAATCGGGCCGCATCGCGGTCGTTCGGAGTTCCCGAAACGTGCGTGCGGGACCGGCGGAAACAAAAGCAGAAGATTGTCGACAGCAAAGCTTCACGCAAAGACTTCAGTGGACCACAGCAGGGTCGGTTTCCGCAAATTAAAGAGCTGCTTGGCGAGTATGTGTTTGAGCAGCGAGCGGCACAGCGGCCCGTGACGACAGAACTGCTCCAAGTGCGGGCTATGCAATTGGTCTTAGAAAAAGGTCTAATGCGGAGCCAGTTTAAAGCGAGCAGGTGCTGGCTAACTAACTTTATGAAGAGGAAAGGCTTTTCCCTCCGAAGGGGTACATGCATATGCGAAAAGTTTTGCGGAGGAGTACGATGAAAAGCTTCACAGTTTTCAGAGGTTCGTTCTAAACTTGCGGCGCAACAACGGCTACATGCTTGGGCAAATTGGGAATGCCGATCAGACGCCTCTTTACTTCGACATGCCTGGCACCACAACCGTCGAGAAGAAGGGGGCGAAGCAAGTTCGCGTGCTGACATCGGTCCACAGTAAAACTACAGTGACGGCAATGCTCTGTTACACGTCAGATGGGCACAAGCTTCGCCCGTACCTCATATTTAAATGGAAGACGCTCCCAAAAGAAGTCGTTTTTTTGTTTCGAGTGGTGTGATCGTGCAGGCCAGCGAGAAAAATGGGTGCGCGTTGCAATCGATGCCTTACGTTTTTTTTTTTTTTTTTTCGCGGTGGAAATCGGGTGCGCGTTACAATCGAGGGCGCGGTAGAATCGAGTAAATACGGTATCTAAAGATCGTACACTCCTGTTTGCAAAGAGTTCGGCCAGCAAAATGTTGATGTCAGTGCATGTATTAAAACTAGATTTTGTCATGGCCCCTTCGATAGGCTCTGGCTACACGTTACCAGAACTGATTGCAAAGGCCACATACAAAAAGAAGAAGATGCTGTGCGATCTGAAATAACCTATTGACAACAATACAAATAACAGGGCATGTTTTATTTCTAAGGCACAAAGCATTCATTGCTACTTGATCTAAAAAAATAAAAACAAATAAATAAAAGGAAAAACGATAGTCACGTCAGAAGTGATCATAGCATTGAACAGTTGCCAACCATTAACGATGCCACATTATCTTCAAAACCTGTGTCCCCCCTTAATGAACTGAGCGACTGAGCTTCAGCTTCGCACTGTCTCAACTCCAACGCAAGCCAGTGGCAAAAGCAGGGCAGCGTTATTGCCAACGCTATGAAGCAATGGCAGCCACCATGCTTACTAAACAGTGGCGGTCTCTGGCGGTGCCAACGCTTCTTTCAGACTTCATAAACATATTTTTATGTTATGAAAATTCACATGTTCAAGATCGCGTTTACTACATGGCATTCAACATCTGAGCCTGGAATTGCATCGTCACATTTCATTTAAGCGGAAGGGCACAAGGAAAAGTGTCCGTTGTGCCAAGAATATTTATGCGCGGACGCCTATGAACTGCTGACGGGAAACAGAATTTTTCGTTGTACCAGAAATTTTGTTGAACAGGTGTTCGTTGCAGCGAGGTTCAACTATAGTGCTATCATCAACCTGCAGCAACGATGGCCAGACCATGGCTAAAATATAGCCCGACTTGGTCGTGAGTAAGCATCCATGTGTACAGACGCACACTGACACTGACAAAGTCTTTCTGGCCACTAGGCCAATAGAAGTGCCTTTTTTTCTGGTGAATCCTCGTGTGATTTTTTTTTTTTCAGGCTCTCAATTCTTAAGATTTTTCAGCAATTCCAAAACAGCCTAAATAAATGGCTAGTGAACGTATTTCTTGATGCGGGTGCGTCTGTTGCAAGAAGTCTCACCGCCGGAAGATTCCATGACATTGCACCCGATGCATGGAACAGAGCACAGTTCTGAGAGATGTAGCATGACTCACGTTTGTGAACACAGACTGAACAGGAGGTACAAATGAGCAGCTCGCTCGACTTGACGTCGGTGTCGGGAATCTCTGGCATGCCCACTTCGGCACTGGTCACCACGTCCAGGCCACCGTTTACGAAGCACACTGCGGGCATCCACACGGCACTAGACTCCGGCACTGTCGGCTGCTCTCTGGGCGTTTCCTCGCGTGAATACTGAACGGCAGGAGAAGAAATGCACGAAACAATCACCACTCGTTTCTTCAAACCACCTAACATAGAATCAGCTGGAGCAAGGTCACATTCCCAGAAAAGGTCTCATGTGGGTGAACTTTTCTCTACCATTACATTTCATAAGCAAGCACCCCAGTAAAGGCGCTATAAATAAATGCTTCACAGCGAGAATCCAAGGGCACAGGGATCATCACGTGGTGAACACTTGCCCACCAGAAAGGTGAACACTTGCCCACCAGAAAAGGTAGCTGAACCACATGAAACGTAATAGGGCACCTTCACATCAAAGCAACAGCAGGCAGAAGGATAATTTGTGTAGCAAATTAACAATGCTATAATACCATACCAAAAATGCTTCTTGTCATGAAAATAAAGTTTAGAGACAACAAAAAACATGGTTAAAATAAAATAACAAAAAAAAGGTGGCCAAAGCTGCCTTAAAATTTGAAAATGTCTTCTTGGCCTTTTTTAGATTTTTATTTTTAATCAATAGCGATAGATCCCACTGTATTCAAAGAGAGCTATCGACTGAGCAAGTTTGAAGAGCTCCTGTGCCAGAAAGCCCTCCTCCCCACTCAGTAACAGAAGATCTTGTGAAATACGAAAACTGCAAGTCGGACCTTCACTTGCGGCTCTAATAATAAACCTATCACCCCACCTGGATTGGTCGGAAGAGCAGGCAGAGGGCACAGTGCGGCTCGAGGGTGGAGGAGTACCGGTTGAGCTGTCGCTCGGCATACAGATTGGCCGGTCGGAAGCTCCACAGGTCCATGTACGGCGCTGCCCAGCTGCCGGGCTCCCTCGCCCCGAGACTGCCGTTGCCATTGTTGTTGTTGTTGTTGCCACCACTCATTGTGGTTGCGGCCGCACTGCTGCTGCTGCTGCTGTTGGCCTTTGACCCAGAAGTGTCCCCTCCGGAAGACCACCCTGGAAGGCAACAACAGAAGGAATTCCCCATTCACCACATATTTCCCGTAGATGGCAAAATGCCCAGATTCCTTTTACCAAAGATTATCTGAACTGATCCAAAGATCTAGACTAGATTTTTCGTTAATGCACAGGCTGTGTTACATTAACATGACCCAATATTTAATAGTAGCTAGAGCTTTGCCGAGCTAAAATTGTGATGATTATGACACGTGCTCTAGTGTGGAGCACTCAAAATAATTCTATCTGCAGAACACACGGTACTCCAGCACGCCGCACAGCATATTGTGTTTATCATATTGCGACCATTAGTGGCAAATTATTACACAGGCATAGGGCACTTGCCAAAATGTCAACACAACGGACACGAGAAAAGTGACAGGACGAACACCAGACTGCACCAAAATGAACACTGTCGACCTTTGTCACGCCCCCGGCCAATGTTGACATTACTGGCCACTGACTCTTCACCATTGAAGGTGGAGGTGCCTTTGGGAACAAACTTTATTGTTTCTGGTGGGATCTTGATAAGAATTGGCACAGACACTAAGAATGGCCTCAGAGTGCTTTCATAAAAATTTCAAGGCGATAACACAAAAACTTGATGAGAGACAAATTATTTCTGGATTGAACCTTATGGAAGGGCTGGAGGATTCATAAAATGACCTAAATAGTTGGTAATTACTGTATGCACAGCTAAATGCATGTTGAAGCGGGCTGTATTTTCAAAATATATATATATATATTTTTTGCAACACTAGAGCTTGTAGTTTTTTCTCCAGCGTCACTGCAATGAGCACACTCGCACCACAAACAAGAAGCCCTACGAAAGAGTAAAATGAAAAAAAAAAAAAAAAAAAAATTCAAGCACAGTTAAGGAGCGTCGCAAAACGAACGTAATCAAAATCTTTGAAGTGGTTGCCAAGATATTTGCTCCACGAGCTGAGCATAATGCCAAAAATATAGAATTGAGAAAACTACCTCACAAGTTTCACCTTCTCTTTACGTCTCTAAAACACCTAAAAATTGTGATCTTTGGTTTGTCTAGTGGTATTTGACTTCTCAGACATATGAATTCTGTCCAATGTGCCTTTGTTGCCCTTGACAGAAAAGACTGTAACTGAATAAGGCCATATGCTGAAATGATTACATATTTTTCTTGTGTTCAAGCTGTCATTACTGTAATTAAGTACTTCTTAATTACAAATAATTACTGAACGATCTTTATACAGAGACAGGTTCACGGCATCAGAAAATGACTCGCACCATGACAGCCTATGCCTTCTTTCCAAATAACGAACAGTTATGGGCAGGAAACATGTGGTACAGGAATGTTTTTAAGAAGTTTATTGATATTGATAGACGCGAGTCGGTAGATAAAAATTCGTACCCCTGCTTCATACATGTTCTTTTGCCACTCTAACCGTGAAATGCATCATCATACGGCCGGTCGTAGAAACACTAATCTACAAAGCTTTATGGTAATAAGGGCTGCAGCGCGAGCACGAAGGTGCTAGAAGAAACAGACGAAAGGCGAGACACGGAAAGCAAAGAGGACAACACGAGCGCTGAAACATCTATCTAGTTTAGTTTTGAATGACCCCTACCACGTCCGTAATTCGCAAGAAGTTGTCAGATACCTCAAGGATCATAATCCAATTGGGTGCCCTGTTTTAAGTACAGCGCTCGTGTTGTCCTCTTTGCTTTCCGTGCCTCGCTTTTTGTCTGTTTCTTCTAGCACCTTCGTGCTCGCGCTGTAGCCCTTATTACCATGAATTCAAACCAACTAGCCCAAATAGCCATTCTTCTTAAAAGCTTCAATTGTTTCAAAACATTCATAGATGCTCGCGGCGATACAAAGTATGGCTCCAAGCTCATCTAAATCATATCACTAGAACTTATTGACAGTACTCCATATTATAGCGCGGCCACAGAGACAGTGCAGCCGGCGCGTGATGTGCTTGACGGCGTTCGGTGATGACGCATGAAATGTGTAGCTACAATGACGAAAAATGGGCGCATGCTGTGCTTGGTATCACATTTTCGAGTGCCGACGCACGAAACTGCTAGCCCCTGTGTTGAGCAATCCTTGGCAGTGAAGGGAGGGTAGGTCTCATGAGCTTGATTGTGGGATCCGCTGCCTGCATAAAATGCCCATCCGATGTTGCGAGGATGGGCATCGTTGCTTGCAAAGAAGCACGTTGCAACTAACGCATTAGCGCTTTGTTCTTACTCAAAGCCCGAGGTTCGTCTCACCGTCAGCGGAGTTGGGTCTAAAAATGACTCCAAGGGCGCGGTGCACGGTCTACAAGGACGGCACACCATAGCCATCTGATTGATCATCCACTTACAGCTTTTAACAAAAGTGTAATTACAGTTAAACCTGTTTATAATAAAGCTCCATATAACGAATTCCTCGATATAACGAAGTTTTTCTATTCACGGCCGTCGATCCACAGAAGCACATACATTTGCAACCTCTGTGTAACAAAGTAACAGTGGGAGACAACCTTGATATAACAAATTTGCCCCATGGAAAATCTAAGAATTTTGCTCCGCATTTTGTATTTTTGGTAAGAGCATGCATCTTCCGCAGCTGCTTCGCTGCCGACCAAACGTAGAGCGGCGGCGGCGGGAACGCAGCGCCACGTCGGCATGAGGGGGACAGGTGCGTCTGCACCCCGTGAGCCTGGGTTGCCGCCGTTCTACCTCACCCTACTTAAAAAAAAAAAAAAAGCTTTTGCACATTGACAGTGCCACGCCTTTAGGTAGCGTCACATGTGCGCGGCTGCACTGCATATAGAGGGGGCTTTACCGAATAGTTTTCCGCGATATCCGTGTCCGTGTCCTTCGCTCTTCATTTTTCACGCCGTGCACGCGTGCATTGCACACGAATGATGTGGCCCCCCCGACGATGTTCAGCTTTAATTGCTTTTCTTTTTCATTGCAATAGCAATTATGTATATGGACAGTCTCGGCTGGTTTTTTGCAGCCATCATTCATCGTATATGTTGACGCATATGTAATGAAAACCCAAAAACAAAGCCACCCGCGCTAGGCGCCCAGCTCATCACGCGTATTTTGCCCCACGAATAGGGGGGGGGGGGGGTAAATACACTTGCGCTTACCCTTCGGTGGGGTAAATAGCGCCCTTTCAACGTTGACCGAAACGATTGCATTTAGTTGCCGGGTACACAAAGATCACTTGGCTCGCTGGACAGGCATCGTTTGCGAAAGCAGTGCGCTTTTTAAACACAGCGAAGTAACAACTGACGCACTTGTTAGTTCTCACTTATTAAGTTTTCTGCCTCGTTCTTGTTTAAACAGTGCATTAAGTGTCGAGCGATAAACACTGCTAGTTTGCTATTGTCCTGTGTATGTTGTTTTCGTGCATCATTTGTGCAGGAGCAGCGCGCTGCACGTTTAAATCTGCTTGCCGTTCTAAGCGTAATTACATTCATTGCTTCGTCCTTGCGGCAGAACTGTGACTTTTCTTAATTTCGAACAACCGTGTCCTCACCACCGAGGGGATGCCAGATTAGCCCCGATTGAAACTCTCCGAGACAACGGTGACGAAGGGTCTTGAAAAGGTGGACTCGTCACACGCTTCCGTTTTGCGCAGCGCCAAGAGTTCGCAGGCTGGTAGCTTTTGCGATTAGCCGATTAGTTCTGGCAACACGACCACGCGTTGAATGCAATACAATGAACGTGATAGCAAAAAATTGTAATGTTATAAGAAGTAAGGCTGGCAGCCAACTTTTTTGGATCCGATATCGCGGAACACCTACAAAATGCAGGAGTGAGTAAATACCGTCGCTCCAGGAAAAAGTGCTTTTTTCACACAGTCCCTCCGCGTTGAAAACATACTGATACTCGCCGAGATAGCAAGCGCCCCAGCGATTGCGACCACCCTTAAAAGCAAAGTTCATTATTGCTACTCAAGCGATGCCCCCCCCCCCTACCCGCATTGTTTCATGCTCGTTCAAGACAGGTGGTTTATTTCCTGTTTGAGCATTCGACGGCAGTTCTAACAACACGCGGGAGATGTTATACACTTTTCAGGCAATAAAGATAGGCCGACTCATTTGATCTCTGCTTCTGCAGCGCTCGCGCGCTTTCGCCCGCCTGTGAAAGTTATGATGCGCGGGGGCATATGTATTATCAATTTGGACCTATTGCGGAAGTTGGCAGCGACGGCAAAACCCACCACGAGTGCCCATATAATTGTTATCGCAATAATAACGCAATTTTTTACAGTAAAATAAGCGTTTTTGGTTTGCTCTGCCTTCGGTCCCTCTTTTATTAATATTTGCACGCTTATTTTCCAAATTTTCGTACGGAACCTGCATATAACAAAACTTTCCTCATAATGAATTTTTCCAGAAATTTGTAAATTTCGTTATATCCAGGTTTAACTGTATATGCTAAGTGATTGTCAAGATGTGAACACATCATGTAGAGATTTTAAACAGCCGTGTGCTCACGACGCATAAGCAGCAGACGGCGATGTCCCGGATCGAGCATTGGGCCTGTGGCGAGGTGAGCCGAGGCAACATAAATTGCTCAACGTAAAATTCCTCAATTAAAATTCGTCAACGTAAAATTCCTCCTCAGGCAACGTAAAATTCCTCAAGCATTTCCTTTTTGCGCATTTTTGTCTGAACAAAGAAGCCAGCTGAAGTGGGGATTTGAACACGGAAAAATGCTCTTTCTGATGTGACCAAACGGCCAGCTCCCAGCCACACTATCACGAAGGCATAATTTTTTGAAAATCGTCGTTTTCTCGCAATTCCAAGAATAATTTCTGCCACCTAGGAGGGCAAAACAAATCTTTTGAAGCACTTATGCATGGTTTTCAGAGTAGGTATTTTGGAATTGGATAGAAAAAGGGTTCCTATGTGTGTCAAGACCAGGTGCCAGGGTCAGACCCTACTTGTGAAAGTACGCTTCCCGATTTGTGTGCATCAAGGCTGTGTCCAAGCTCACCTAGCCGGTACCACACGGTGCATTGTGAAATGCAACAGGGCTCAGGAAGGGAGTTCGAGGACGAGCAAACCTCTACAATTCGGCCTTTTCGGTCATCACACCCTGGCTCCTGCCTTCACCAGACTGCTAACAAAGGACACTAAAGCAAGTTTACAACGAGCGCTTGGCATGATATCATTCCCACCCAGCTTGTCTGCCTTGCTTACAAACACTTCCTGCTCAATTACCAGGTCACGTAGACAATACAATAATGTTTGAGATTTTATTTGCTAACTCCAGGATATGATTATGAGGCACGCCGAATTGGAAAGCTGCAAAATTTTGGACTCCTGACATCACACAGTACTCTTGACATCGCAGGTCTTTAGAACTTCGCTTCTTCAATATGCAACTGCCATGTCGGGGATCAAACCTACAACCTTTGGCTCAGCAGCAAAAAAAACTTTTGCTTCTAATGCCAAGTTCTTGCGTGCGCAAAGTTGCTACAACCGCTACGCCCGCAGCTCGTCTTTTGTAGTACACGCGCCGGCCGCAGTTGCGTGGGGGCTGAGAGGAGGAAAGAGCCAACATTCTGTGAACGCGCTGTTGGGCGAAAGTTCCACACATGAATTATAAATTTTTTTTCTTTTACACCATGACTATGACTCACCTTCGTCACTGCTGTCTTCCCCGGGGCCCTTGATGAGTGCCGGATGCGACTTGTGCTTCTTGGGTGCAGGGTGTAGGGGTTGGCGTCGCACGGCCGTGCTCAGGCACAGCTTGCGCGGCATGCCGGGGGTGCGTGTCACCTCCTCCTCCTTCTCATTAGCCACCTGGAGTCGGAACAACGAAACCAACAAAGTCTGTCTGCATTTGTAGCCTGGAATGTTGCTATTCTGCACTGCAGAGCTCCCTACGAAATTTACTGCAGTGAACTCTGGCACTGGCGTTAGTAAAGAAGCACAGGTTTATACAGGCTAGAACCAGGGTAAAATGACAGAGCACGATGTACTGGGGGAATTGTGACTTCATTTACGACCACTTGGTTTTCTTCAATGAATACCTAAATGCAAGAGCACTGGTGGTTTTGCAATTAAACATCGTCAAAATTCCACAGGTATACCTTGGTAGTTAAGCTGCAATAATGGGTATGATGGTTGCTAGGGCAGCATAGGAGCAATAGACAAGGCATTGATTAACCTTACATCTTTCTGGCTTTTAATTAAGAGCTTTCTGACATTATCACATGGTTGAATTTCAGCAAAATACTGTTTAAATAGGTAAAACAAGTTGCAGCAATTATGAATCTACATACATACTCAACTATATTGCTCTGTTTATAAACCCATGACTGCCCGGAAATTCAGCAAGGTGATGAGCAAGACCAAGTAAATTAACAAGGCAATCATCCATCACACAAAAGCAAAATGATGGCAGCAAAAGAGGTCAGATGAATCGGCAGTTTTTTTTTTTTTTTAACTGTATCCTGGACAATGTCAAACTTCGCCACATTTACATCTCTTATCCACTTATACGAAGCAGCTCCACGTTAACACAAAAAGTTTCCAATACCTTCCAACACAACATGTACAGTAAAACCTTATTGATTCAAACTCTGTTATTTCGAAATCCTGCTCAATTTGTAGTATTTTCCCAATCCCATATTTTGCAACGCAAGTTTCAGTGAATAATTTGAAGTGGCAGTTAGCACCAGTCCGGTTAATACGAAAACTCTGGGTGCAGTGTGCCAATTTCTGAAAGAGGTTTTCCTGTATTTTTTTTTTCTTGGTGGCGACAGTTTCTCACTTGCCTGTCACAACTATCAAATTGTCTTTCAAAGCAGCATGCACCACTTACTATATCACACACTGAACACAAAGGAGAGCTTTAGGTCCTCGTTATGAACACCTTTACACGTTGAATACCACAAACAGATTTGAGCAGCAGTACCGCGCTACACAGACATCTTGTTACAGTGATCGCAAGAGGAATGCCCACAACTTCCAATGCAATGAAAAAGAAGAGCTGGTTGCAACTTAATAAAAAAATGTAAGTTCTGACCACAGAGAGAATTTGCATAAACGCTCCCTCCAATAACACCAACCCACTTTCACGACATCGAGCATCACAAGTGTTTCAGATAATTGACTTTCCCATACACACACAAATCTGCTGCTGGTTTAGTGGCAAAAACTTGGAATGTCCCGATTAATTCGCACAGTAATGATGACATCGCTTCTCAGCCAAGTGTAATGTTTTAGGTGCTAATATACCCATTACTTACACTAGCCGAAAATATACTTACGGTTCAAGCGTAAACCAGCCAGCACAACTGTCTTTCACCAGTGAGCGGGAAGCGTACAGCAGTTCTGTGGGCTGAGCTTACATTTTTTGGGAGATTGCGCCCACTAGAGTACATGCAACTTGAATACGGGCACAATGACGTCAGCTACCGCAAATATTTTTACAAGGCAGCTTTTTTCCGTAAACAAAAAGTCATGCAACAAGCATTTGCAAGAAAAGTGATGTTCTCCCAGAACATCACTTCGGTACCGAAACTGCCATTTCTCTTGCCAGGGTTCTAGCGCTTGGTAAGCAGCAATATGCACACGAGCTAATACTTCCCAATGCGCTGGAGAAAGGGCAAGCTGTCTGTCAGGGAGACGGAAAGGACAGCACAGACAAGTGAGCATGCAGGCATTGATAATGCTCTAAGCGAAAATTGGAAGGTGGTGGGCTCTAGCACGACACACGAAACAGGCAGGCAAGTGGATGTGCCCCACAGTTTCAAATTATTAAATGACAATGCTCAATGCAAACATGACAATATTTAACACACGTAACTGAATATCTTTACCAGATAATTGCCATTGCTTTCTTCAAGTCTGTTTCGAAGCCTTTTTCAAAGCCGTTTGGTCAGTGATCAATGCAGCGAGCCCAAGATAAACCAATCAACATGGGCCAAAAGTGATAGCAGGGTTTCGATACACGTGACAAAGTGCATTTGGTCGTGCAGCGATAGTTTCAATTATTAGTTTTATTAATAAACAAGAGGACAGGGAGCAAGCACTCAAAAGCAGCGATCTCTAGGAAAAACGAAGAGCTGTCCAAAAGGCTGGCAAACAGGCTCAAGACCACACTTTTCCGGTCTCTACGTGGGCACAGCCCGCAACTAGGACTGCGTAGTTCCTTAGACCCTAAATAATCTTTGTTGACTGACTGACTTACTGAAAAAGAAATGAACTAATGCATGCGAATTCGAAGTAGCACATGCATGCACCAAAACCCCCTCCCAAGTACATTTACACAGGAGAGCATCGTCTAATGCAGTCCTGAGCTCTTCTGGCACAAAATGACTGCTGATGCAAACGACACCTTGTCGAGGTCAGACCAAACTTGTGAAAGTCCGCTTCCCGATTTCTGTGCATCGAGGCAGCGTCCTGGCTCACCCAACTGGTCAACCCTTTGCACGGCGACATGCAACGAGGGCCACGAAAGGGAGCTCAAGGACTAGCTAACCCCTACAATTCGGCCTTTTTGGTCATCATGCCCAAGCCAACGGTGTCGCAGCGGCATTCAGTCATCCGAGAATTTTTCGCATAAAAAAAAAATTTGCTTTTTCAAGGAAACCGTTTCGCTGCATATGTAATTCTTCACAGGCTTCAGTGAAATTGTTTGACACCCAGATATGTTTTCCATTTCGTATTCTGTTTTCTATAACTGAATTTCCCTCCCCTCTTCTTTTTTTCCTGGTACATAAGGCTGCTCACAACCAAAATATAGTAGTTCGTTTGCGCGTCCCTCCGTGAAGTCTGTTTCTTTTTCCCTTGCCTTGCAGTGAGTCCATCACAACCATGAAGATGTACCAACTAGCCTCCCCTGCTGCCTTATTATCTTAGAATAGCATTCTGGCTTTGGTTACTCTGCTGCGAAAATTAACAAGCTCCACATTTGATTGATTTGATTTGTGGGGTTTAACGTCCCAAAACCACCATTTGATTATGAGAGACGCCGTAGTGGAGGGCTCCGGAAATTTTGACCACCTGGGGTTCTTTAACGTGCACCCAAATCTGAGTACACGGGCCTACAACATTTCCGCCTTCATCGGAAATGCAGCCGCCGCAGCCGGGAATCGAACCCACGACCTGCAAGTCAGCAGCCGAGTACCTTAGCCACTAGACCACCGCGGCGGGGCAAGCTCCACATTTCCTTTCCAGCTTCACTACTGCGTCCCAACAGTTTCTGACTAAGCCTCCAAGATACAGGCAACACGTTTGCCATCTCGGAGGCCATAAAGAGTTATAACAAAGTGCCAAGAGATCAGTGACACACAGTGGTAGAGGATTACTGGAACCGTTAGGAATCATGCACAAATCAACGAGTGCAGTACAGACAGCATGCCAGTTTAAAGGGTGCCAAGAGAAACATAGGCCGTAGAAAGAACAGTGGCTAGTAAGAATCGATTTGCACGTAGAAGTGAAAGGAGGGTGTGTGGCTGTGTTTCCCAAAGGGCGCCGAGGTGCGGTGGTGTACAGGGGAGAGGCCCACCTTCGAGAAAGGAAGCGCACTGGTCTCCTCTGGCGGGGAAGGAGGAAGAAGCGGTGCCAAATGGTTGGGAGAGGGCGTTGGTGCGGGAACAAGTGCCTCCACCGGAGTCATCAGGGACCACTGGTCGCCCAGACTACCCCCCGGTCCCAGGCTCTGTGGTAAAGCCACAACAGCACCAGGAGTCAACCACGTTGCTTTGGATCTGCCGTTTGCTCTGGTATTCTACGCATACAGCGCCTCCTCACACGTTTCTCTAACAAGGCACACGCTGCAGGGCCCTCAGAAGAATCCTTCAACTTTAACGTGGGCTGCTTGATTTTTGTTTTCACTCTGAATACGCGCAGATGCCGCCATTTTTACAGCTTTAAATGTGCCATAATCAGCACATGTTATGAAATCCAACTGTTACGAAGCAGATGACATTAGCCTTTGAAGAAGTCAATGGTTGGGGCAGCCCGGCTGATATCCAATAGATATTCAAACACCAAGTGCCTAGGGCCATCAGCGTTCGACAAAAAGTACTGAGAAACCTCTGGAATTGTAATCACTCAGCTGCCATGCGAATGTGGGGTGTTACATGAATGCAACCAATCTTGATGCCTGTGCCATCACAAGTTTTAGAGAAGTTACCGACTGAACTTCACCTGAAATTCCAGGCGATTGTAGCTTTTTTAAAGTCTAATGATACACTACAATGAGTACCCACAGACACCCACAACCATTGCAAGTTGTTGCACTTGTACCGAATTATGTTGTTTAAGATGATTTTATGCTTAAAAATCTGTATTGATCACGGAGCCATTCGAAGCCTGGACAAATCTTATGTACATCTCATTCCCACATTGGCTCAACACTACAGTACAGTAAAAGCATAATAATGCAACCCTAGTTAATTTGGAAAATTGGATAGTTTGTACATGTTCTCAGATACCAGGAATTGCTTGCATTACTTAATGATATCAAACTTTTTCATACTTTCTTCATGTTTGGTTGCAAACCTGCTAATGTGTACAATCTTCGGAGCAACACAAAAAAAAATAAGAGTAAAAAAAGACAGCATTCGCAAACACCGCGTGCCTTCAGATAGGCATGGTCACCGTCCATGATTATTCATTGGAGAACCAGGTTCATTTCAGCTTCATTTTGAATCAAGGCATTGACAGCAATGTCAGAAAATTCAAACGCAAACGTGGTGAAAGCTTTCGAGTGTTAGTCGCAGTCTATATGCAGGCATAAAACTCACTTGCTACATTGGATATGGATGAAGGACTCGCCACCAACAACTCCCCCCCCCCCCCCCCCCCCCCCCCCCCCCCCAAAAAGCGCCATGTGTGCATGATTTATGTTGGTGGTGGCTGTAACTAATCAGGGATCTGCACGTTTCTGCTAATGACACGAGACCTTGAGCTCCTGTCGCATTGAGAACAAAGTCACGAATGACAAGAATTATGGCTTTTACACTCCTATTGTGTGTAATAAGTACTAAATATACATATTTAAGAGGAAAATATAATAACCACTTATTTATTGTTTTCCTGAGACTTTCGATTATTTGGCATTTGCTTAATTCAGACATTTTTTCCAGCCCCATGAAATCCATATTTAGGTACTTTTACTGTACTGGCAACTGATGTAGACTAGCAACTAAGCTTCCTGAAGCAATTTTTGTAGCAAACCATGGCAAAAGCTGCATCTAAATGATATGCAGCCAGTTTTGTGGCTCTCCACCTGCCTTGCATCTAAGTTTTTCCGTCTTCTCCAGTAGCCAACGGGGGCATTGCCGCCAAGATTAGCATTAGCGATGGTGCACATAGAAGAGAAGTTCTCCATGCTGATGCTTAAAATATCTGGGCTAGGTCGAGGAATTCGACAACGTACTGTACATGATGAAGCACTGAGGTCAGCACAGCAGGCATAGGATAACAAAAGAAGACGCCAATAGACAACTAAACTAAATTTCACCAAAGGCCCTAGCAAAACAAAAACGCAGCTACATTGCACACATTGCGCTAGCATTCAGCCATAGCCGACCCAGAGCTACACTTATCTGCAAGGACAAGCCTATGTTCCATTGTCCAAGGAGGTCGACCACACATGACCAATGTGTCGCATGGTTCCCTCATGACAGGTGCATCTACAACGGAGGTCAATAGCGGCCTAGATACTGCAGTGGCCAAAGCAGTGCACTACTGCCGCAGCAGATTAAGGTGTTATAGCATGATGCATAAGTGGCTGTTTCATTGCACATCTACAAACACAATGCCGCTGACCTTATGTGTAACAAGCAGACACTACAGTGCACTAACTACAATGCTGCATTCATGTACATTAAGGTATCAGATAGTCCAACTAGGGGAAGAACAGTCACTCTGTCCCCCCCCATCGACCAAAGGTAGAAGTGATTATTTGGCCAATGCTTGCTAATTATTCTCTCAAGAAGCACACCAAATGGCACTCTCGAGAGAGAGCAACTTACAAAAAACAAGAATAAAAAACAAAGTTGAGATCGCGAGATAATGAATGGCCTTGAATGTGAATCAAGTGTTCTCCAATGTTCTCGCTGGTCCAAGCTAAAGCACCGACTTACGCAGTATTGCATCTTTCAATCAGGGTCATTTGTGGTGGTGTTTCAGGCAAAAACAAAATTTCACTCGCCCAATCCCATCCATGCTTCATCTCTATTGCCTACAAATACCGGACCACCGATCATCGCCGTCAACCGAGTCCTCCAACGGAACTCACCAATGCGGGCAGCTCAGCAGTGTGCTGGTACACATCCTCACAGCGTTCGGCGGGCAGCTGCGTTGGCTCCGACTGAGAGGGAGCCTCGGCAGGGGACGCCTTCAGGGGCTCCAGTTTCGGAGGCCCCTTGTATGCCAGAGGCTCCACCACTATGCTCAGCTCCTACACAGTGAGAACGCCACGGTTCCTCTGTGCGCTACCGCAAAAGCATCTCAGTTCAGTCCGCATCGTGCGAAGCGTTATCAGAAGCAGACAGTGGCATATAACTTCCTTGGCTTGATTCCATAAATTGTACCAGAGACGAGGCATCAGAAAGCTGTGACTGCAAAGCGTGCTGTAAGCAAAGGCAAGCATAGAACGTCGCTGACTACAGTGAGTGGCTGTCCCTCTATCACCAGGGTGCCGTTTTCTCTACGCTCTAGCTCTGAAACACGACGCATGCACAACAATTGCACATTGCAACTCCTGCTGCCTTAAACGTCGACACAGAACACAAACTACCCAGTCCCCAGTAATTGCTCACCTGCATCAAGCTAGTGTACTGGGCGGGGTTTCTGCTTGCCGGCCCTTTAATGGGACAGGCATCGCCATCGTTGGTGCTGTTGGTGCGAGGCTTGCGAGGCCGCTTCTTGTCGCGACCCTGTGCTGCCCCCTTGGGCGGGCCTTTGCGCTTGGAGAGCGACCCCTTGGACGGCCGCCGCTGCTTCTTGGTGTCTTCGTCGTCCTCGGGGTCGTAGATCTCAGTGCCGTCAGTGTCACCGGCATCCTCCTCGGGCACGAGACAGTGTTTGGACAGCACAGGGTGGCGCTTTGATTTGGACTTGATCCTGGGCAACATGGCCAACACGGTGAGCTGTACTACCAAATTTATTCGTCGCTGCTAAGCCGCAAAAACCAAGACTCCGACTAATTTGCGGTGGCCCAGACAAGTACCGAAAATGTGTCACTAATGTGGAACTTTCAATTATACGTCCCCCGGTGTCGCGACGACCCACATTTTACGAAGAATCAGTTTGGTCTTGGCAAAATACCAATTGACATGACGTATTAAAACCCTTGGTTATTCGACACAGTTTTACTATGATTTTCAGATTTCGCCCGAAAAAAAAAACCACATTTTACTCTGATCAAATGTCGACCAAATATTCACGAGTGCTAAATACGAACATGTGTTGCACTAGGTTCACGACTGGAAAAGTAGAGAGTGAGACAGGATGTCTTCTTAGAATAAAAAATTCATTCTCCTGCAAGTTCTTGCACTCTGACGTATGCCTCGATCCCGTGTGTACATACTGGGATTGTTATTTAGTCAAGCTCTATCCACGCAGAGTAGCTTCTGCTGGCCGAAAAGCTGATATTTTCACGTTTTCGATCCGTGGAAATTTCCCTGGTCGACAACTTTCCTGATCACCTGCTTTTGTCGCACTCGCAGTGACAGGCTTGCACATGCATAAGACATGCTGCAGCTGTTTTCACTGTGTAAAATTACTTTCACTTGTCCCCGTTCATAATAAAAGCAGGACACCACAAGGCAACAAATTACCACACGCACAGCACAGTTGCGCACAAAGGAATTCTACTTAATCTCGTGGTCCTTCACTATTAGGTTTCGTTGTCACACGCAGGCAATCTTCGGACTTTATTTATCGGTAGAAAGATGCCCTTCGGAATTGATTTTCTTAAGGGGGCAGACTGGTCTTTGGGATCAAAAAGTGACAAAAAAAAATAGTTTGACATACACTGATATTGACATACACTCAAACCTCTTCATAACGAAGTTGAAGGGGAGCCACAATAATTTCGTTATATCCATTACTTCATTATATCGATTATAACAGTTTGTGGCAATGTATGCTCAAATGGGCGCACACCTATAAGCATGCAAAGAAGAAAACTGCCTCGCGGCGTAATGTACTGCGACACGACCACGCGTGCGACGGAAAATAAACTCAGTCGAATCTGATTCATTCGAACTTTCGGGTAATTCAAACTCACGCTGAGGTCCCGTCAAAGCTATGCGTATTCCAATGAGCGAAAACGCCCTGTAATTTAAACGCACAAGCACTTGCAACGGTTAATTCGAACATACTGCGCTCCGAAAATGCTCTCAGCACCACGCCCAATCCTGCGGCGGCACCTCTCCACGCTGCGCGCGAAGAAGGAAAAGGAAAGAAAAGGCTGTGGCGGATTATTTGCTCTCTCTGAAATGCCGATCTGCGACGCGCCTGTGCAACACCCCCGGGGGTGTCGGCTTGTGCCACACTAAGTCCACGCTTCTCCCTTTTCAGTCTCTGCACGTATATACAGACCCTTTCCCTTTCAAGGCCGCACCCAGAGAGTCCTACTTTCTCGGTGCAGAGAATAGCAGCAATGGTAGCAGCGGAGATGAAGTCGTTGCCGTCGTGATAGGGAAATCGCTTTGCACCGTGTCCTCAATCCTTCCCGCTGCATGAGTAAGGAAGACTGCTCTCTCGGCCACGTGGGGCGTGGCTGTAAAGTCGGCGCAGGAGTTTTGAAAGAGCAGTGCCGAACGAGCGTCAAACTTCACAGAAAACGATATACTTAACATACTACGGTCCGTTTTTCTTTGATAGACTAATTTAGTTCGTTACATCCATGTACCGCTCAATTTTACTTTGTTACGAGGTTTAAAATGCATGGTTCTCAATGAAGCTTTCAAGGGGAATTTCATTTACTTCCTTATATCCATTATGCCATTATATCCTGTTACATTACGGCACTTCTCAATGCGCAGCGTTGAGAGGTGCCGCCGCGGGATCGGGCATGGTGCTGAGAGCATTTTCAGAGCGCAGTATGTTCGAGTTAACCGTCGCAAGTGCTTGCGTGTCCGAATTGCAGAGAGTTTTCGCCCATTGGAATACACATAGCTTTGACGGTACCTCAGCGCGAGTTCATATTACCCGAAAGTTCGACTCCATGAGATTCGACAGAGATTATTTTCCATGGCACGCGTGGTCATGTAGTGGTACATCGGGCCAGGAGGCGGTTTCCTTCTTTGCATGCTTATAGGTGTGCGCCCATCTGAGCATACATTGCCACAAACTGTCATAATCAATGTAATGAAATAATGGATATAACAAAAGTATTGTGGCTCCCCATGAACTTCGTTATAACGAGGTTTGAGTGTACATTAAAACTTGAAAGCCTGAGGCAGTGTGACACAAGCCTTTCTCAAGAGAATATTCTTACGTGAAAATGACACGAGGCGTGTCTATTTAAAATCTATATTTAAACTGATGCGTATGGCGTCGGCTAAGATGGAAGCAGCGCGCACAACCAACAGACCACTTCCTCGTTATCGTCTTCTGACTGCTGATACGTCAGCTACGTAGCATTACCCCCCCGGCGGTAAAAGCGCCGTCTCGGAGCACATTAACTACGGTCTTCATACGCATACGTTTCATACGCATACAAAACGCATCAGTTTAAATATAGATTTTAAATAGACATGCCTCGTGTCATTTTCACGTAACATCTTTTGGTGGACGTGCTGGGTACTTCCCTGTCTTCATCACGAAGCTCCGCAACGGCCGCATCATCATAGGTTCAACCATGTCACAGGTTGAACAACCATCGTCTTCGCCACCTGCCCCTACCGTGACTTCTACATACGTCGTTCTACCTCCTGCTCGTGATCCCGGTGTATTTTCCGATCAGGATGGCGTTGACGTCGACAAATGGATCAACCGGTACGAACGGGTCAGCGCAAGCTATAGGTGGGCCCACCGCGAGGCCCACCGCGAGTGTGGTTCGAGACGCACGAAGCGGAGATTACGAGCTGGGACTTCTTTCTTTAAAGAGAAGATCTGCGACCTTTTTGGCGACACCGTTGGGCGGCAGATCACAGCGCGGAATTAACTGGCGGCTCGTGCACAGACGTCGACGGAGTCGTACGTCGCGTACATTCACGACGTCATCGCCTTGTGCTGCCAGATTGACGAGCACATGAGTGAGTCGGAGAAAGTGGCCCATGTGCTGAAAGACATAGCAGACGACGCATTTAATCTTCTAGTTTACAACAACGTTGCCACCGTCGACGCCATCATTAAAGAGTGCCGGCGGTTCGAAGAAGCTAAGAGCCGCCGTATTACTCAGCGATTCACCCGGCTGCCCAACATGGCCGCGACCTCATCGTGTGAAGCCGCCCGCCAGTCCCCCACGTATGACAACGTCACACGCATTGTTCGTCGGGAAATCGAAGCCGCCTGTCCGGCTCCTCTTGAGCCACCTGTTTTCGCAACGCTCGCCTCTGACCAACAACAGCCGTCAGTGGGGTTAATACAAGCTGTGGTGAGGCAGGAGTTTGCGAATCTCGGACTTCCATCAGCATGTCCCTTGACTCGCCCTGAAGCCCCGTCCTACTCCCGAGGACACGCTCGCCGTTCACCTCCAACAATGCCCTTCCGTAACCCTTCGGAATGGCGAACACCCGACGACCAGCCTATTTGTTTTTCCTGCCACCAGCCTGGGCACGTTTTTCGCTATTGCCGCTGCCATTGGTCAAACCAACCACGTCAGACTTTCTCTACCTCGGCACTCATGCATCCGACGACCCCTCAACGTTCAGTCGCCGCACCCTTCAATTTCTATTCGTCATCTTACGAGCCTTCCACTGACGCCCCTTTGCCCGGTCGCCGCTACCCTGACGCCCCTTCGTCCGGTCGCCGCAGTTCTCGCTCCCCGTCGCCGCTACGTCGCCAATCCCGCTCTCCGCCACCTCGGCGCTTTTCCTCGCAGAGCTTCTCTGGACGACCGCAGCAGGAAAACTAGATATTGCAGCTTATAGAGGTGAAGCTGCAATACCAATGACGGCCGAAAATCCTCTACTGACGCTTCCCACGCACCATAGCCTGCTTGAAGTACAAGTCGACCATGTTCCTGTGACCACCCTCATTGACACAGGTGCGCACCTGTCTATTATGAGCGCTTCTCTACGCTGCCGCTTACAAAAGACTATGACGCCACCTGCGACGCAGGCAATACGTGTTGCCGATGATGGTACTGTACCAGTAATCGGAATGTGCACTGCTCGTGTCAGCATTGCCGGTCGTCACGCCGTGGTCCTTTTTGCCGTGCTAGCCTGCTGCCCTCATGACCTCGATTTCCTTTCGGCACACTCGGCCTTAATTGATTGTTCGTCTGGTACCCTCAGCCTTGATCTACCAATCTTTGCCGACTACTCTGCAAAGCCCACCAGCCGCTTGAGCCCAACCACTTTCGTTCGCCTGCCACCTCGAGCCGTCACGTACGTGTCTTTGTCATCGACCCCTCCTGTTCCTGACGGTGATTATATCGTTACGCCAATTACTGACGTTCGGCTGACGCGCAATGTTACTGTGCCCCATACCGTCGCGACCATAGCGGATAACTGAGTGTTACTTCCGCTCCTTAACTTTGGTTTTACCCCTCAAGTGTTGCCCTGCCAGATGTCTCTAGCCCAGCTAACTGCCATAACAGAGGACGATGTCAGTGTTGTCGCTGTATCTGCTCTTGATCAAAGCGCAGTCTCACGGTCACCCAGATCAGACGATGCTATTTTTCGAAACATGAATGGATCGGAGCTGTCGCCTCACCAGGCCGATGCCCTCTGCCAAGTTTTGGCCTCATACAGTGACATTTTCGACACTGACGATCGTCCCTTGGGCCAGACTAAAATTGTCACTCACCGAATCAACACTGGTGACTCTGCACCCATTCACCGTCGACCGTACCACGTGTCAGCGTCAGAGCGAGAAGTGATTCAGAAAGAAGTGGCCAAAATGCTTACGAAAAACGTAATTGAACCATCAACGAGCCCTTGGGCATCTCCCATGGTATTAGTAAAAAAGAAAGACGGCTCATGGCGTTTCTGCGTTGATTATCGCCACCTCAACAAAATTACCAAAAAAGACGTGTACCCTCTACCACGCATTGACGATGCCCTTGATTGCCTCCATGGCGCCACCTTCTTTTCATCTCTCGATCTCCGATCTGGCTACTGGCAAATGGCTGTAGATGAAATGGATCGAGAAAAGACCACCTTCGTTACCCCTGACGGTCTTTACCAATTCAAGGTCATGCCATTCGGGCTCTGCAACGCTCCAGCGACCTTCGAGAGAATGATGGACACGCTCCTACAAGGATTTAAATGGTCGACATGTTTGTGTTACCTGGACGACGTGATCATTTTCTCACCTACTTTTGCAACCCACCTTGAACGCCTTTCGACCATTCTATCCATATTTCGACGGGCCGGCCTGCAGCTCAATTCCTCCAAGTGTCACTTCGGTCTTCGTCAGATTACCGTATTGGGTCACCTTGTTGACGCTGCCGGCCTCTGCTCCTACTTTTGCCGGTTCGTGAAAAACTTTGCGGCACTCGCCCGGCCACTCACTGACCTTCTCAAACAAGACGTCCCATTTTCTTGGGGCCCTCCTCAAGCTGACGCCTTCTCTCAGCTAATCACTGCTCTAACGACACCTCCTATTCTTGCCCCTTTCGACCCCGATGCTCCCACAGAAGTGCGAACAGACGCGAGTGGTCACGGAATTGGTGCAGTTTTGGCGCAAATTCAGCGGGGCAACGACCGTGTAATCGCGTACGCAAGCCGTCTGCTTTCTAAGTCTGAACGCAATTATTCTATAGCAGAACGAGAATGTCTCGCTCTTGTTTGGGCAGTTTCGAAATTCCGTCCTTACTTGTATGGCCGCCCTTTCCGCGTCATCACAGATCATCACGCGCTGTGTTGGCTTTCTTCTTTGAAGGACCCCACTGGACGACTTGGTCGTTGGGCATTACGCCTACAGGAGTATTCCTACTCGGTTGCTTATAAGTCTGGACGTCTCCATCTGGACGCCGATTGCTTATCCCGCTACCCTGTTGATCAGCCCGACAAACCAGACATCGAGCCTAGCCTTAGCGTCATGTCAATGTCCCAGTTTCTTCAGATACGTGATGAACAACGTCGCGATGCTTCTCTGCGACAACTTATTGACCGTCTCGAATCTGCTCCGAACGACACGTCACTTCGCATGTACGTCCTCCTGAATGGCACGCTGTACCGTCGTAGCCTCCAGCCTGATGGCCCTGAGCTCCTTCTTGTCGTGCTGAAAAATTTGCGTTCAACCGTGCTGCACGAGCTTCACGATGAACCAACTGCTGGTCATCTGGGTGTACCTCGGACGTACGACCGCGTGCATCGCCGCTTCTTTTGCCGCGGTCTCGCCCGGTCCGTTCGCCGTTACGTGTCCTCCTGCGATAAATGCCAACGTAGGAAGCGACCTACTGTGCCCCCGGCTGGACTTCTTCAACCGATCTCCATCCCAACCGAACCTTTCTTCCGTGTTGGTATAGATCTTCTCGGTCCTTTTCCCCGAGTCGAAATCGGGCAACAAGTGGGTCGCCGTTGCTATAGACTACGCGACTAGGTATGCCATCACTCGAGCGCTCCCCACCAGCACCGCTACTGACGTTGCGGACTTTTTGCTCCACGACGTCATCCTACACCATGGCGCTCCTCGCCAATTACTCACAGATCGTGGCCGTGCATTTCTGTCCCGTGTGATCGACGATCTTCTGTGCTCTTTTTCGACGCACTACAAGCTGACCACTTCCTACCATCCCCAAACAAATGGCCTTACCGAACGGCTAAATCGGACCCTAACAGACATGCTCGCGATGTATGTGTCCTCCGACCACCATGACTGGGACCTGGCGCTACCTCACGTGACCTTCGCGTACAATTCTTCGCGCCACGACACCACTGGTTATTCACCCTTTTATTTGCTTTATGGCCGTGATCCGACGTTACCACTCGACACCTTACTTCGAACCACTACAACGCCGTCAACCGAATATGCACGCGACGCTATTGCTCGTGCCGACCACGCACGTCAGATCGCCCGCTCTAGACTTTCGGCTTCGCAAGCCACCCTGAAAGCCATCTACGACAGCCGGCATGCTGACGTTCACTTCTCACCCGGTTCTCTTGTTCTGTGGTGCCCAGTTCGTCGAGTTGGCTTATCAGAGAAGTTATTGTCTCGCTACATGGGTCCTTACCGTATTATCCGCCAGGTAACCGACGTCACCTATGAGATCATTCCTGCATCTGAGACCACAAGCCTGCCTGCAACCACACCCAGTGTGCACGTCAGCAGGCTAAAACCTTACCACCTGCCTACTGAAGACCGTAGTTAATGTGCACCGAGACGGCGCTTTTACCGCCGGGGGGGGGGGGGGGGGGTAATGCTACGTAGCTGACGTATTAGCAGTCAGAAGACGATAACGAGGAAGTGGTCTGTTGGTTGTGCGTGCTGCTTCCATTTTAGCTGACGCCATACGCATCAGTTTAAATATAGATTTTAAATAGACACGCCTCGTGTCAATATCACTTTTGGTGCCTTGCTACCCATCGCAAAACCATTGTTCTCCTTGAGTCTTAAACATTAGTTTCCTGCATAACAATCTTTAAACCCACAATTGTTTGAAATAAAGTATGTTGGCCAATTAATGGATATTTCGTTAACATCTTATTGTTACAATTGGATAACTTGAACCACTTCTTTCGTATCCACGATATCTCAATGAATACAAGTTTCGGGTAAAAAGAAAAGAAATACAATGCTACCCCCTAAGCGAAGCTTTTACAGTCGGCTCCCGATAACTTGTAGTCATTTATTTGGAATTTTCGATTAACCAAAAGTCAACGAGTGGTCCCATCAATTTTGCATGCACGTTTATAGAAGAAAATGCTCCATAATTCCATCTTAAAAACCCGCAATGTTGGTTAATTAGAAATTATTTTTCAGTGGAGACCTTTGTGGAAACCGTAATTTTTCAATAAAATGGGGTATTCTTCATGTGCAAAGATCGCCAAGACAGCTGTCGGTTCGTGCTGTTGTTGCCATTGCCACTGCCCACAGCGGGCACAGTTCATTAAGCAGCCATCTAGTTTAGTCAATTCCAGGGAATCACGATCGCATTGGCTAACTATGTCTTTTCTTGTGATGTGTTGAGTGCTTCAGCCGTGCGCTGGGTTGTAGTCTGGTTGAAGTTAGAAATGAGCAACTGGATGCTCAAACACACATTAAGCACTGTGTGTGTGTTTGCCTGTTCTGTTCTCTTTGGGTCCAGTCGCGCTGTTGAAACATAGCATGATAAATCAACTAGCCCGGCAATGCACAGTAGCTTGATTCTGCACGCGTTTCCAACGCTGATTTTGAGTGTTGTGGTGGCAACGTTTGATAATGGCAATTCGCGGCCCCTGCCGAATGCTTGACTTGGTGGTGAAAGCCAAAAGTCTAGAAAGAAGTTGACCGGGAAGGACCGGGACGCGGGTTTTAGAACAATCGAAAATGGCCGGGAAAAAAAACGGATCTTTCGCAAAACTCATTTTCAGGCCATTCGTACCTCTGAGCACCTACTCTCAAATTACTAATGCTGAATTCGGCTGGGAAATACGATAAAATGGGCCTTCAAAGCACTCCAGGAGCGTTGTAGCGGGCCAAGTGCTGCCATCTTGAGCTAGATTTGAAGCCGTTTCCTTTGTGCGCAATTTGCATTATCTCAAAATGGCATCGCTCAAGCAGAATGGCTGCTGTCAAGAGTTTTTTTGAAGGTGGTTCCGGAGTAGCTGATCGGCTCTCACTCAGCACGCGCGCATTTCAAGTGCGCCGCCCGAGTCTTCCATTGGGCGACGTGGCCAAGGCGCTTTTTAAGTGCGCCATTTCACGTTTCCGATTAGCTGGCGTGATTAACGAGTTTTATTTTTCTTGCGTGTTAGTCATTATAGCTGTCCTTTCACAATCACAGGCACTTTTGGTCGCAATCACAGCTGATCCAGATCAAATTCCTTGATTGGACTCAACAGTCTGAACTGACCTGATTAGGCTCAACATGGTCTGAACTGATCTGGATTGAGTGCGTTTCATACATCAGTCAAATCACAATCTGAGAGCCAAATTGCGATCGTCTTGATTCCAACCCGGCCTGATCGCGATGACCGTGTAGCACCTGATCTGGTTTCAGGCATAATCCCGCTTGGCCTTGATTGCGATTAAAATTGCCTGCACGACAATAGTGTGGGAGAGACTGTTGGTGGTGCAATGAGTGCGAAGTATGCTCACATGGAACGCAGCATGGCCATCTCAATGTGGGTGGGCGCCCGGGCAGGCACCCGGCTCGAGGGATCCTCAGGGTGGCAGCCCACATCCTGGCCGGCCAGCCACAGCTCGTATCTATCAGGCTGGAACTTCTTCACAAACACGTCCATGCTGATCTTCACGCAGTCATTCCGACACAGGCACTGCAAACGACAAAGCCACGGGTCTCGGCAAAAAGTTCTTGAAAGCACTCCTGAGTCATAGTGGTGCCCAAAACCATTAATGCCAAGCCCAGCCTTCAAATGTGATTAAGGGAGGCTACCATCAGATACCACCTTTCTAGTTTATTGAGATATCTCGATGAAATTTTCAGAATAGACTAACAGTAAAGCATTAGAACTACTACAAAATTTCATTAAGTTATGTTCACTGGTTCTCCTGTTATAGCAGTATGTCAGAATAGTGCTCATGGTTCTCTTATTCAAGGCCTGGAGAACTTTCAAAAGGTGCTCGAACTATAAAATATAACAATGATAATTCTCAGATTATTATCTCAGGGGGTAACGGAGCTCTTTTATTGAATTTCCTTAATGAAAAGCTTTAGCAGACCATTAAATTTAGTGTTGATGATTGGGATATTAACAATCAAATTTTAATTAGGTATCATAAATAACAGACACAATATATTGAAAAAAATGGGCTTGTCTCCCCCTGAGAAATTTATTCACATACATAATAAAAAAAATTGACTTATGAAAATAGGATGAGTGGTTCCCCAGATATGGCTGGAACAAGCAGCCTCACTAGCCAAAAAAGTCATTTTGAGAGAACGACATTTGAAAGTTTTGGGGCAAATATGCGAATCTAATACAACCCCGCAGCATAACTGGAGGAAAGGCGGGAAACACTTTTTCTTCGCTACCTTTCCGTCTTCTCCAAAGATTTATTCTTAGCCTTCTACAAGTGCAATGAATCTTTCTCGGCTGCCCGTTGAATGGCCAGGTCGTGCTCCATCGCCTGAAATTTCCACTTCGTCGCTGGCATAGCGCCGAGTTCTCTTTGAACAGCAGCGCGTTGTTGATTTGCCGCCTCTTCGCACGTCAAAAAACGTGTTCGCAAGTGCACAGTTGACGACGCGATCGCACTCTCGGAGGCCTACGAAAGAGAGGATGTGGAAGCCCCTGGCGATGAGCGGGAGACACCAGGCCCACTTGCAACATCAAATTTTTGCACCGGTGGAGCAAGAGTCCCATGTCTAGGCGCGTCGATGCAACCACGCTTTTGCTTAGATGAAGAAGCTGCTCCACATGTACTGTCGGCGCGATTACTGTCGGCCCACATGCGAGCGGAGAGCCTCGCCATGCGGACAACCTTCATAGATGCTTCCTTGCACCAAACACATGTTGCGCCTTCCTTGTCGTTCAGCGCATCGCGAGCGAATGCAAGAACGGTCTCGTAAAGAGAGTTGAAAATCATCTCTCAAGACGTTTGAAAATCATTTCGTAAAAGCGGTTGAAACGCGGAGAGTATGCGATCGGCTGCAATGATAAACGATACCAAGCAGAACGCCGCGGATGGAGGAGCAGCAGACGAAGGAGAGCCGCATTATGTGCAAGAGTACTACGTCATTGCACGCAGCAGCCAATCGCAGTTGAAGAGTCCCACTCGTCCTTGAGAACAGCGCGCACCGCCCAATCCCAGTGGCGCGTTTCTGCAGCGGGAAACTTCAAAGCTCTCGCGAACTCTCCTATCATGAGCAGCTTGCTCCTCTCCTGTGCTGCCGCTGTCGCCGCAGGTGGCAGGAAAAGAAAGTGCGAGAATTCATAAACAAAACAACACCAAAATTGTGGAGCTCCGTCAAGCGGTCGAGAAACTGTGATCGCGCCAAGTTGGGCTACTTTGACTGCTCCCGTGTCGCTCGAGGGCTGCGGCGGCTTGTTGTAAACTTTATTTCAAACAGTTTCGCGATGAGTTAGACAATATTTACAGAAAAGGTAATTTATGACACATACTGCCCAAATATGTGGTTCCCAAAAATCTACTTTTTCGCGATTTTTTTCCGTTTTCAAAGGCCGCGTCCCCCCTTAACTTCAACGATTCCTCATAACGGTGTTTGAAACAGCACCATGCACGTACTGCACACATCTTGAAACTGTTTTCACCAACTGTTTGGCAAGAAGAAAGCTCAATGAAAGATGTCAAACGGCCCCACCCCCAGTGTTATCTTTGAGCCACATAGTTTTTGTGGGAATCAACAGGCTTTTCACTATAGTAATCCTCTCCATTGGCCTGACTGTGGCCACTATGAGGCAAAGGCCTGTCCCGTGTTTCACCAATCAATCCAGTCCGCTCACTCGCATGCTTGCCTTATGTTTTGGAGTTCAATATGTTCCTCATAATGACAAGCAGTTATCTTGCCTTCACGCTACATGAGTTGTTCATGCCCACTTATTTACTGATTTTAAATAAATGTCCTTAACACCCGTTAGCTCCTGTACCCACTCTGCTCTAATATCTATCTTTTTTTTTTCTTTTACATGACCCGCTACATTAGTATAGAGTATAGAACAAATGGAATTTTTCTTTTTTATTTACTTTTCATTCCACGTGTGAGGCAGCAAATTCTGCTTGTAGTCACTATAGCAAGAAAAACGTCAGCATAAGCTCACTTCACATGCTCTTTTTTGTCCACAGGCCCTACACGAAACACAATGAATTTGAAATGTTGCCAGCTCACCTGTGAGGCCCGCTTGCCGTACTCAACCCAACGAGGCAGGGCAAAGTTAGTGGACTCGGCGCAGTTGAAACCGTGATTGAAGCCGGCATGGTAGCCGTAGGGAAAAGTGATCATGAACTCGCCGGCCTCCTGGGTTATCTACACATTGAAAAAAACAAAAAATGATGACAGTTTTCAAACAATCCCACCAACTGCGTTCTCAACAAAAGAGCAATCAAATCACACACTTCTCTTCTAGATCACAGTATGTTTTTTTTTCATCTGCCAATGGAAACTGCGTAATTGAAGCTTTCAATTCTGATCATGCAAGAAATCAACTCAAGGTAGCATGAAACAAGTATTCTACGAGGTTTATATGCACTTGCAAACCGATAGTATACCAGCAAAGTCCTGGCTTCAATACCTCCCTTAGTACAAATACATTCCTCTGAAAAACCTTTCTCTATTGCATGGCACTTTTTTTTTAGCTCCCGAAAAATTTCTGCAGGTTTGCACAGTGCTGCAGAACTTGCATGGCAAATTCACTCTCCAACACCAAGAATACCGCTCAGCCCAGATGGTTTGATCCCTGAACACTAAGGTCTGCACACCCGAGAAATCATTGCTGTAAAGCTTGGATAACAGCTTCTGCCACGGAAGGCCAAAACAGTTGATGTCCGAACACTCTACTACAACCTCAGAAAAAATGCCAGCTTGAACCAAGTCATTGCTGGTCCTCCCCTCCCCCACTTTCAGAGAGAGAATGTTTAATAGCACTTACTTTCTTGAGCTCAAGCACCTCTAGAAAGTTCCAATTATTTGACTTTCCCATACAGATACAAGTTTGTATCACTTGTTCAAAGTCGAAAAGTTGAATGTATGGGCAAATTTCGTTTGAAACTCTGAACATTACAACTCAGTAAAGCGCCATGATGTACGTGGTAATGATGGTGGTAATGATGAGCCTTTAAGCCAGTGCGTTCTATTTACATCAGCCAAGAAAAAGTACAGTAAAAACCGGAATATAGCTTGACCTCCCCAAACTTTGAATCGCTGAAAAACAAAATTAAAAAAAATTGCGGCGCACCCTTACCTTGGTAAATATGCGGCACAATCGCATGCACTGTGCTGACATTTCTTTTTATTTGGACACTTATTTTACGTAGCCAAAGGCCAGAAAGTGCTTTCACTCAGACTCATCCGAACTTGAGTTCAACGACGTCCGTTTTTCGCTAGTAATGTCCCAGAGTGCATCGTTCGCCATACCATCCAATGTGCTACTGATGCAGCGTTTACGGAATGACGGAAGCACGCCGCTTCAGCGCAAAGCCCTTCCGCTTCATAAATCGGCCCACCCATGATGGCAAGCTCATGAATTGAGCTCTCGTGAGCCCAGTCGCGCGCTACCTCGATAGCTTTCACGAGGATGCACTCCGTAATGGGTAGAAACCTTGCACAGAGCTCCCTGAAGAACTCGGCGAATAGCGTTCCCAGTTCCATCCACGAAACTGAAGCATTTTTTTTGTTACCGCTGCAAGATGTGAAGTGATGCTCTTGGCTCCTCCAATATCAGACGCTTTTCTCCGATACACCGAATTCCTGTCGTGCCGCCAGATTTTCGTGCGCTTCGGCATACTCGATAACTCTTTTCTTAAAGCCCATCGTAAACTGCCGTCAACTACCCCTCATTTCTGAAGGACATGGAAAAAAGAAAACAGCAGACTGACAGCGGATAACCTAGGCAAAATGGCATTGCTAGAACACTGTAGGCCTTGCCTAGCCTTGCCCAACGGCACCGCTGTTGGTGCTCATCATGGCAATGGAGGGACTTCAGCTGCCTATAAGACAAAGGTTGACTTTTCATTGCGTCTTTTTGAAAAAAAAAAAAAAAAAGAAAGTTCGACCTATATTTCAGTTTTTATGGTACTTTTGGTTCGAACATATTCCAGCCAACATGACTGTCTTCCACTGTCTTTCAAAGTGAAGGGCAGGCGCTACGCGGTATGGTGGGTGGAGCTTATATTTCAACTCAAGTTTTTAGCGAAGTGATACACAATCATGGCACATCTTGTCAAACGCTATTGCATGGGTCTGTTTTTATCATACATTGCCCGTGGACACTGCTTGTGCTCTCAGTTGACTAATTGAGCCGTTGGTTGAGCTACGATTCGACCGTTATGCCAGCGTCTAATACAGTCGCCCACCGATTTTTCTGACTCTAAAAATTCAGACTTGTGTGATGTTTTGAACTTAAAAAGTGCACAGTCAGGGTTGTATAGGGCTAACGCATTTTTTCGACCAATTTTTTTGACATATTCGACCCCGAAAGTTGGATTTTTCGAACTAAATCGCTTGTTTTCAGCCGTGCCACGGAACATTACGGATGCGGCCATGTTAGATTTTCCGCTGAATTGACTAAGCTCAGTGGCTTAACTTTAAAATGGCTTTTCTGCCTCCAAGATTGGAAAGCGAACGTCATATTTCAAGTTTTGGAGGACGTGTCTGTTTTAGAAAACGTGGCACAGGACCATTTTTTCGTCTTCGGTCAGCCATAGTGGTCAGCACTGTCGTCATCGCACAGTACAGAGAGGAGGCGGAACTGCGCAGTGGTGAAGTGAATGTATGATTGTAGTATGGTCCCTAGAATAGTGAATGTGCCCGACACAATGACGTTTTTCGCTCGTGGGAACGATCACAATTTCGTGCGCAGAGCCCACAGGTGAAGAAATTCTTCGCCAGGTTATGCCACAGCCGGAGAGCGGTTCGAATGATTATGACGATCGCCCGCAGCCGTCGGTAGCGGAGATCGCCACCTCGGTGACGATGTCCCTTGGCGCAAATACAGGCGAACCAAATTGATTCCAAGCGTAGTATGAGGCAAGGCAGAATCATGGACTTTTTTAAAGTCTGCCTGATGCAATAAAGTTAATATTTCTGACAAAAACAAATTTTTTGCACTGCTCGATTTTTCTGACTTTTTTTCGGTCCCCACCAGGTCCGAAAAATTAGTCGGTGACTGTAAACAGTCTCCACAAGGAGCGGAGAGTGCCACTCCCTAAATTATGCAATAATAGGCTCACCTTGTTGTAAGGTATCGAGTACTGGCGTAGGACCTGGGGAGAGATGACGGTCATCTTGTGCCGCAGAAAAGCAGAGCACTCCTGAGCCGTGTTGTGGAAAAAGCCCGCCGCGAGGCGCTCGAGCCGGCGCCCGTGCTCGGGGGGCACGCAATACCACGACTTGGGGGCCCCGAAGTGGAGGTAATTGATGGAGTACAGGTCCATGTCCTCGGTGTGCCAGGCAAACGTGGTCTTCCACATGCCAAAGTAAAGGTAGGCCGTGTTGACCCCTTCAATCTTGATGCCATAGTCCTGGCCCACCAGGTCCAGAATGGTGTTCAAGTGATTGATGTTGAACTCCTGCAATGCCGGCACGTCAAGACAGAATTCATGAAGGCCCCAAGGCAAATGGAAAGCACTGCGACATTCCAGTATATTTTTTTAGTTTCGTCAACACACATTCTCTAAAGAGACTGCAGCTGGTGAACTTTGCATTAACAATCATGCCAGTTATAGATCTTCCCATTTTAGACACAGTCTAGCGTCAACACTGTAAACATTTCAAACAGAACCTGAAGGGACCAACGAAATATGTCCCATTTAACAGCAGTTTCATTTATGAGAAATGACCAGAGTAGCATTATTCAGGATGAAAACGATCGAACTAGAAGTAGTTGCTCAATTTGAGCAGCAATGCCATTTAATTTTCCAGTTACAGAGTAAACAAATTACTGTATATAATGAAAAACTTCAAAAAAACTTCCCTGCGATACCATGTGATGAAAATGCACTTATAGTGAACATTAGATATAATAAATGTATCTTAAAGCATCCAACACAAGTTTGTATTACAAAATGCAAGTGTGTTTCAAATGGCTGCCAAGAGCTAAATCATAAGAGTATATGATTTAAGCTACAAAACACCACAATACGATTGAACCCCCGCGTCACGGCAATGTCTTCAGGCAGCAATTCTTGTATTTTATATGAGATGTCTCTTATAAGCAGGGTACCTCGTATGCATTTTCGAATCAACCAGTATGTTACTGTGGGCACACAAGCGTCTCCTATACCCATTTGTCTTTTATATCAGTGTCGCTTATGAAGGGGTTCGACTGTATGACAAAGGGCAGTTGCAGGAACAGTTCACGACATCGGGGATCACTAAAGTGCGCTCAAACAATATTTTTCTATCGGATATTGCGTGTGGAAATCAGTGGTATGAAGGAAGTGCAATTAACTTTATTTGGGACAGTTCAGAGTGAGGATAAAAGTAGTTAGTCAATAAAAAACAAAGCCTTTCACTTAATCTTTGACAATAAATAAAAGAGAAAGAGGTTTTTAACTACAACACAGCAGCTCACCTTAACACCTGGGTCATACAGTGATCCTGACACATCCGCACCGTAGATTGGAGGGTTGAAGGCAATGTTCTTCCAATACTTGCGCTCCAAGTCCTCATAGTCAAAGTGAGGGGGAGTGCTGAAACTGCACAGGAAATGGGCAAACCATGCAAAGTCACATAACATGTAAACTCCCACACTCTCATCGATTGAGCCAATGAAGAAACTGATGAAAGAATTAGAATCACCGATGATGCAGCAATGATATTAGGGTAGCATTTATACGAGGCCCTCACTTTGACGTAGAGGGCCATGACAAGCCCCAATCATAAACACTCACCGGTCACTTTGGGCGACGCGCCTGAAATCCTTGACACTCATGGACTTTTTCTGGATGTTGTACTGCTGGTAGAGGCCCTGGCCCCCGGACACCACTTGTGAGATGGGCGATGGGATCTCCATATCGATGTCGTCGTAGCCTCCTTTACGGGGGATCCACTCCTTGGGTGGGATGATCTATGCAAGCAACACAAAGTTCAGTCAGAAGCAGCGCTTGATCATCGTAAGGAATACAAACAAGAGAGTAGTCGTGGAGAAAATTGAGGGTTGTAGGTAGGGTTAGACGATTGCAACCACCATGCAGTCAAACAGGGACCAATGAAGATATCGATGTGAAGTGATGGGCAGATCGTAATTACTAGAGGCGTTACAGGGGGAAATGCTGGTTCCAGAAGGATTCCTCATTTCAACTACTTCATGTCTTTTTTCATGTTACGAACGGCGTTTTCAGTTCTGAATTAGGGAAATTCACTCAGGCACAGGATCTCTCTGTAAAGTAGTGAGACTGGGTCTGGTAAAAGGTATTGACCCGGTCAGTGCATACTGAATTTCTTGCAAATGGTCTCTTGGGCAGTGGTACACCGCTTTTAACTCAATTACCACCCCGCAAGACCTTCCTTTCAGCTCCCTTTCATAGAGAGTCCACTGGACTGCGAGAGCACCGTCAAGATTGTGACCTTTCAGGCTTCTCTTGAGCTTCGAAAACAGTAGGGTGACTGCTGGGCTCACATCAGGGCTGATGTGACCATGATACAGCCCTGACCTAAGCCCTTCAGGCTTCTTTTTTGGTCCAAAAGCTCAAGGGAAGCCTGAAAAATATCTGTTTCAACGATGTTCCCACCATTTAACAGACACAATGTCTTTGAAAGAGGTCACCGCAGCTGACTGCCTTTGCAGCGAGATAATCCCTATGGAAGCGGGTTGTCGACACCCAAGGTGACAATTTTGACGAACTTTGGTAATATCTACCGAATATATCTATTTTATTTTTCTAGACCTAGTCATTGCTTTATGGACAAACCCTCTGGCTCAGGCACACTATCCCCTGCAGCCTACCAATCAAGGCACTACAGTTCAGCACTCACCTTGGCCAGCCCCGCCTTGTGGGCTCCCATGGACTCCATGTGCTCGAGGTACTTGGAGAAGTCCTGCATCTCTTCCAGGGTGGGCCGGAACACCATGATCTTGGGCACACTCGAGGTGCATGTGCCCCCCGTGGCACCACCACCAACACTCGGCTTCTCCATGGTGCACAGCATTCTGATGCTACTCACCGCCCCCCTCCTGGACGTTGATCACAACGGGTAACGATCACTCAACCACCCAAACAGACAAGATGTATAAGCACTCGCGATCCCATGCTTGCATAAATATGATCCCTGTAAACTCTAAGGAGTAAAATCGTTCCTGAGTAGCATGCTCAATGCACAAGAAAACAGGGCCCGCTCATCTTCTCCAGCCCATTATTTCATGTATAAAAGACAGGCCTCAACACCTAATCTGAACAGTTAGTTGCCAAAGGCTTACATCTTGACCTCAGATATGCTCTTGGACTGTGGACAAGAAGTGCCTATGTATTTCATGCAATAAAAGTGATTCCGGACTTCTACTCTCATTGAAACACTTTATTTAGTGTTGTAGTGTGTTTTATGTATGTTCTCTATCTGCTGCAGTAACATGCATGCATTTACTCCTCCTCCCCAGGATCCTATATCCTTTTCTCGGTCAGGTCACCTATTACAAGGCTGATGAATGTTTTGAGTGATTAGCAGTGGCCAAATTAAGAATGCCTGGAACAAACATTTTAACAAAGGAACATTACTCTAGACAGAAACTGCTATCAGTAGCAGTGATTTTATGAACGGGCAACACTCTCCCCCATCCCCAATGGGAAAGAGGTGGATGGGAACATAAGCAGGCAGGCAGAGTGGGGTGAGAAGGGTTTAAAAGGACTAACATGGTAGGGCTGTTGCAAGTTATTCGAAGTCTGCAGGTTTTCACTTTCACGTGTGGAGGGAGAGAGAAACGTCTTTATTCACAAAAGCATGGAGAATGAGGGTGTGGGAGGAACCCCTAGTCCGGGGTCTTTAGGACAACTTTAGCGACGAGCTGGGCCCACTATATCAGAGCTCGGAGGACCATTGCGAAGAGCATCATCCCACAGTTCCTAGTTACGTAAAGGGTGAAGGAAAGCAGGAAAGGGAGGAAAGATGTTTGCAGCGCACTCGATCGAGACATGGAAGGTCGTGGGCAAGTTTCCACAGCCGGGGCAACGGTCTGCATAGCACTGTGGGTAGAATTTATGAAGTGATACTAGATTGGGAAATGTCTGTAGCTGGCGTAACACTACTGCCTCCTCCTGCGAGAAAGATGGCGGTGGGGCGCTCCGAGTGCGACAAACGTTCCTGTAGTGACGAAGAATGTCTTTGTAAATGAAGAGGATCCCCCCACTCCGAAATGATCGCCTCGCCTTGCCGGGCCGCCCGGAGGGAAATTTTCACGGTGGAATAATTCTAAGTAAATGCCAACCAGAACATTTTCTATATAATAATGTACTTAGGTAATAGATGTCGATTTATAACCGTGGTATAGCACTGAAGTTGCTCAAACATGCAAGCCATTAACTGAAGCTCTCATTTCACAAGAATTAGGTATTGCTCATTATACTTTTATTAAATGCCAGCTTTGACTGTAATGAAGGCAGAGATTCTTAGTTTGTCAAGACACGCAAACCAGATTAGATAGCATTTTATTTTTTTGCATTCCGTGCAAAGCTGTAAACCTGCAACCACATCTGTGTAGAGCATGTGAGGAGCCGCTTTACGCTCTGAGGGGCAAAACATCGAGGCAGTTTCGGGCTCTGACATGGTTTCGCCCCGCAGAGTGAAAACCGGCTCCTCGTGTGCTCAACACAGATGTGGCCACGGCTATACTGTCATAACCTTACAAATTAGACCCTTCACATAATTTCCCTCAATCAAAAATGTGTAGATACGTGGTCCAAATAAAGCAGCTGTGTATGCAATATAGGTTGTGGAGCTTACACATGTTCTAACAGAGAATGTTGCTCGAACAGATGCAGAATGAAAACATGAGCTGCAGTAGATGCCAAGAGCACGATGGCAGCGTGTCACCAAGCTAATTGAACATACTAATGTAAAATACCAGGAAATACTGTTCGAGGGTCTAGTCCGTGTACAAATGACACTATTTTGGGGCACAACAATTACACAACGCGAAATCAGGGCGACTACTCCATGTCTCCCAAGGTCATTCATCCTGTCGCTATGACCTTGAGCCGCTGGAGCGGCAGGCGTGACGTCACACTGAGCGGCGGCGTCACTGCGGTACCACGTGACCAGGCTACAGTTTAAAGGGAACCTAAACCACTCGGAAGACGAAATTAAGTTGCGAGGTTGCTGTTCGCTCGCGAATCTACGCTAGCGGAGTCGCGCGCGCTGGATAGGCCCCTCGCTCGATTCACTCTTTCCATCACCATGCCGCATTCGGTCGTCTCTCAGCCTCTCCGAGCGTTCCTAATCGCCGTGGGAGGAGAACGAGCACGCACACCTTTCGCTCGCGATAACTACGGATTTTACTACAGTTCAACCTCAGTCAATTCTTTTTTTTTTTTAACTTCGTAGCAGATCTAAAAGAACACCCTGCCGTCGTCTCGCATCGATGTCACGCAGGTCCCACGTTTGATACACACAAGCCGACCAGGGTGCACGTCTGGAACGCCAGCGTCTCCGAAGGGGGGCAAATTCGTCTGCGCGAGCCCGCAAAACACCCGCGTCGTCGCGATTTATCCGCGGGAGAGAGATGCTGAGGCGCCTGCGCCGCGATAGACCACCGCGCTCAGAGCAGCAAACAGCAGAAATGAGACCGTCAAACGGAAAACCGCAAAACAAATAACGTTTTCACAAGTATGTAAAATATCGCTTAACCACACAAAAAAGCGCAGATAGACATAATAGAAACACGGGCTAATCAATGCTACAATGTTCGTAAGGCTTTTACCTGGGTTAGATCACCCTTTATTTAGTCGTTTCCTTTTTTTTTTATCAAAGAACAAAAAAAAATATTTGAGAGAACGACGATGTCTGAGCATTCCAGCTTTTAGCTTTCTTTTTCTTGTTCTTCACCCAATCAAATAGCAGTACTTTCCTAGGACTACGAAGTAATTTAGAACGTAATACTGATAATCGACTGCCTGGTCCCTTCGGCGGCCAGCCCGGAAAAAAAAAAAAAAAAAGTGGTGCTAAACTTCAAGTGACACGGTACCCGTGCGACGCTCTCGCCTGCCACGCGGAAGCAGTAAATCTGTCACCAAGACGCCACGTTACAACTAAAAGCAGCTTCAAAGCAGAACGAGTCTAAAAACGACGAAAACACGGCGTAAACCGTGATGCACCACGGTCTGCCCCCCCCCCCTTTTTTTTTTTTATAATACACATACTTAAAATGCTGCGCTAACCACATTGCTAAAAACGGGAACGGCTCTTTAAAACCACGCTTCAGACACACACACACACACACAAAACATACCGCTCTGGCGGCGTTCGGGAGTTTACGACGAGGCTTTTATAACAAACAAAAAACCGCAAAGGCGACCGATCCCCACCAACACCGCACAATACCGGCACGAGAGACGAACCCACACACACAAAAAAACAACCGCTTGTTCATGCACCCCCCGTAGCTCCGAAAAGCTTTACAGAGCAAATGAAGCCAACTGAGATGGAGGCAGTAAATACGAAACGATTGTGGAGCCCCTCCACGCCTCTCCGTGTTGGTAGACGCGTCTGCAGTTCGACAAGGTGTTTTTTTTTTGTTTGTTTGTTGTTTTCGCGCGGTAATGAGATTCCGCACGCGACGTAACAAAACAAAACGTAGTACATGATTAACAGTGAATACAAGTACCACGCAACCTAAACGAAGAAAAAAAAACACACACATAAAACAAACACAAAATGGCCGATGCAAGCCATGCATGCCCGACCGACCACCCCCCCATACCCTCCCACTGCGGCCTTCTCTTCGCTTTTCTCGGTTTCACTGGGGCAGGTTTTGGGGCCCCGTACGATAGCGGCCCAGGAAATGGAAACCAGGCAGATAGAAAAGGAATACCCGCCGCGATAAAGAATGACCGTCACCTATCGATACGTAATATGATCGTTGAATGGCTCCGGATGTTCCGTAGCAATGCGACGCCGAATCCGACCGAAACCCTCGACCGACCGCAGCGCGTCTCTCGCGATAACCGAGTCTCAGCTGTTCACAGGGATCGCGTTTTTGGACGACTTCTCGGACCGATGTGCCGAAGAAAATCACCGAAATAGCTTCAAGACGCATTTACAGCGGCGAATAAAGTTTGTGTCGAACTTACTAACAGTTGCACAAGCACTAGCTGCGCGAAGACGACGAAGCGAAGGAGCATCGTTTTGAGGCACAGCGCGATCGAGCAGTTGCTCCGAGCAGCCTGCAAACCAAGCTTTAAAAATATGCAGCCGAGACACTTTTTTCAACACCGGTTAGCAACAAAACGCCGCGGAGCTAGAAAAGTGAACGTTCCCAAACGGCAAAAGCGGTCCGCCGCTACGAGGAACACCGACTGGCTAGTAATGCAACTGCTAGGCCTAGAGACACCACCGAAGTCGCGAAATCGTGATACGAGGCGTACGGAGGTTTCAAAGGTAACACAGACCTTGAGGTACACGTCGCTGTGCAGTAGTCCACGTGATGTTTCTTCACTCGGACGATTGTTTCACAAACGAGTCATCGTTTCCGGACATGGGGCTTTTACCGTAGACGCACGTCTGGCACCGAAGAAAACCACCATGTTGGAGAAGACTGAGCACGCCTTCAAAATATTGCGCGTCCGAAAAAATAATTCTTAAGTTACATTTACCTACCGGCAAAAAATGACATCTGAAACAGTTTTGACATCTTTAAAGAAAAGAACGAGCTAATTAGGTTTATTACGACGGTAAAAAGATACAATAACACCTATTTTTTACTAAACCGGGTGGCATGAAAAGCGTTCTGGCGGAGTGATACACAAATACACTCCCACACCTCTGCAAAAAGACGCTAGAATTAATGCGTGGCCGTGAGTGTAAATTCTACAAATAGCTGCTTACAACTCCTAAACCTGACTGTACTGCACGAATAAGAGAGCATTCTTTGCGTTAACGTTTGCGTATCGTGCACCAACGACGCCGTAGTTTCAAGCGTGCCGCGCATTAGCGATAACCAAGTAGCAGACGAACTCCGCAGTTTCGCTGTATTTTTTCCAAAACATTCTTTATTAAATATCAGTGGGTCAGATCGACGTTACATACAGCGCGTAAACAACCACCCGCATTCACATTCTAGTGCACTCATTGAAAAATCTCTGAACAAAGGTAGTAAAACAATGTCAGCCGAACAAACGCAACAAAGTTGACGAGGGGGAACAAAATAACGCAGGAATGACAAGTACAGGGTGAAAAGTGACGCGAATAAATCGATCACTCAGCGCTGATGACAATGAACGGAGCATTTAACAAGTGCTACAAATAGAATTATAAAACGGTTAACCACATAATCAACAGTATAAGTACTACTGGCTGTGCACACTTCCTAACTCGCTCAATAACGATAGTGACTTCCACGGGGATTTCAACGACGGGAAAGCCGTCAACTCGTCGCATTCTCAAAAAAAATCAACCGACGTGCTCTGAAGCTCTTGCAAAATACACAAAACAAAATCTATTTGCATTGACCTCGAGCCAATGTGGCATTAGGCTGCAGGTACATTCACATGCAAGATTGTACAGTTAAATCGGGTAGATCACTACATAAATCGTTACATATAATCACTTTGAAGCCGTGTAATGCCATTATTTGACACAAGGAAGTACAGAACTGGTAGGGTACCAGTATCACAGTAATAGAGGAAGTAAATACGTAACCTAAGTGTAAGTCGTACATTTTGCAGGCATGTGCAACAAGCCCCGTTCGGAAATACATGTACGGACAAGCTTCAAGCACAGGCACTGCCGCTTTAAGTTGTAGCATGTAATTAAGTTTTTATAATGAGCACTCACATTAATCCCTCATAGATTTGGCACCATTAATTGGAGCAGCACAGCTGTAAACAAATTTTTGAGTACCATATTGTTAATATTTTCATACAATGCCTAATGTATAAAATTCGATTCCATTAATCAAAACATACATTTCAAAATGTTTGGAATATTGCCAAATAAAATTTAGACATCAATTGGCAAATTACGCAGCACAGTCACCTCACTGAAAAAAACTAGTGCCTCGGGCACACAAGGCGGGACTGGCCAATGTGGTTGTTGAATTGATGTGCCTTGATGATAATTAACCACCATCAAACAAGCTATACAGACAGCAGACTATAAAGCACACACAAGTTCGTGCCTGAACAAATGCTGCACATCAAGTGCACATAGTGTGCCCAAGGCACTGAACGTAAATATAAGCTTCGGCACCCCTAAAAAGAAAACTAGATGCGAGTATCGAGGTAAATAACAAGACAAACTCGGGTGAGTTGATCACACCCTGAACAGTGCTGCATACAGGCACATTTTCTTTTGTAAACTAGTACTGGACACAGGTATGGCGCACCCTGGTTACAACAATGTTGACTAAAATGGAATGATTGACGATGATAAAGTTATAATAACATATTTTGTTGGCTGCCCTTACACAGAATGCACAACTCTAGATACAAAGCTGCCACATGTTTATCACCTCACAATTAACTTGCATGACAGAAAGACTATTGAGAGGCCAAAGATTTCGTGAAGAAAAAAAAAAGTTATGGAAAGGCCAACTGCATCATAGGTTTCGAGGAGAGATGAAACCAGGGTTTAAGCATCAACAAGTGCCAATACACAGCACAAGCGGCTTTATACTGTTGCGAAGTAAAAAAAGAGCTTCTAGAGGTCGTACAGAAAATTCCCACTTGCTTTCAGCTGCTCAAGCTCTCCCTACAGTTGAATATAAGTTTTGTGGTAAATCACAAAATATCTCAATGTTTAGCACGAAAGAAGCTGCAACAAAAACACACGTGTTGAAACAGTTATGCTATCATATCTGTAAGGAAGGACGAGTCTTCTGTCTAGCTACAGACCTTTAGTGCATTCACCCAAGAGCCAACATCAGTCAGGCTCGATTTTCAGTACACTTTATAATGGAAGGATTTGTTTGAAAAGATTCTGTTCAATGACACATAAAACATGACCCTGGTAATGCAAATGCTTTGCAAAAAAATGTCGCAAAAAATAGCAGTGTGAAACTGAACTTGGCAGCTTAAAATAAACACTAAGCCACAAACAAAATGAAACACGCAGATATACTGAGGATGATGTGCATCTGTCTAGAACGTCCTGTGCCTTACATGTACAAAGCCGTTTCCACATCTGGGCTTATATCGTGCCTTGCACAGATTATTATGAGCTACCTTAATCATCACTCACAGCTGTCGACATGACTTGTGTAAGTACAGCTGCTCTTGTCATGAAGACCTTGTTAATAAAACTATTGCGACAACGCGAAGAGAAAAATGTGAAAAGATAAAAAAATGCAGAATGTCACATGCCACCAGATCATCACTTTGAATTTGTCTGCTTCGCGATGTATTTTGACTGCGTTGTCACGCGACTACATGTTTTGTAAACTTGAAGAAAACGTGCAAATCCTGTAGCGCATGAATAATGCTCCCTGCACTTTTTGATACAACTTATAATATCAATTGTGTTTTCCAAAGAAAGAGTTACTGATGTATCCGCTAGCACTGTCCCAAATTCGACCGCCACGCAAGTGAACACTATTCTGACAAAATAACCACAAGACTACAGGTACGTTAATGAACTAGTGTTTTGGAACAAGAGGCCATCTAAATGGCCTATACTATATACAATTGAGTTAGCTGTACAACTATATCTACATAAAATCCCATACCTATGGTTACGTCAGAATGACCACACTGAACGATTTTGGGCTGGTCACGAAGCGCAGCAATCGTAGATTGCTAATGAAGGAACTTGTTCTCATCAGCAACTTTGATTTCAGTCTTGATTGTAAGCGTTGTAGAAACAGTGCCGAAAAGAATGCCAACAAAATAGCATTCTAAAGCCACATTTACAGAAACACAGAAACTTCAAAAACCACGCTAACAATAATCTGACTTTGTATTACTATTAATAAAAATAAAACTATGGTATGTATTTCATTGCTTAGTTTACTATGTGCAATGCAATAGGTTGCCGCACTGAAAGAGCACTAAGATTTTTCGTTTGAACTGCCATGGCCAAGATGATATATAGTGCTGAAAAGAAAAAAAAAAGATGTGCCCACAAACAACTTATCAAAGGAAGTGGTGACAAACTTCTATGCTCTATTAGAGTCTGTACAGTGCACGATGTCCAACAAACAACCCAACACGCTTTCAAGTACAAACTGACCATGAAATGACTGCAGCCACAGTCCTAGATGTGTGTGAGCTGGTGAACATAATTCTGATGTTCTCCTGGCATTTGGCATAATAGTGCCCCGGTGCTCGGGTACAAATAGACCATGCAATCACAACTACTCATCCTGAAAGTTTCATAATGTAGTAAAAGAACTGACTCAAAACCTCATAGAGTTTCCTAAATATGCACTAGAAGGGAACTCTGGCGCTAGTGTCTATGGGAGCTGCAACGCATGGCGCATCAGCGAGCATGGTAATAATGGGTAGTACACGGATTTGTCTAATCTTCGTACTTCTGGCTCGGTGTGTGTTTGTCCGGCTTAGAGCTGTTTTATCACGAAACGAAAATCAGCAAATGTTCAGCGGTTGCACTTCACCACCTTATTCTTTTAAGTTTACCATTTCAAATCGGGTCATGAGGTTCAAAAGGGCTTGTTCTTTTCTTCGAAACAAAACCGAAAAACGGCAATAAATGAAGCCACAAGTACGATTCACCACCCACAAGATCGAAGACTAGGCAAATCCGTGTACTACTCATCATTCCCATGGTCGCCGAACGATCGCAGCGCCAGCATCCCTTCTAGTTAATTTTAGGAATCTCCATGCAAATTCGCTGCCAATGATATCACGACCAAGCATAAACAATAACATAACAGAAAAAAAACAATCAAGTACACTTTGCACCACCGGTGATGCCACCGTAGCTGCCTTCTACACATCATCGAGGATGCTCTAAGCAGACTTGGGGATCACTCTACATGCCTTGTTGCTGAAACAGCATAGCTAGAGACTCACATAATTCAAAGTCTTGATTTACAGGCGAGGCTTATTTGAAGGAAAACACATCGTTTACATTTAATATGACCGTTTCCTTTTGCTTTAACACCAGCATCGATGGCAAACTGCACTACAGATGGTTAGAAACCACAGCGACTCGGCAAGTATGCCAAGAGGTGCTTGAACTCTCGCTCCCCTGCAGCAACTTATTATTCCATACCAATTAAGCAATCTATTACATTGTTCTGAGCACACTGAAGTACCAAATGTCTTAAGCTACTTAATGTCTCTAGTTGAGCAGGCACTATGAGAGTAGATCTGGGGCAGCAAATATCACTCGTAGTAAAACCGGTAAGACAGGAACAAGATAACGCGCACAGCGCTTACTTAGTTCATCGTACCAACCAGCCACTGATTCAACCACTGATTCAGCCACTGAGCCACTGATTCAGCCGTCATAGCTTCAATAAAAGTAGGCAATATTTTCCAACGAAAAAACTGTAGCCTTTGCTGCTCATGGAAACGTGACAATTTTAATCCTCCCCCTTTCCTTCTAAGCTTTGCTGGTAGGCTACATAATTTCTACAGCCTATACTTGACCTGAAGCCACTGTAAACTGAAGCAACTGTACTGCAGCTTACAGATCGATCCAAACAATAAATCAAGCATGGGCCCTGCAGTGTCCCATCGCCTACTTGTTCTGAGCAACACATCACTTTCCCTAATTAGGTGAGCATGCAATGACACTAGCTTAAAGATTAGCACCTTGCTTCAACCGACCTTGCCATTGGCACACTGCACCATCAACTTACTCAGCGATTTGAACACGTGGCTATAAATGTTATGGGTGTAATAACAGCTGAGTCAAATGCGTAAAGTAACATTTCATTGTTTACCCTGCAGCCTCTGGAACTATGTTTTCCATCAGTGTCTTAGAAACTTCAGTTGACCTTGCATCTGCTTCGAGAATGACAATGATCAGTGCCAAAGCTATAGGCGTTTCTATGCGTCTTCCTGCAGTTAAGCCTCTCAGCCCAAATAACTCCATATAAAACCGACTGCACTCGACAAAACTGCCGAACCAGCAGTGGCTCCTGCTTCTCTGAAATCCCTCCTTTTTGCCAGAAAGCACCAGTGCATGTTCAATATCGATACCTGAAGAGAACGAGAATCAGGTATGGATCAACTTGTGCGGAAAATACCTAAGCACTGATACCAGCTTAGCATCAAGCCCTGCAATAATACTTTGTATCAAAGTATGTGACAAGAAATAGCATTTGTCCGACAATCAGATGAAGCTTTGAAATCAGATGAATGACTCATAGCCGTTCACCAACAAATGAAATCGTTGAATTGGTGAATAACACAGCACAAATTGAGCAGGCAGTGCAGTGGTGAAAAAAGGTGTTACCTCAACGTTATTGTGAAAGGAACATCTTGGTATAACACAAGATAGCAGTAGCTGCTGGACAGCACCCAATTGCAGTGTGTCTACCTTGTCACTTTGTACGTAAAGGCTCTTTCGTAACTTCCCAATTTTTAAAGGGCGGCTTGAAACACAAATGACAATTCAAAATCATTTTTCATAACGCAGAAAGGATCCCTTATTACTTGAGCAGCCAATAAGAGCAAACAAGTTACCATTGAAAATTCGTTCACTGCTGTATGCCACAGCTGTCTACAACAAAAAATGAAACAACAAGAAGAAAGAAAGAAACATGTGAATAAAGTGTGCGGGCTTCGTCAGAAGCAATAAATGGCAACAAGCCGAGCACAGAAAGAATCCATGGGCAGTGGCAGATGAGGCTGTCGATGAGCTGCAATCAAATTTTGAAAGCTTCCACATGCGTCGCCGTCGTATGCAGCAGTGTGCAACCCGGTGACTTTAACGGCATGAGGTAGCTGTGCACACACACAATTTGACATTCTTATGCTTACGACAAGCAAATTATCGGCAAATGAGCAGGCAGTCATTATCACCACGACTGCATTCAGACAAACGTCTATTGTCAACAAGTAAGTGCCGGTTGCTACAGCTGACTTGGAGCCTCTTGAAGTGGGCCACACGACTTGGATCACCAGGGAAACGGAAAAACTCGTATCAATGAAGCAAAGATCAGTCGTTGATGACTCTGTTGGAAAAGCGTTGCACCAGAAGTTCCAGATCACTTATGAACCCCTGTTGCCTCATTTCTACTTATTGAGTAGTAGTACAAGACTATAACACATGTACTATTGTGTGGTTTCGCAGACAGGTAAACATTTGTGGACATCGACAGAATGGCTCGGGCGTCACACGCTGTAGTGGCGCGCAACCTCCAAAAACAACTGAGGCTTGGGAATTAGCTGCAGCAGAAGTTGGATGCAGTCTGTGAGGTTGTTCTTTCAAAACTGAATGAAGTGTCATCACGGGCACAGTTCATATCAGCACCGGTGTGATTCGACCGGCATAGGAGGCTAGCAAATGCACTGTTAACTTCTAATGCCAATCAACACTACAGGGTGTAGCGGTACAAGTAGTTTCCGGGCACGTATCCCTGGTTTCCATGACGATCCTGGACGAACCACCACTCGGGGTTGGCGTGCAGATCACACTGGTGGATCACCAGCAACACCTGCCCCTGAGCCACGCTGAGCTGGTGAGGGCCGGCTGCCGTAAACGGATACAGTGCGTAGTAGTACTGCATGAAAAAAAAAAAGAAATCACTGGTTGGCAGATTTTGCATATTCCGTTCACAAGACGTTGCAAGAGAGCTAAACCACTGTATCGAGATTTACTCAAGACAATTATGGTGTTATAAGCTACGGCTAGCCAACAGTCTTTTTTCATCAACATTGGGTGACGTCATCCCATCAATCTGCCAACACTGGGCAAAATTAGTAAGCGGTGGCTATACAGAAGCGATGATGTCTGGTCTGTGTTGTTTTGCAATGCCTTGGCAAGCATTTTGTATCCGAAATCATACCTAATGACAGAATGTAAGCCAGCAAAGGCCTAGGAAGGTACTGTTCAATAAGTAAGAGCTAAAGTGACGCATCTAAAGAGCACTTTTCTTATATGCTTGAAGGCAATTAAACTGCACCGAGATAAAATGGCCCAACTTTCGACCCTATTTCACGAATGCTTCCTAATTACTCTGAACTAAAGATGAACGGCTTGTGCAAGATCACGTATACAAATGGTAAAAGAAAAAGAGTCAATAGCCATGGCAACAGGCATTGCAAAACACCAGGTAATGCAAGGGTAAAACAGAACTAAACTGAACTGAAGCAGTGCAATTGCAGTGACATAGGCACACCCGATGAGGAGAGGAAGTGATGCGGTGATGCGAGTTTGACATGCAGAAAGGGCTGAGACTTTAGAATAGCTCCACAATAAATAAAAAATAGTCTCACCTCATTGGTGATTGGAGGGTTGCTCGCTGCGGATCCTTCCAAAGCATCGAGGTTTCTGTAGCGTGAGCCCACTTCCGTTTTCGTCTCGGGTGCGTCGCTTTGTTTCTGCAGGGAAGGCGCGACACTCGACGGCCTGGTTCCTCCATCGGAAAGTGGGTCAAACTCGAGGTTCGCATAGCGGGAGCCTGTGGTCTCCGGTTCCCGGATCGGCGACCCAATGGAAGGGCCCTTCTCTTCTGGAATCTCCTCGTAGGTGTGACGCGCTGTCTGGCCGGTTGCGAAAGAGTAGTTGTAGGCCGTCACACCACTGCCTTTTTCTGCGTTTCTAGACACTGTCGTTGTGCTAGCATTGTCGGGCCTGCCATGACTCCCTGTGCTCAGCCCTAGCAAGCTTCGATGTGGATCGGCGGATGAAGGAACCAGTGAAGACAGCGGCATTCCGCCAAATGCAGTCTTATCTTGAACATCAGTGGCCGACGATGGAGCCAAGGAACTGGAGTACCCTTGATGATAGCCACTCTGGTTCATGGCCTGGCTTGGCAGGTGACTTGGTGAGGAAATTGTGGCTTGACCTGCACTTGGCGTCAGCGGCCTTGATATCTCGGCGTACGTGTACGGTTTCCTGCATTTTACGATGAAGGCACACTTTGAGGACAACCAACAGTGGCAAAATGTGGCAGATGTTTGTCATAATTGTTTATGTGAACCCAAAAGGAACAGCATGACAGTACAGCTAGAAGGGATGCCAACGATTATGTTTTTTGCGGGTAGCACGCTGCTCCTGCAATCAGACATGAAGACTGAGATACCATATATTGCCGATTATAAGTTGAAGTTTTCTTCGTAAAATGGCCTTCCAAAGTTTGGGGGTCAACCTATACGTGGAATCGTAAGGTAAACTTTTCTGAGAGGTCTGACAAATGGTCGTCGCCATCGGATTCACTGCTATTTGACACATCTATAACCTAAGCTGCAGAGGAAACGGAGTAGCAAGAACTGCTATTTCGCAGTGCGTGTGTGCGCCGATTCTGGAGCCATTATTACAATATGCTGCGACGATCGCGAAACTACACTATAGCTGCGGCGGCTAGAGGAGGAGGCGTCAGCAACAACGCGCCGGAGATGCAGCACTTTCTCACGATTCATCACCAGCGGCATCACGGTTTAGATGGTAGCGCCACCGCATCGGCACGTTTGTTGGGTGGCATTGGCAAAAACACCGGCTTTGTCACATATAAGTGTGACAGGCTGACAACGCATTTGGCTCACGAAGAAACGCGACATGCGTTTATCGCTCGCTAACAATGCGAGCAATAAACGCATAACACGCTCTCAAATTTCGTCAAGTGCGAACAAGTTAACTTGACGACGGTCATTTTGGGGCCATTGTTAGTGATGTCCGTTTTGAAGAATTCGTCACCGTGGACAGCAATGTTGATACGTACGATCCACTAATAGACAGCAAAATTGTGCGGATAGTTCGGCTAGTGGACGTAGATGACAAATTCAGAAACGAACCACCACCAAAGGCTACCGATGCTGCTGCAAGTCTTGCTCTCAAGCAGCGGTTTTTTATGTTTTGTTGAAGAAAATGCTTGTAATGAATCTAAATAACAGACACTCTGCTGGTAATGATAATCGGTGGCTGTAGTAGTAGCTCGCGCACACCGCTCGCCATTAGCTAAACCTGCCTGATAAAGCACATTTTGCCAAGCTGCGTCTGAACCTTTCTCGACATACAACACCTCTATTTTAAGTGGTAAAGGAGCCGGGGTTCCGATCAACCTGAAACTTTGCAATCGGACGCTACCCTCACCGTTCACCATGACTGCTCTTGGCCTTTCTCAAGCTGCCTTACCAACGACAGTCTACTGTACTGGCGTGCCTCGGCAACGCGACTCACCAATTTTTCGCGGCAACGACGAACAAGACGTCGAGGACTGGCTCGTCGAGTACGAAATCGTAAGCGCTTCCAACAAGCGGAACGCCTGCGACCAGCTCACAAACGTGCGCTTTTACCTCGCTGATGTGGCCATCCGCTGGTTCAAGAACCACGAAGGTGAAATCACCAACTGGTCCACCTTCAAGACCACCATCGCCGCGGTCTTCGGTCGTCCCACCGTGCGCCGGCTTCGCACGGAACAGCGTCTCCGTAGTCGAGTCCAGCGCAGGGACGAGACCTTTAAGAGTTACATTGACGATGTCTTGTCTCTTTGCAAGTGCGTCGATGAATCTCTAACCGAACGCGACAAAATCAAGCACATCATCAAAGGAGTTGACGACGATACTTTCCAGATGCTCGTCGCTAGGAATCCACAGACCGTCACTGATGTTGTCCAGCTGCGTAAGCAGCGTGTCTCGATGCACAGGGCCACTGAAGATACGGCTGAAGTTTCCGCCCTCATGCACGACGTCGCTGCTGATCACACTGTCTTACTGCCCCACATCAAACAATTCATTCGTGAAGAAGTTGCGCGTCAGCTTTCTCGTGTGGCCGAAGCATCCGAGCCAGTGACCTCGTTAGACCCACGTCTACGCCAGGTCATTGAGAAACAGATCACGCAGGCACTGCCTCCATCGCCATCTGTCCCTATGCCGCTGACCTACGCTGCCGTCGTTGCCAGACCCCCAGCCCCACCTGTCTCTGGCGCATACCGGGGACCAGGTCCTCCTACCCTACGACGCTGCCTACATACACGGCACCCCATCCTGTTTCGCCCCCTGCACCTTCTGTCGTTAACCCATGGCGCGCTTTGGATAATCAACCCATTTGTTTTGCATGCGGTTTCGTGGGACATATAGCACGCTACTGTCGCCGTCGCAACTTCCAGCCTCTAGACCATGGGAATTCTGCAAATTACCAGGCTGCCCAGAATCCCCAGCGACCATCTTCTCTTATCACCGACTCATTGTCCCCACGACGCCCTGTCGATTCTCGCCGGTCATTACCACCCCATCGCCGATCTGTCTCCCCGATGCTTCGGCGCACGAGCCCCGCTCGAGAGGAAAACTGACAGTCGCAGTTCCGGAGGCAAGAACTGCGTCGTCGTCGAACTCTCCAAGACCTCTTCTTTGTCGACCCAACAAAATTGATGTGCTAGTAGAAGGTGTTGCTGTACGTGCACTTGTCGACACAGGCGTCGTCGTTACTGTAATTAGTGAAAAACTGTGTCGTGATTTGAGAAAAGTTACAACGCCGCTTATGAATCTTGCTCTGCGTACAGCCACCTCCCATTTCATCATGCCGACGGCTCAGTGCACAGCACGCGTTCATATTCAAGATGTTTGGTACGCCGTCAACTTAGTTGTTCTCCCACGTTCATCTTACGACGTCATACTAGGATGGGATTTCCTTTCTACCCATCAGACCCTCGTCGACTGCGCTCGTTCTAAACTCACATTGACGAATCCGTGCCTTGATATCGACCACCACAGTCTCTCGAAAGTGTTTGCCGCAGCTGACGTCCGCATCGCGCCCTTGTCCGCCGTCCTAGTGCTTGTGTTTTCCCCTGCTGCCACTAACTATAGCTAATGTGCACCACCGAACCATCGTCCTCCCGTTTGCCGTCATCAACTTTTCCAATGGTTCGGCGGTTTCTGCTTGTCTGTTTCTGCTTGTCCGTACATCCTGCTACACGGCGAGTGTCTGGGAAGCCTCGAGACCTTAAATTGTATTTTCGAAGACCCGATCTATCCAGACAAGCCATTTTTACCAACTTGTGTCATTACATCCGCAACTGATGCTAATGAACTCATGGATGTATTCCGCAAGCCCATTAATTGCAACCTCACGCCTGGGCAGCAGCAACAGCTGATCAAGCTCCTCCAGCGTTTTCGAGCCTCGTTTGACCACAAGCAGCCTTCCTTAGGTCGAGCGTCATCTCTTGTTCACCGTATAGATACCGGTCAAGAGACGCCATTACGGCAGCGTCCATATCGTGTGTCAACTACCGAACGCCGTGCTATCAATGAAAGGTTGACGACATGCTGACACGTGCCATAATCGAACCGTCAAGCAGTCCCTGGGCCTCTCCAGTTGTGTTGGTGAAGAAGAAGAACGGATCCATCAGGTTTTGCATGGACTACCGACGTCTCAACTGAATCACGTGCAAGATGTCTATCTGCTGCTACGCATTGACGATGCCTTGGACTGCCTACAGGAAGCCGAATTTTTCTCTTCTTTTAGATCTGCGCTCTGGATACTGGCAGGTACCCATGGCAGAGGCTGATCGCGAAAAAACAGCTTTCATCACGCCCAACGGGCTTTACGAATTCACAGTCAAGCCCTTCGGCCTCTGCAACGCGCCAGCTACTTTCGAGCGAATGATAGACTTTATTCTTCGAGGCCTCAAATGGAACGTTTGCCTTTGTTATTTAGATGACATTGTCGTCTTTTCAACTGATTTCGCAACCCATTTAGCCAACTCGAGAAAGTCCTCGCGTGTATTTCTGCCGCGGGGCTGCAACTGAATCTGAAAAAGTGCCATTTCGCCGCTCGAAAGCTTACGATCCTTGGCCACGTGGTTTCAAAAGACAGCATTCTTCCTGACCCTGCCAAACTTACAGCCGTTTCAGCGTTTCTTAAACCGACCACCATGAAAGAGCTCCGAAGCTTCATAGGCCTTTGCTCTTACTTCCGGCGCTTCGTCCGCAATTTCGCGACGATCATCGCTCCTTTGACCAAGCTCCTCGCCGGCTCTAGAGACCTTTCAGCCTGGTCTGTTACCTGTGATGATTCTTTCAATGAACTGCGCCGCCTCCTCACGTCGCCGCCTATTCTGCGACACTACGACCCATCGGCACCTACAGAGATCCACACCGACGCTAGTGGTGTCGGGCTAGGCACTATTCTTGCACAGCAGAAAGACGGCTTTCAAGAGTACGTGGTTGCCTACGCAAGCCGAACTCTTAGCAAAGCCGAAATCAACTATTCCATCACTGAAAAGGAATGCCTCGCCATTATTTGGGCAATAGAGAAATTTCGACCTTACGTGTACGGGCGCCCTTTTGACATCGTGACTGACCCCCACGCCCTCTGCTGGTTGTCGTCACTGAAGGATCCAAGCGGTCACCTCGCCCGATGGGCATTAATCCTCCAAGAATATAATATTAGCGTGGTCTATCGCTCCGGCCGGAAACATTCGGACGCAGACGCCCTATCCTGTTCGCCCCTACCCTCTGACCCGGAGTGCTGCGAAAGTCTCATCTGTGATGCCCCTGCCGTCACCATCGCCGACATGCCATCTGAGCAACGCAAGCACCCTAGGGTTGCTTCAATTCTAGACATCCTGGCTGGGCGGACGGATTTTCCCCCTTCTCGCACGTTGCATCAGCAAGTCGAGCACTTCACCACACGCGACGACGTGCTGTACCGACGCAACTACGCACCCGGTGGACGTCAGTGGCTACTCGTGATTCCACGTCATCTGCGATCCGAAGTTTGTTCCACGTTTCATGACGACCCCCAATGTGGCCACGCAGGTTTCCTGAAGACTTATTCTCGCATACGTCTCCGATATTACTGGCGTGGCATGTACCGTTTTATACGACAATACGTTCGGGCCTGCTTGACGTGCCAGAGACAAAAAACTCCCCCTTATCACGCCAGCGGTGCCTTGTTACCCTTACCATGCCCATCCCGACTATTCAACCGCGTCGGCATCAATATCTATGGTCCCCTTCCCAACATTGCTGACAGTAACTACTGGATCATAGTTGCCGTCGACCATCTCACGCGGTATGCCGAAACTTCATCCCTTCCTCCGTCTACAGCAAAAGACGTTGCGACTTTCGTTCTTCACAACATCACATTACGTCATGGAGTACCTCGGGAGTTACCGAGCGATCGTGGTCGCGTATTCTTGCGAGACGTCATCACAGCATTGCTGCGTGAGTGCCACGTCGTTCACCGCACTACAAGCGCCTATCATCCACAGACCAATCGAATGACAGAGCGCTTCAACCGCACCCTTGGTGACATGCTGTCTATGTATATCTCGTCAGACCACTCCAATTGGGACCGAGTGCTCCCGTTTATCACGTTCGCCTATAATACCGCCATTCAAAGCACTACTGGGTTCTCTCCTTTTTTTCCCCTTTACGGACACGAACCTTCTTGCACTATGGACATCATTCTTTCGTACAAACCTGACTCCTCAGAGTCCACGACTTTGAATCAAGCCGCTACATACGCTGAAGAGTGCTGCCAACTGGCAGGATCATTCGCAACCCAAGATCAAGGACACCAAACGCACCACCATGACGCATCAAATAACACTACTTCCTACGATCCAGGTTCACTCGTCTGGCTTCATGTCCCTTCTGCTACACCTGGCCTTTCTACCAAGTTGGTCCCCAAGTATCGCGCCCCATATCTTGTGCTACAAAAAACGTCACCGGTGAATTACCTCATCGAGCCACTGGAACCATCTTCTGACCAACGTCGTCGTGGCCAGGAAATTGTCCACGTCTCGAGACTTAAGCGCTGCTACGACCCTCCCGTGTTTACCTGTCCATAGGTCGCCAGGATGGCTCCTTATTTCGTGGGGAGTAATTGTAATGAATCTGAATAACGGGCGCTCTGCTGGTAATGAAGAAGACGATGATGATCGGTGGCTGCAGTAGTAGCTCGCGCCCGCCGCTCGCCATTAGCCAGACCTGCCTCATAAAGCACATTTTGCCAAGATGCGTCTGAACCTTTCTCGACGCACAACACCTTTATTTTATGCTAAAGAAGTACTTCGACGTGTTGTGCTCTGAAAACTTGCTAGCCACAGAGAAAAAGAGAAGATGATGATGAACTACTTCTTAAGGGGAAATCAGGCTTGATGAAATAAAAGCGCAGTTCTGTGCATTTTGCTTAAATGGAAGTTTGTTTTATTCGAAGTTCTTTTGCAGTTCCTGTGCTCTTTGATTAACGGGAGTCGACTGTACTTGTAATTCATCCCACTGAAGATAGAAAAGCAGCCCACATTGTGGCAGTGACATGAAAATTTGTTGTAAGGTAGGTCCACTAAGGAAGTCTGCAACATCCGCATATCTCGTACTAGTACTCAACACCCACCTTTGCTCTGCAGGCTGCGGACTCGGACTTGCTCGCGACACCTGCATCGGTGTTCGTGGCCTCAAGGGGTCGGTGGCACTGTACGGGGGCGGCGGGTCGTATCCACTCGCTGCAGGTGGCTGTGGGGAGACGCGCAGCTGGGAATCAGGTCGCCCCTGTGGCTGATGCGCTGGTCGCAAGAACTTGGCTGCCACAAACCCCTTGGTCGCTGCAAAGCCAGTCAATCAGTTTACAGGGACGCTAAAGTGAGACAAATCAGACAATGAATCCATCTAGAATGAGGGATTTTCAAGTATTTCCCCCCTGTAGCTTTAACAATAGAGGAGAGAATCGAGGTCAAAGTTAATATTTAGTTTCACGAAAATATCTCCCCGCGCACGATGTCATCAATTTCAATGCGTATTTTTTATATTTAGGTAACATTGGCTCAGCAAGGTTTTCTGAAACCTGGCATGTTAAGTCTCTGGCCCTTTAAAAGGATAATGTACTTCATATTTAACTAGAGGAGCCTATTGAGACTTAGTATATGCCTTCGAAATGTATGACGTGACGGCAACTGTTGTGAGAATTTCAAGGTGGCATTGCCAGCTGTGCCTCCTTTTAGCATGTTTTCTCACTAACCAATTTCCGTGGTTACTCCATAGAAGCACATTTATTTGTGATTATTTGCCCTGGATTTTGTCATTTTGGCACGAGCTTGCATCTTCCGCAGTTACCCCACCATTGACGAAACGCCAAGTGGTGGCGAGGCGCACATGGCCCAGCGACTCTTTGGCAAGAGCAAACACTCGTTATTACGCTTAAGTGTGCGCAAGGCGGGCAAGAGTGCCTGCACCCCTCGAGACGGCATTGCCAACATTCTTACTGTCGCAGGCACATACCCGGAGGTTCCCTCCCTTTCTCTGCAAACCAAAAAGAAAAAAAAAAGTACTTTTGCATTGGCAGTGCCCCCCTTTTAATTAGCGTCACATATGTGGGGCCATGCTGCATTTGGAGAGCACTTTACTGAATAGTTTTCAGCGGTTTACGTGCCATTCGCTCTTCGTTTTCGACGTCGCGCGCAAGCCCTTGCATGGTTTCACTGCGCGTTTGTGGAGTGGCCCTCGACGACGTTGAGCTTTGCTATATATATTTTTTTTAATGTGGACAACTGTGTCGTTACTACAGAGTAGTTCTCAGATTAAGTGCTGATGGGAACTCTCGGAGACTAAGGTGACAACAACGGATCTTAGGAGATCGATTCGTGACACGTTTCCCTCTTGCGCCGCGAGTTCTCGGGACCATAGCCTTCGCGATTAGCTGATTAGATCTGCCAACACGATGGCGCGTTGATTACAATGCAGTGAATGTGACAGATAGCAACAAATCGTAATGTTTTACAAAGTAAGACTAACGTACCCTAACCCTGCTTTTCTCAACAAGCTTTACCCTGAGGTTTACTTAACCAACTGGTGTACTAAATGTCGTGGTTTAGCCACCTTACATCACATGATCTGGAAGTGCCTTTCGGTACGCGGCACCGATACAGCATTGTCCAGAAAGTGGGACTCCGCTCACCGGAGTTCGGATATAACATCGCAACTTTGGGCTGTCCAAAGGGCCCACGATGCAGCGCTAGGTCTCGGCCTTACTGTTTCATCACGGGAGCAACCCACCGTGTGCTAGTGCGCACGCCTTCGGACTTTCAAAATAAAGTTTTCCAAAACCAAAACTAATTCCAACTGGCAGACAACTCTTTCAGAAACGATATTGCGGAACTTCAACAAAATGGTGGTGTAAGTAAATACGGCTGCTTCAGAGAGAAGTGCTCTGTTCACAGAGGAGTCCCTTCTCATTAAAAGCGCACTGACGCTTGTTGATATAGCACACGTGCCGGCGAACAGCACCCTTAAAATCAAACTTCACTGCTGCTACTCAGGCCACGCCCCCTCCCTCAGGGTTTTATTATGCCCGTTCAAAACAGGCGGTTTCCTTTCTGTTTAAGCATTTGACAGCAGGTCTAACATGCAGGGCGATGTTATTGTATGCGCCCTCCAAACAATAGAGATCGGCTGACTTATTTTATCTCTGCTTCAGCAGCGCTCGCACACTTTTACCTGCTTGTAAAAGTTACCACGCAATGCACAGGGGCGTGTTATCAATTTGGACTTGTTATGGAACATGGCGGCGATGGCAAAACCCATAGAGAGTGTCTGCAGAACAGCTTTTACCACTAAAATAATGGTTTTGGGTGAGCGCTGCCTTTAGTTCCACTTTTGTATAATTTGTGCATTTATTTTCCCAATCTTCATACCGAACCTGCGTATAACGAAATCCTTTCTATAACAAATTTTTTCGGAAATTTGTCAACTTCATTATATCTAGGTTTAACTGTACTAACACAAGAAAAATTGGTTTTCTTTTTAGCGTCCCTTTAACTTCACCGTCTCGTTCAGTGGCCAAGCAAAGCGTGTCAAGAATTGTCACATACCACCATTTTCAAATGCCAACATATGAGCAGACAGGCTGAGACAGAGAACATTGGAAATTGCTTCTACAATTTGCTCGACAGCCCTGTTAGAAGAGAGATTGACAATTAAGAAAAGTAAGAGCAGACAGCAGTCAATTTAAGCAGCTTATTGACGGCTCTTTTCATACAGTGTCGCTGTGCCTAATACAACTTACCCAAATTTTTCGTTTAATGTGATGGATTCCCATCCTTCTAAAAAAGATTAGTGAAACTTCTGATCAAAGATTTGCAATTAGCATACTTAGTAAATTTTAGTCAACATTTAGCATTTTAATGGTGAATCCTATACAGAGGACACGTTCAACTGCACACTGATGTTAAAAAGATGACTGCTAAAGCATTAAAAAATGCATTATGTTTGTTGCATGCATATCACAAAAGTGCAGTGGTTGGGACATAATGGTTCTGATATATTACCAGTGCATTGCATGAACAAACAGAAATGCTAAGTTAGTTCTTTTTTTTTCCCTAGATGACAAATTTTCTTTAGAAATTTCGGAATTTTGATATGAAAGCTCAGGTACAGTTCATTCTTTATGCATTATTACTACACATTGTGCATTCAAGAGGTATACATGTTCAAAAAACTAAAACAGGTGATAATATTAGCTACAAGATTTGTGTTTCCGGGCAAGGGAGTGAGGTGGCTTACTACAACTTCTACATGCGCTGACATAATTGTGTTCACAAATATGCCTGATCAATCACTTGTCCCTTGCTTAATCAATAAATTAATCAATACACTCACCTCCATTGTCAACAAACCACCGCTCAGGGTTGCCCATGGGATCTTGCTGTTTGACCACACCAACAATGTCGCCAGCGCGAAGATTGATGTCCAAAATGTCAGAGGAGGCATAGTCCTCTGCAACCGTGTAGAGGAACTCCATGGGGTAACTGGAGCGCAAGAACACTCGCTGCATGTCAGTCTGAGGTTCCTGCAGAAAACAGCAAGCAAACAAGGTTACCACTTCACATGCAAGTGTTGCCTTAAGGCGACAAACAAACAGACAATCAAAATTTTTTCGGCTTTTAGTTATTTTATTTTCCAGGTACATAGACTAGTTTCCGGCTAACGATGTTGGCTAACACTGTATGACAGGCAGAAGCATCACTAGTGAGATCAGAGTAGCAACACAAAACAGGGTAAATATTCGGACTGTGACATGCTATTAAATGCGAAGCATTTCTTGGCGAACTTCGGCAACTTTGAGCGTATCCATCTATAGTATCTAGCCACTTACAGCTTTTAGCTGTCCTGGCCGTTTGGATAATGGTATCAATGCCAAACTTGATGTGACATAACATGACTGTATGATGAACATAACTGACTAGTCATAACATGAAAATCATGACATTGATATCATGAATGTCATGATTTACATTTCGTGGTCCTGCAGCTCTTGCGGTGGTTTCGTTCATATGCCATGTTGCGAAACTGGTATGGTATGACATGGCTGCATAACAAACACAAGCTGCAGACCCTATTATCAATATCATGACATGCGTGTCATGTAAGAACATGACTACATGTCACACTCATGATGTGCTCGCGGCCGTTTCGCTAGCTTTGCATATACCAAATTTCGTATGACAGGATGTGATTGGATGATGAAGGTATGTGACTGGTGCAAACATGATAATCATGAGATGCATGTCATGTAACCACATGACTACATACCACGCTCATGATGCGCTCGCGGCCATTTCGCTAGCTTCACATATGCCAAATTTGGTATTACATCACATGAATGGATGACGAAGGTATGTGACTGGTGCAAACATGATAATCATGAGATGCGTGTCATGTAAGAACATGACTACATGCCACACTCAAGGCGCCAATACACTTCGACGAGACCCGATGCACGTGTGTGCCGGCGTTCATTTCATTGCGTCACACTAGCAATGCCACGCTAGTCACCGATATCCCCCTATTAGAGATCAGTGGTTCTGTCCACTAGCCTCCATTGTAGATCTGCCTGCCATATACTCGCAGGCACGTGCTGCGTTGCTTTGATGCATGTGCATTTGAGCGCACACTGCGTCCCTCCGTCACAAAGAGAGGCAGACGCTGTGTGGTCCAAGTAACGTCATCGGTGCGAAATGCAGCATGTCACGTATCATGCCGGTCCCCACTGGGCCGCGCCAACAGACGCTGGTCGCGCCTGTCGCGTTTCGCTAGCGTGGCGTCGCTGCGCCTAGCCTGCACTCACGTTTACCTTGCGTCGGAGTATATTGGGCCCTTCACGACGCGCTCGTCGCCGTTTCGCTAGCTCCAAATGTACCGAATTTCGTATCCTGGGAAGTGAATAGATGACGAAGGTAAAAGACACGTCTAAACCTGATAATCATGAGATGCGTTTCGTGTAAAGCATGACTACATGCTACGCTCATAGCATTCTCGCAGCCATTTCACTAGCTCCACATATACCAACTAAGGTATTACGCGACATGAATGAATGACGAATGTAAATGACACGTCCAAACACGATAATCATAATATGGATGTCATGTAAAACACGACTACATGCTACGCTCATAGCACTCTCACGGCCGTTTCGCTAGCTCCATATATATCAAAGTTGGTATCAGGTGACAGACATTAATAGATGACGAAGGTAAATGAAATGTCCAAACATGATAATCACGACATGGAAGTCATGTACGGCATAACTTACCTCCGTCTTGTAACGTTGTGCTGATTTCGAAGTGACCTATCATCTTTCCTCATTCGTGCTTCGCATATCATCGATTTCCTCTGTACAGGGGATCTGCCTTTTTTTTTTTTTTTTTTTTTTTTTGAAGCATGGTTGAACAAGAAATACTGACTTGAGATCCCCAGCTACAAGCAAATCATCAAGAACACATAGAAGCTACAATTTACATCTATGTTTAACATCGCAAGGAAAGCGGCTAAGTACCATAGGATAACTGAACGAGATGAAGCTCCCCTTTAAAATTCTGCCTAGTGTTGCCCTCTAACACAACTTACATCATCCTAAAATGGTGACAGAATGCTACAGAAGGTACAAAGTGCGAGGGAGTTGAGATGGATGTCAGAGTTCGCATTTCGTCAGAGAAGTGGGAGGCAACAAAATGCACCACAGTGTTCACTCTTGTTTGCACTGTTCCTCACAACAGCATCGTAAAAGCCAGAATTCAGTCGTGTCTGCCTGCACATAAATGACACCGCACTTTGCAGTTCGGGCAGAACTTTGTTGTTTTCTTTTCCATTTGAGGAATATCTCACTCTCCTTATGCGCAGAACTTTTAGTAAAGAAAGGGCTAGCATTTCCTTCAGGAATCTTCAAACGTTCGACCAGCTCACCAGTTTGCCAGGAATGGTTGCGGTCGTGGAAGAGCCAAGCCCCAGGCGGGCAGCCATCTTGGCCCCGGCACTGCGGGACAGGGTGCCTCCCCCCTCGGCCTTGGCCAGGAGGCCGGAGAACAGGTTGGTCTCGCTCGCGCTGGGCTCCTCCGCGAGGCTCTTGAGCACCAGCGTATGCTTGATGCGGAAGTTCTCCAGCACGTTGCTATTGCCTTTGGCGCTGAGCATCATGGGAAGCTTGAGGGGGTAAAGGAAAGCCTCATAAGAATATTTCAATGAAAGTGCGAGCTTTTAGCCTATAAGCTCTGAACGCAAGCATCAGCAATGACACAGTGGTGTACACCTTAGCAATTTTTTTTCATGTAGCATGAGCGATGACCTCTGAACATGGCAGCACCTAATATAGGCAAAAAGTAATGAGATTTACAACATGATGAGCAGGCACCAGGAGAATGCTCATGAGCACCGTATGCTACACTGTTTGCCGTTGGGTTTGCAGATGAGCCTCGCTCATAGAACATATCAAGACATTCAAGCGATCAAGCGACCAAACGTGTGTACATTTATGAACTGCTCTTACATCAACAAGTTCTCCAGCCAAATTTATTACATTACTTGACAATTGCTAAATAACATTATACAATATGCAAACACAACGCACAAACAACAAAACGCATCCAATGTACTCATATGCGGCGTCACCGACATCCGTCTCCCCCCGAGAGATCCAGAAGAATCAACACGTGGCATTGTCCCCATGGACCTCCCCCCAACAATGCACGTCTGACTATGCACGCTGCCGAACCCCCAAAAGGGTGCCACTGCTGTTCCCTGTGCACCGGCTTAACCTCTCTTCAGTCAGGCGACCCTGCCGGCACCACCGGGCTAAACCTACCCCACGCAAAGCACAGCGCCGCCTCTCTTGCAGCGGTTGTTAAATCTAGCTGCAGCTAATTCGCGAGACGTGCGTGCGCGATCAGGTGCATACGACTTTACCCAGCTTAGAGATGGCTAAGTATCAGCCTTATCTGTGCGATCATGAGTTCAGAAAGCCCGGGCGACATTTGTTGTCGCAGTGCCGATCTTGTAAACTGCCACAACTGGGGACGATGCATGTGAAATACCATGGAAAATTGCTAGGGCGTACTAGAACTCATCTGTATATAAGCGATCGGTTTTAGCCACTAATCAGATTGTGACCACCTAGGGTAGAGGTGCACTCACTGATATCATCGTGTTTGACTAATTCAGTAAAAGCTAATTGTTTTCGAATTTCACACAGCAAAAAAATGTCCAAATTAACTGAATTACAAATTACCAAAAGCATCAAGAAAACAATAAACAAACGTTCATTACATCAATACGCTTCCATTTTTTTTTGATGAACACATAAGTACATGTTCTTACTTTGCATAACAACGGTGCAAAAGCCACAATTTTAGCCACTCGTGATTTTGTTCAGAATGTGGCCGTGGCTCAGGAGCACTTCCTTCACTAACCCAAAATGTACTTCCGCTAAACATTGTTACCATCATTACTGTCATTACCATATGCTTTGCACTGACAACAGCAATGTAGACTGCGCTGCATTGATTCAATTATCTGCAAACACCAATTTCACTCTTTTGCGTCACACATTTGCGGCACTTTCCTCGTGGCACGCTCCGGGGATCGTCTGAATTAACTGGACTGCGGCCAAGCATTACTGAACTACAGAGAGTTTGATGCCACTAAACTATGCATATGCTGGCCAAAACTAAAGCACATGTCTGAACTATACAATTTTCCAAATTAATAGGCATCGAACCAACGAGCTTTTACTCTACTCGCTTATGCAGGGCCCCTTATTCAACAATGACGAGGTACTTCCTCATACATCTCCGGCTGTTGTATTCTTCAATGATGGCTGTATTTCTCCTCATCATCATGCGAAAACATTCAGCTGCTGTTTTGAACAGTACTCCTCTCCCGGTTCCCCTCCTCTAGCTTTCCAGTAGAAATTGGTTCTCATGCTAGCCACCGCAATGGTACAATGCTCATTGCTGACCCGAACAGGTGCAGGTTCAGTCCCAGATGCAGTGGTGGCATTTTCGACGGAGGAGGAAATGCCAAAGGCTCGTCGTGTACCTAGGTTGAAGTGCAAAAAGCCCCAGGTGGTTCAAATATCCAGAACCCTTCGATGCAGCATGCCTCATAACCACATTGTGATCTCGACACATAAAAGCCCTAGAAGTAATTAGTATTTCATGGCTATAATGCCATACGAAACCCTACCCCAAACCTTCTTGAAACCTCCCACCAGAGGACGGCACACTCACCTCCATGAGGGTGAGCATCTCACGAGTTGTGCGGCCGATGAAGGTCTTGCGGGCTCGCAGGAACTCCTGCACGCACGACTGCAGCACCTCCCGCGAAATGCCGCACAGCTTGGGTAGCTCGTCCAGAAGCTGCGCGTTGAGCGCGTTGTACGTGTTCTTGGCCAGCTGTTGTTCGTCCGAGAGCTGCGGTGGGACAGTCAGTGAGTGCGAGTTGTTTTATTTCAGTTCCGAGCCCTCTCTGTCTTTGTTGAGTGTTCTTTCGTGGTTTAGTACCTTCGTTAAGGTATTAGCTTTCCCAACCAAAATTTGTCAGTACACGCAAGTTAAAAGACAGCATGCCAAAGATCGGAATGTGCTTAACGCAGCAAAACACATACCAACATCACATCAATATGTGATAAATGTCTTCATCACTCATCCATGACTTTTTTTTTTTTTTTGTTCCGTTGGTGCTTTTTTCTCTTCCTGAGTTATTGCTGTTCCATCACGACGTATTTGACATATATAATTTAAGACATCTGTTAGTTATATAGTCTGCTTTTTTCTAACTATTTTTCTTATTGTTTGATAGCATTTTCGTTAATCTTTTGTGCTCCTTTGCTACTATTCATTATTGGGTTTCCTACAACTGAAATTGTTCTGTCATTGATCCTGAGGTTAAGTATGTATGAATGGATGGAGGCAGATTTCCTCTGCCTTTAGTCCTTTCGACCTAGACACTGTGTCTAAATAATCTCAATGAAAAATACACTCAAGAAAAAACAAGGCACGGACGGGGAGGCTGCAGAAACTCGGCTCACCGCCTTCTGCTTGGTGAAGTCTCGGTTCTTCTCCAGGCGACTCTTGCTGGCCACGTAGTCGAGCAGCTTGTGCTGCCGCTTGGTGATCAGCTTGTTGGGACCCACAAACATCTGCAGCAGCTGCTTGAGCACGCCCTCCACGTCCCGCTCCACCGCCGTTGCCTGGTTTGTCGCAAGGAGCGAGGCAAAAGCGCTGCTCGCGGCTCAAAATGTCGCTGGCAAGCATGGGTCGGCGAACTCATTGATAAGTCGGCTCACTCAGACTTGCTCAGATCGGGCCGCGACTTTGAGTCGGTAGTGGGTCCGGGTGAGTATTGTTTTGGCGAGTTTGAATTCGGGCGAGTCCGGTTAAAGAGAGTTTTGCGTGAGTTCCAAGTAGAACTGAGTCAAAAGAGCAAGACATATTTCTTGAATGAGTCTGAGTGAGTTTTACATTTTTTCTGCCGAACAACGATCCGATCCGCTCATCTTCAGCGTTAAATCAGCCTTACTTGGATTCACATTACACGTATTCCAAAACAGTGTCGTTCATACACCAATTCAATATTTATTGATCATAGGTGTGCATTACGTAGGAGGGCCGCCTTGCTAATTCTTCCAGGGAAGCTGTCTTTCAAGAAAAATGCCCTTAATGGTTTGCGAGAACTCGCAAATCCCATTTGACAGTACTATATCAAAAGGTGCCAAGATGACCGCCTATTACGTGAGATACTGGTGTTAAAGCGCACTATGGTTGAAAAAGCTAATTCTAAGCTAACAGACTCACTCTGACTCACCTAGACTCGGGTGGCACCATGAGTCTGAGTGAGTCTGGATCATTAATTTTTTGGAGAGTTCGAGTGAGTCTGCTTAAACAAAATTTTCCCAAGTGCGGCTAGTCTGAGTGAGTTCGGCTCAGTAAAATTTTGGTGAGTCTCGATTCGAGTTATCCCTAAGCGCAAAATATATTTCATCAGTGAGTCTGGGTCGGCTCCACAAGTTTTGCCAACCAATGCTTGCAAGTACCACATTTACTCGCGAAATGAACGCACTCGCAAGAAGGATGCACCTCCAACTTCAGTCGCCGAAATTCAGATTTTTTTTCCCTGCATAACAAACGCACCCCCTACATTCATCCGCTGTCGTCCCCACAAACTGACACCACCTTGCCTGTTGAATCTCTTCCGTTTTTTATTATTATGCCAACCAATCGTGGCTCGCTCCCCCCCTTTTCTTCACCCACTGCCACGCACCGTATTGTTTTTATTTCTATATGTGTGCGGCGCGTCCCCAATCTTCTTCCATTATCTATGCGCCAGAGCGGGGTTCACAAACGATGCGAGTGTAGAGACATCACAGCTGACAAGCACACAGCGAGCAAAGGTCACGAAACTGTCCGCGCCAACCGACGGTTGCTTCCTTCAAATACAAAACTTCAAGGCCCAACCACATGCACGGGATTTTCGAGCAACGACAACAGGATTTGCTGTTGTCACATCACATCGCAGGTTTCTAGAAAACCAGAAAAAATAGCTTGTTGCTCAGAAAAGATTGTGATGATTTCCGCAACACGGTAGCACCCCCGATACTCTTTTCACTTGTTATCCGCGCGAACTTCAAGGAACGCAAGATATAGGCTACCTTTTGTACAGTGACTTCTCATGTGAACAGCGAGACGACAGCCGCATTTTGCAGTTAATCTTGTTATCGACAGTTCGTTTCGACGATTCGGTGATAGCTTGCTGCAATGTTAGTTACTTGCTACAATGTCAACAGCGACGTCGTGTGAATAAGTTGCTGCAAAGTTAGCAAAGCACTGCTCATCACGTGACCAACTGTCTGGTCTGTAAAAACAGGATGAATCGGGGTGTATCTCAACAGCACTGTAATTCAGGAATTTTCTCTAGTTATGACCACCGTACTTGCAATCGGCACTTGTCTGATTGCAGCAGACAGATTTGTTGATCCGGTTTCAAGTCTCACAGAAAAGAAACCGTCATAATGCGCTGTATGTAAAGGTGGATCGGAGAGCTACTTCAGATTGATTTGAACCATGTGGCATTGTTTTGCGTAAAGGCCAAAGCATACGAGAACTCTTTTGCTGCTTTTCACTCGCAATTCAAATGTGGTCCCCTCATGCTTGCTAGGTATGACTTCGTCCTCAGCTAGCCATCACCTTAGCGTTAGCGATTAAAGGAATGAATAACAAAACGGTGACATAATCATAAGGACACTGCAAAAGGTATGCATGCAATGAGTACTGTAATTACAAGATTGTAAGCCAACTCATATGTAGGTCGAGCCCCCTTAAATTGCATGGCAAAAGAAAAAAAAGAGGGGGGGGGGGGGGCGGCACGAGCACATTTTATTAAAAAATTTATTCGTGATATCTCCGAAGAAAAATCTACTTCCAGTGTGCCAATGTGGCTTCACGGCAGTGCTTGAATGCTGCACAGAAAGAGTAGTTTTGCGGGAACATGCGGGAATCATTTTAAGAAATACTTCAAAACCGAAATTAATTTTAGATTCAAGGTCAATCACCCAACTTAAGGCTTCAAATCAAAACAAAATGGGTCGACCCACAATCATGTAAATATAGTACAAACTAATGACGAATATGCGACAGGTACAAAGGCTGAAGCCTCGATACCCACATTTAACTCCCTGGCTGCTTTCAGTGCTCATGAATGACTGCGAATGCCACTAAGACTCACAAATTCGTGCCAGTGCTGGGCGCAGATGGTATGCTGGACCGCTCGATAGCGTTCCACCTCGGGCAGCGACTTTCGGTCGTGGTAGTACTGAACCAGGTCCTCGGACAGTTGCAGCGAGACGTGCACCGTTTGCTGCACGTGAACGGGACCAATGAACTCTGTTAAGCGAACGCAGTGACAATAGGTTGCTGCTATTCTCCTGCACAACACAGAGAGGTTAATGATATGCAACAAAGCAATCACACAACTGGTGTTATACCTTGGTACAATAATTAACAGAATAGATCATTAACACTACTGGTGGTGAGACGATCCGTCATCCTACTCTTTCTGATATTCCTTCATCCTCCTATGTACAGACGGGTTCACAGTTAAAAGAAACACTTTTGTGTGCACTGTATATGGATTTCACTCTCGGGCAAAAACATAGTGGCTTAAATTTGCACATGACTACTGTTGGTTGACTGTCCTGACTTCTTTTGATAGACTACTGCTGGGTAAGAACAATGTTTCCACATATACTTGCAGTTCTGAGGCCCGCAATATTACAGGTTCTCTTTAGTGTTCTCTTTAACAGTGGACAGCACTGTACATCATCCCTGGTACTCTACACTAGTCCATATATGTCACAAAGATGCTATTGCACCTAAAGCAAGCACAACCAAATGCATATCGAGTTATACATTTGAAACCCTATATGCGAGACATGAACTGGGCAGCAATTCTTGTATATTATACTATAAGGCATCTCCTGTAAAGAGCGTACCACGTATAAATTTTATTATCAACCCTTATTCCATTGTAGGGATACTGGTGTCTCTAAGACCCATCTGTCTATTACAACAATGTCTCTTATAAAGCGGTTTGACTGTATAGAGGTTGTCCATTGACATGAGTGGAAGCAGACAAATTTTAATTCTTTTTTTATCAAGAGGATGGTTGTAGAAAGTTCTACCTTCACAATAAATGCAGCTGTGGTGGCCAGGAAGTGAACGCACGACTTCGTGCTATCGGGTAGAATACAGTAGCGACTGAGTCGCCACCGCATGTCAATAAGCATCTCAATATTGCCTACTAGCACTAAATCCTGCTGCCCAAGAATGCAAATCAACAAAAAAAAATGATGCTACAGCAAAAGAGATAGCAAGGAGAAACAGCACCCACAAACATTCCTAATTCCATTTATAACAACATGACCCAACACTATGACACACTGTGAGGCACCAAGCGCTGCACTACAAATTTTTTTGAGCACACTGCATGCCCCGTAGGTGTTGTCTAGGGCAATTTATAAAACCACAGACAACACAGCAGCTTTTCAAACGCCGATTGGCTCACTTTCATCTGGTCGCAGAACACAGCGAGGTTCTTGAGGAAGAGTTTCAGCGCCTTCTCCAGTACACGGAATTCTCGTTCGGCACGCTCGAAGGCTTCATCTTTTTCCTGCAAATAGTTGTAAACAAGACAGATGTTAATTCCTGAAGATAAATATGTGGACCACTGTACTTAATGGGCTCATTTCAAGAGCAATGACAAGCAATAAGGTAAGTATTTATTAATATAATAAGCACTATAAAAATGCCCGTCACTTCTGGTTTCTGGCATACTGAATGATATCAGGAGACTTGCTGTATGTAAGACGACATCACCATTTTTACGCATCATGTCTGCAGAGGTGTGCACAAACATCGAGGACATGACAGGCTATCTAATGTCCTGCCACAAAGCCCTGCAAGCAAAAACTCATCACACTCACACAAAAAAAAAAACCACGCGACAAAGTCGAGCAACGAAAGTGATTGTCACGTGACCAATTGCCAAGTGAATCGCTCCGTTTCGCAAATTTAGAAACTGTCACTCGTTGCCTAAAAGTTGTACCACCGACCGCCACAAGCGGCAACTGACACGTCGCCACAGAACCTGTGACGTCACGTGCAGCAGAGCTGTCGTCTTCCACCATTGTTTTGACCACTGCAAACATCCAATTTTAGCATCGAAGTGAAGAAAGCCGAAATACCTTATTTCATGCACAGCTGATGGCAGATCAATACCGTTCGCTGAAAGGCAGATGCTCGCACAACTAGCTGCTTTTTCCACCACGGCTCGATAGTGTGCCAGTGTTGCCCTGCTCTAAAGCCACTGATGTGTTTATAACAAAAATCAATTATAATAATTAATTATAAAGTAAGTGCTCGACCAAATGCACTAATACTTCACTAGCTTATTCGTGAATGCACAGTAATTAAACTCCACGATACGGATTATAACTGAAATGTGTTGTCATGGCCCCTATAATGAAAGAATTCTAGAAATATTTGACCCTGTAATGCCCAGGTACAGTTATGCCTTCAGAAAAATTGTGAGGGAACACTGACTGCTCTTACTCTTCTTGGACAGTTCATTTTAAGAAAAATGTGAAAAATTTGTTTGAGGCATGACCTAATTAGTGCTAATTGGAAATAATTACTACCATATAATATGCAAGTCACTGTACCTTCTTCATAGCATGTCAAATCTGCAATAGCTGCTTATTGTGACACCTATAGTAGGTTTTAGTAGCGTTATTGAGGCATTATATTCAATGCAATGTATCAAATATGATACAGTGGGCTTTATAGGGCTAATGTCACTTGGCACAACGAATTGTATTGCCTTAGATTAGTTACTATTGGCATCATGTCAGTTTCGATACAGAGTATCCGCTCTTACTCCAGCGACACTAAAAATTTCTTGCCAAACCCATCACGTAAGCAGGGTTTGGTTTGGCATGCGACAGCATGAGCAATGGTAAATTTTTTATGTTGCTCGTCCCTGTCACACGTTTTTGTGCAAAAGGGTTTCTCGGTCCTTATTTCTTCCAGTCGTGCATGCCGTCAAGGCTATACAGGTTCTACCTTTTCAAATGCAGCAAGCTATCCATCAACAGAGATTTCTCAAACTGAATTGCCGTTTAAATGGAGCAACTGCTTCTAGAATAAGTGTTTTGTTCTTGTATTTGCACCCCTCTTCCTCTCTCAGTAAACAGAACACCTGTTAGGGGAGACATGTCAATTAAAAATCTCTTTTTATTTATCTTTATAGGTCACTATTGATAAAATTTGATTAGTTTTTGCATATTTGTGCAGTGATTTCATATATGTAGTTATTTTTCTCGTATAACATATAGTTATTAAAATATGACATATCTCATGCGCCTTATGAAAAGCAAGTTTTTTCTCCAAACTAAGCGAGTTAGAAAGTAAATCAGCATATCATGATATAACCTGGAATCAAAGTTACGGAATGTTGAACAGTTGCCAGTGAACTTCTAGCTTGAAAGGGACTTACAAAATGTTCAATGTACCATAACGTTTGTTCAAATGGTTCCAAACATCCATTTTTGTTGCACTGCAATCAGCTTCGATTCCAGATTTTTGTGATGTGCCGATTTACTTCGTAGCTCTCTCAGTTCAGAAATATCTTGCTCCCCCAAAGTAAATGAAGTATTTTATATTTTAAAAACTACACTTAGAAAAAGAATTGCATATATGAAAAAAGCATGCAAATATACATAATATTGCCAAATTTTATCAAAATAAATTAAGAAATAAAAACATCTTTTAAAGAGTAGTGTCTCCCCTTAAGAGAAACATGTTTTCCAGGTTTTGTACAGTCTATTTGCACCCCTTCGAATCTCCATAACCCAGTTAGCAAATCGAGAGCAAATTTTTGACAGCACGGCGAACTGTGCTCACCACAGACGTGAGGCCAAAGGTGGACGACAAGCGGACACCAAACCTGGACGACTTCTTGAGGACTGAGTGCAGGTTCAGTTTGGCCAGCCTCCGAGACAAGGTGGACTCCGAAGGATCCTTCTTGTACTTGGACACTGAGTGCAAGGAAAAAAATATAAGAACATCTAAGAACAGAGAAATCACTCAATTTTCATCAATTCTTAAAGCATAAGAATGCAAAAATAAACTACAAAAAAAAGATTGATTCAAACTTGAAAAGGACTATAAATCGCTCAAATTAAGTGCAATTAAAAGTAGCAGGGAAGTGCTTGAACAAATGGACATCGGACTCTACTGCACGAGCAAAACTCAAAGAAACCAACGCTGGACTTGTTATTGCGACGACATGTTTGTGGCAGGTGCATTCGTAAATTAAGTTCATAGAGTTCAAACAGTGAACGCAATTGACTGATCAGTCAGTGATGCACCAGAAACAAGTGCCCACATGCACTTAGCAAGCCTTAATGTGACATATACGACACTATTTAAGCTCCAAAATACGTTTATTTACATGGCAGAGTTAAATCAATCAAAATTAATCAGTAATTTGCATTCGTTTACATTTTTTTTCTATTGTGGTCTCATGAGCATCATTTTCAGGTTGCCCAAGAGCTGCAGAGCAGTGCCCAAATTCTCATATGCCGAGAAATGCCGCTATATCGTCATTTTGCACCTTCAGTAACCTTGGCTTCACAACACTTTGAGGTCACTTTGGGCCAAATCTTGCATGAAGCAATGAAAACTAGGAGCTCCAAGTTCGAATCATCCGTTGTGGATACCGGTGTTCAAAAATTACAGTAGACTCTCATTAAACAAAACTCTCTTAAATGAAATTACTGCTTAAATGAAACAACTGTCACTATTATATTTGGTTTTCTACTTGAATATTGTACCCCCGCTTATCTCTCAATAAAAGAAACTCCTTTTAAAGGAAACACATTTTCTTGGTCCCTTCTAATTTCGTTTAAAAGGAGCCTACTGTATTGGAAGTTTTCCCCAATACCCAGGGCTGTGCAAGGACCAGGGCATCAGTTTGAATTACTTGGAAGTTAAAATTAACCGAGCATAAATTAGCCCTTTAAACAACTCTTTTTAATAAAGATATCCTACTAATTTAAAACAAGTGGTTTGACTGAGATGGAAGTCAAAAGTACAGCAATTATCAGCAACTGCTGTTTTTTGGGCATGTTGATTCATGCTGTTACCAGCAACTAGAAAGTGCATGAAGTGCATGAAGGAATTGTGGAAAGTTCAATTACCGAGGTCTTTCCTCCGCTTGAACTCGTTGATGGAGGTTGCAACATCGGACATCTTTGCCATGGCTTGCGCTAGCATCACTTTGTCGGGGTGACCAGTCTCTGTAGACTGTTTTCATTGCGTAAAAAAAAACAAGGGCATCAGAAAGGAAATTATGTAATGCTTTGCTTGGGACTGAGAGTTGCTCTCTTCCAGTGACAAAACAACAAAGCAGTTTCACAGCTTCTGCTAAAAAGAATGGCGCCCCGAGGGACCACTCCAGCTAGTCTTTTGCACTGTTAGTGGAAAGTACGATGGTAAGAAATGGAAAAAAACAGGGCAACAATGCCAAGGAAAACAGCCAAATATATAACCAGCAATGCCAGACCCTTTCGCTAAAAAAAAATAATGCCACGACCACTACCAATCTGGCATATGCACCACATGATCTGGTCAGCAAGCTTAGAGCTACGAGAACCCGTAGGCAACATGTTATTGCTAACCAATCAGCAGAAAGGTCATAATGCTGGTCACCTACCAGCGAAAACACACTTTTTTTTTCACTATGGCACAAGCTACAACTTACAAGCTGTCAACATTACCCAAACGATAAAAATGAGACACGATAAGAAGACATAGATACAAGTTCTGAACTACAACCAAAACGTACAATATGACAAAGGAAACCGACTGTGGGAGTTTGCAATGGCACCACCTCAGCAGCACAGGTCAGGATCAGGCGAGTTCTGCTCGAACCACTTGCCACATATGCACTTACCATCATGAGCATTTTAGAGCTCCGTTATGGCCACAAGTCTCACAGTGGGTTGATTGATTGTAATTGATTGATTGAAACATAAGAAATGAATGACTTAGTTAAGGTGCAGAAGCACAAAGCTTCTACTCTTGTGTGCTAGAATAAATGATAATGACATAGCCACTAGAAACAGGTCGACAGTGACTTGCCTTGTCCAACTCATTGATGAGGAGTGGATACTTGAGTATGCGCTGCACAGGACGGATGAGCACGGAGGGCAGGTCGAAGCAGTTGGTCTCTTGCTGCATGCGCTCCACACCTGCTTGGAGGAACTGAGCTGCCCGCGTGTTCTCCATGTACTGTGAAACCCAACAGGTGGAAAGAGAAATGAATACACAAATAATGCATTCAAGCAAACATTTGAGCACTTTCCTCTTTGTTCTACATGCTGTCCTCTTACTTGAAAATATTTTTTGCAAAGAACTTGTGCACAAAGGAGCCTCCGAACAACTATGGTCATACCTTCGTCCAAAGACCGCTGACGTCATCGTGGTTGCGGCAGTAGTGGCCGTAGACCTCCTTCAGCTCGTCGGCCACATTCACAAAACATGTGCCTGCGTAGACAAACTGCCTTTAACGACTCAAGCACAAACAGCATTTGAATGGACAGCCAAGCATGACAAACACAAAAGAAGAGCAATGCAAGAGAAAAAAAATCTCGTAAGGAAACAAAGTGGGTTTGATTTTTTATTGTTTCGCGTTTCTCCAAAAATTAAATTCCCCAACAGGTCATTACTTTTACAACTTACATTACAGCAGTTACGTACACAAGACAGGAGATCAGAGAAAAATGGAGGCCTGAAGAGATTAGAAATCGGTCAACAAGGAGTATCGTTGTAAGCCAACGTAGGGGCTACTGTTGTCACATTCAGCGACTTCTCATCACTTGCAAAAGTTATGAGAAGGAGTTTGTTGGAACACATTAGCTCACAAACCTTTGAGGTGGCTGGCTGCCAGATGGCACATGCCAATAAAAAATGCTGTAGAAAGCACTAAAGTGAAGAACAGGCATTGCAATTTCCTTCTATATTTGCCAAATGACATCGCACAGCCATAACAAGTTTTACAGCTTCCGATTCTGCTACTTGCTTAACTTCATATAAGTCAATTTTTCACTTTCCATTTTGTATGTTTCGGCACTTCCTTACAAACGAACATAACGACGAGTGCAGATTATCCGACATACGGCAGCTCACTAGATATCACGAATGATCGCAGCGTCATCTAATAGAACAAATAGCTTGTAAAGAGTAAGCACACAAGGAAGTAAACTAATGAAAGTGTTCGCCTCTTCTTCATGTGTGACCCAATTTGCCCGGGTTCGTTCGTGTATGTGCTCGAAAAACCACGTGACAAGTGGGACTTGCAATTTTCCCTTGTGTTGCTCACCAATCAGTTGCGAGCACTCCGGCTTCACCAGCTCCTTTTCCAGGGCACTGAGCAGCTGTGACGAGACGGAAATCACCTCGTCGATGTTCCCGAACAGCGTAACGGCATCGATGTCCAAGCTTTGCATCTGCAAAAGGTGATCGGAAAGAGACGCTCAGATGAATTCATGCAAAAAATCGCTGCAGGGTTCGAAGCGAGAGACAAAGCGGGGAGATGTGGGGAGCAACATAGAAGATTTCATGACCAGTATATCCAGTAAGCTGAACGTGGTCATTCAACTTTCGGGGAAAGTCTCATTGCTTTGACGTTTGCAATAATGATATACAGTCGAAGACAGTGATGCAACAGACAATTGGGTATAGGAGACACCAAAGTGGCCGTGTTAAAATAGGGGGTCGACAAGAAAATGCATACACGGTACTCTGCTTGTAAGAGGCACCCCATATAAGAGACAATAACTGCTACCTAGTGCACGTCTCTTCTAAAGGGGTTCAACCGCAATGACTTATTTATATACCTTAGTGAAAAGTGCACAAGGAGGGATCTTCCCGACATAGCCATGTTAGTATTATTTCACACCAGAATCCTTATCCTTGTGGGGAACACAACACAATGGTTTATTCAAACAATCTCCAATCGCCCCAGCCTCGAGTCAGCCGATATCATCCTAGTATATGCCTGTGAAGTTCCTCAACTCATCACACCATCTCATCTTCTGTCATTCCAGAGCCCCACTTTCCTTTCTTTGGAGTGCATTTTGTTACCCTACTGAAGTCTGTACTAGGCTCTTACCATGTGCAGTGACAGCTACAAGAATGCAAGGGCAAAATAACGCACCCTGCTCCGAGAGACGTCATTCAGGTAGACGTCGCAGCAAACTTGAAGCGCCCTGATGTAGTCCCGTTCTGTCTGGAGCAGCTCGGTCAGCACACACTGCCGGTGGTCCCTCAGCTTGCGCCTGAAATTGGGGTTTCAAAGAATTACGGCTGCATTGTGCTTTTCGAATGTCTCAATGTGATAGAATTAAAAGAAGGGAAATGCTTGAGGGGCTTGTTTCAATGTTAAGTGCAACCAAATAAATCCTCCAGACAATTAAGACAAGGACCGCATAGGTGACATCAGATGTAGTTTTTAACTTTGTAGTAATTATAACACATTAATTTTAAATTTTTTCAAGGCTGTGGGTAACGGGCCTCGCTGACCAACCAAAAGAGTGACTTCTCGTTCATTTCAATTCGCATCAGATCTGCAACAACAAATATTGTACCTTATCTTTCCTTGGCTGCACTGGCTGCTGTATTCATCTGGTTGTGTCTAACATGACAAAATTGTCACATATTACACAGGAGCATAGTTGACTAATAAGAATTCACGTAAAAGGCCATTTTACCATCTCTTTAGTCTTTGCCATGGAGTAAGACAGCAGCACCAACTCTGCTTGTCTGGAAGGGACACATTTTGCAATGCCAGTTCCCAGTGTGTTCGCCAAGTGGCACTACAAATGAAGAAAAGCTGCAGAGGAGACACCAGTCCTCAAGCCAAGCCCGTAGCAAGTACTTTTCTTTCAGGAGGGACCCACTTGTTGAAGACATTGAAGAAACCTATATTTATCATTTTTTCTTCGTAAAACACCCTCCTCCATACGAATTTCAAAGGCGACATGGGCCCCAAAGACCCCCCCCCCCCCTTTGCTATGGTCCTGCCTCAAGCAGAGCTGCAGGCCGGTGGTTCTCTGCTATCGCTACAGCAACGGCGCACAGTTGTGCTTCTCCCTCTCCCTGCGTCTGCTTGCCGGCCTGTTTGGTCATCTGCTTCCCACTAGACCCTCTCCACCGCTGTTACCACCAGCCTCCGGCACTTAGCGCAAGCTCTCATGAGAACAGATTGTTGAAAGATTTCTGCGCACCTCTAAAGATGGTGCTAGGCATCATGAGGAGTGCAAGGGAAGGAGAAAGCATGTTTAAAAGCTTGAAGAGGAGCGCAAGGAAAGCGCAAAGAAATGAGACCACTGCATCCACATTGCACGGTTTGTGCCAAGCATTGCTCATTGGCGGAGTCAGCACTCCTGTGGTATCTCACTCCGCGACCCCATGCGCAAGTGTCTCTCCCGTACCATTTCTGCATCTTGCATAGCAAGTAAGCAGAAAGACCGGCAAAACATACGACTTACCGCTTTTCCTCATCCTTGGCTGCTGAGTCACTAGCTGTTCCTCTTTGGCTCGTAGAGGCTGGCTGTGACGACAACCCATCGACCTGGCCGTGTGTTGCAGGTTCTGGTGCAGGCGATGCATCTGCATGTTTAAATAAATATTGCTTCCGGCACAAACTTTCACCACTTTAGAACAATAAGCGGATCATGCGCAGTTATAAAGCTTTAGCTGCATGCACACCCCATTGGAACGGTATTCTCGGCCTTTGTTTTCAAGCTTATGAGTTTCCATAGGCCTATTGCTCAAATCCGTGGGCCAATCACCTCATGCGACACTCTTTTAGTGGACTCAAACTGGGGCTCTAGTGCCTTGCTTTTTTAGTGGGCCAAGACTAGGGTTTGTTTGTTTGTTTTTTTCTTGCTTGACTAGGGTTTGTTTGTTTGTTTTTTTCTTGCTTAACAAAGCTGTTCTCTCTCTCACTCCAGTGGTGCCTCACACCAAACATCTTGTTTGTATATTCAACATACTACTCAACATTTTAGTCTTTCACAGGAGGGCCCTAAAGTGGGCTGCTTCATGCATAAAGGAACAGAACAAACAGTGCTACAACTGGGTGTATAAGAGACCTCTCATTGAATAATTCCTCTTTAAATTGTCCATCGTCTTTGGCACTGTGCCTGCAGTCTTTGCTATATTTCATTTCATTTCATTTTTATTTGCTTAAAGACCCCGAGAGGGTATTACATAAGGGGTGGGTAACATGCAATCGATATTTTTGTCACAATGATAAATGTGAAGTTACATTTGAAATATTATGCATGAAGCTTGATAGGTGATTGTGGCGATATCGTGGGAAAGGCCATTCCAGTCTTTTGCTGCTCTGGGAAAAAAAGAAGCAGAAAATGTTTTAGTATGGGCACGCTGGCAAAAAACTTGAAACGCATGGCCGGTGCGACGAGATATGTGATCTGCAGAGATAATGTAAGGAGGGCAGTTAAGTGGAGAGTGAAAAAACTTGTGAAATAATGAGAGGGTTGCGATGCGTCGGCGACATGATAAAGGGGATAAGTTACACGCGGCTTTGAGGGATGAAACACTGATGTCGTATGAGTACAAAGCATGAATAAATCTAGCTGCACGATTTTGAATGGATTCAAGGGAATTTGTAAGACCAACTTCAGGCGGGTTCCAAATGGGAGATGCATATACTAACTTAGATCTAACTAATGATGTATAAGCAAGTAGTTTTACATGACACGGAGCGCTGCGTAAGTGGCGTTTTAAGAAGCCCAGGGTTCTGTTAGATGTTGATACTATTTTATTAATGTGAGTGTTCCATGACAAATTGTAGGATAGAGTGACTCCAAGGTATTTGTAAGTGGTTACTGATTCGACAGGAACATTAGCTATGTTATAACAAAAGCGAAGAGGGTTTAGACGGCGAGTGAATGAGATTAGTTTGCATTTAGTAGGGTTTAAGGTCATTAACCAGTCATCACACCACTGTAAGATATGGTTGAGGTCTTCTTGTAATAACATTTGGTCAGAAGGGTCAGTGACAGTACGATAAATGACACAGTCGTCAGCAAACATGCAGCAATTTGAAGATACGTGCATTGGAAGGTCATTAATGTAAATTAGAAATAAAAGAGGACCAAGGAAAGAGCCCTGCGGTACACCTGATGTTACCGGAAGAGGGACAGACAAACTATCATTTGTAAACACTGATTGCATGCGGTTAGTGAGGAATTCATTTATCCAGTTATCTTACTGTTGCACCATTTGTTCTGCTTTGGTTTTCTCGATTTGATAATTATATTCAACAGACCTTTTCTGGGCGAGTAGATGACGCAGTAGAGCTTTCCACAATATTGACAAGAGGGAACTCTGGCATTGCGGTCATTCAGTCACCATGGAAATGATTTTCAGTACACGAACTTGCCTAATCTTCGTGCTTGTGGCTTTGAACGCACTTGTGGCTTTGTTTATAATGTTTCGACATTTGTTACGAATAATAAAGGAATGGATCATTAAGACGTCATGAATCGATTCAAATCGGCGAACATAAAGAGATTAAAGTGGTGAAGTGGCACTGCTGAACTTCATTCATCTAGTTACGAAGTAGTTCCAGGTCACACAGGCCCAAGCGGAGTCGAAAGAATGAGGCTTAGACAAATCCATGTTCTGCCCATCGTGGCAAGCTTTACAGCAAGGAACTTTTTACAGTACAAACAAAGCAACACGACAGGCACAGGCACTTGTACCCATCGTTTTTGTGTCAAAAGCTTCATGCTTTTTGTACTTCAGCTTGTAATTACAGATTATCAACTAGCCTGAAGCAACGCCTTACCTATCATTCCCCCGCTTGCTGAAGCACCATGCGCTGCAGCTTACATAAACACTAGCACCAGATTTCCCTCTGGTCTATTGTTGGAGAACTATTACATTGTCTGCGCCTATGTGGTTGTGGTGACGGAACGTGCACCACACTTCTTGGGAGTGACAGCACAGCGATAGGACCGAACCTAAGCGACACCAAGCCTGTAAGTTATACCGATGAAAAAAGCTCCAAACCAGGCCCCCGAGATCATCTACCAACACGTAACGGACAACTTCCGAGGCCACGGACTCCAGTTCTTTGCTCAGCGCTTTTCGTAACCTAAAAAGGTCCATGGAAGATACTTGGTCTGACAAATGCCTTAAAGAACATTACTTCACTACACACCAGAGACTCAACGAAAGACGAGTGCAATCATATCCACGATGCACAGCTCACCTGAAGCTGCCCAAGGGTCCGGTGAGGCGAGTGGAACTGGGGGTGCCGACCTGTTTGGCAGCGACGTCACGCTCGTGGACGATTTCGAGGGCACAGCCGGTGGCGGACGCGTTGGCACGGGCGCTTTACGAGTCACTGAAAGTAAAGAGAGCAAGAAGATGAAGAAAAAGAGGACAGTTGAGAGGAGCACAAGTAATTCAGGGGCAACCGAATTATCACGTTGAAGTTAACACATTAAGGTTATTTCAGTCAATCAATCGGTCAATCAGTTGAATTACTCCGGAAGGAACAGACTTTCCAGAACAAATAATTATCGACCTATAACAGTTCATGCAAGCAGAGTCACAATCACGTTTCAAACTCTTCATATAAAGAATGCATTACTGCCATTGAATACATAATTGTGGGAAACATTCATTTCCTACACGAGAAATTGGGTATTGGAAAGCCTATATGCTCACCTGCTTTGGCTTCATGAAAACTGGCAACTTCCCTGCAAAAGAAAAATAAGTAAATAAAAGCACAAGAACGATTCACTGTTTACATCAAATGGAACATTTCTCTTTGCTACTTTAAAGGTAGTATACATATTTTTTTAATACTTCTACAGCTTACAGCACTCGAATGAACTTTAATATGTAGCAAACAAAATCAGTGGACTCTATAATATAAACTAAAAGCCATGAAGACTGCAGATCCCCCATGGTTATTTTAAGTGTGTTGTCCCAAGTCAAGTGCAATGTGGCAAAAACGAACTGCTATGGCCTTATCGCACATTCAAGTCAACTAGCAGGTGATGTTCGAACATACACATGAACCGAACAATAGAAAAATAAATACACATTTCACATGGGGTGTTCTCGTGGTTGTGTCTTTTCTTACGGACAATTTTTAAGCAGCAGCTAATCCACACATAAGACAGGCCTGTGGTAGTTAACAGATACAACAGATATCCCACCCTCAGAGATAATTGGCATGCAGAGTAAATAGCCTGATCCCTGAGGCCATGCCCAGACACAACACTGGTTCCTATTTTTGTAGAGTCTGTGTCATCTCTAGCAAGCCATAAAGGCATTGTTTCTTTCAGTTTCTACAAAAAAACGTCCAAGTTTCGGAAGCTTTACGAGACAAATCTAATCATTTTTCAAACTTGAGAATTTGTATGGAGGTTATACCATCTTTGAAAAAAAAAAAACATGCTGCTCGAATTTCCTAGCAGTTCACTTCTAAGTTGCATTTAGCAATGTCTAGGTACACATACATTATTGCACTAATATAGTCATGGGGAAGGTTGTCGAGGGATCGCCAACATATTCAATTGGAGCACTTGGAGTTTTTTAACAAGCAACAAAATGTGAGCACCCTCGCGTTTCTGCATTCCCCTTCCCCCCCCCCCCCCCCCCACACATACATGCAGCCACTGTGACAGGTAGATGAGCTCACACACTCACTCATCTTGGCTGCATAATAGCTGCAATGCTACCACAGTGGGTAAAAAGATGGCAGACACCTTTTGAAAGCTGCACTGTCCGAACTGGTTAGGGTGTTTGCACGCCTCAGTGGAGGGGCAGAGGCATCGGAGACGAGAGCAGGCGTTCCGCGACTCTTGCTTCCTTCAGTGGAGGAAGAGACGGGCAGGCTATGCGGCCCGTGGCCGTCTGCTACTTCTGGCGGCGGCGAGGCCTCTTCTGCGAGGCTGTTCCACGGCGGCAGCGTCTTCCTCCGCGGCTCTCCAGCACGACATATCGGAGCGGAGTTGAATCTTCCCATCTTCCGCAGGCCAACTTCGGCAGCTTCTAACGTGGGCGACCTCACCATCTCCTCGACGAAAGATGCTGGGCAGATTCCTGTACGCCCATCACGGGACCTCGCCTGTTGAGACAACGGCACACCTCTGTGATTGAGTGTTGTCGATTCAGCTCTGCCTATTCAAATTTCCTGCACTGGTCACCTGCTTTCTCTACTATACACTTACAAACCACCCATGGACCACTTTTAAGTCAGGATTTGACACCACAGGGCACTACACATATATTTGCCGAACCATGCGGCAGAGTTATACAAACAGCCGTGCTAAACCACAATGACAAAAACATTAAAGCTCTCATCTCTACTTCACAACCTAGAACAGTTGGCATGAGCCATACCGTATTTCTCTTGCCAGAGGCCAATTAATCGAATGATCCCACAAAGGGCTGATGCTTGAGAGGCTGCTTGATCATACCAATGGCATTTGCTGCTGAACTCCTCGGGTGGTTCCTCATTTCAGAATTGATTAGGCGGACCAGGCCATTAGGGTGAAAGGGTGCTAAGCACTATAACAACTAGTACGCAGCAAAAAAAAAAAAAAACACTGCTCCTACAAATGTTTGGATGTTTTCCTGATGAGCACAATGAAATTGATGATGGTGCCACTTAACTAACCTGAATAAAGAGTTCTCTCTTCGTTCAGTTCAGCATCTTACAGGCGTGCTTCCAAACAAGAATATCAAAAGTGAAATATAAGATTTAAACAGCGGCTCTAGACAATGTACCTTTTATTGTGATAGCAATTATATGGACACTCTCGGCTGAACTTTGCCGCTGGCATCGGCGTCGATGTCATGCAGCATATATGTATACATATCTGTATATAAGAAAACGCAAAAAAGAAAAAATCCAGAAAAAACACTCCGGCACGTGGAATCGAACGTGGGACCTCTGCATCGTGAATGCGATGCGTAAACCACTGAGCTACCGAGAGGTACCTCCTCGACGCTTAAACGGCAAGCTATTTATATCTACAACTTAACGCTGTTGGCGGGCATGTCGGGGGAGAACTATCGTATTTTTAGCATTATCAGCAAAATGGCACAATGAGCTTGTGGCTGCTCTCATCCCTCACGCGAACTTTGGCCCGCGGAGAAACCTCTCGCACACCCTTATCTCCCGGTGGGGGGGGATTATAAGTCTTGGCTGGCGTTGGGTTTGCACTGGGACAATTCTTTTGTAGTTACGGGGCACGCAAAGGTCACAACAATCGCTGCACAGCCTCCGTTTGTGAAAATGGCGCACTTTTCAAACACGGCGAAGAAAGAATCGAGACGCTTATTCGCGTTCATCTGTACCTGTGAGTACGTTTTGTGCATCATTTGTGCGTGAGAAACGCAGGGCACGTTTCGATCTGCTTGACATTCTGCACATGACCTTCCAATTTGTTGCTATCGCGTTCATTGCTTCACCTTAGCGCAAAGCTGTGACTGCTTTTTTTTTTTTTGCCCAGACCTTCCATTTCATGTGCTCTGTAGAATGTGATTGATGATAGCAATAATGTCATCATATCCCTTCCCAATGTTATGCATTCAAAGGCAACATGCCGTGCACACCATTCCCACTAACCCAGCCTGCCTCTATAGTAAAGTAAAAAAAACAACACCCTTTTCTCAAGCGCAAGTTTATACAGAACTACTGCAGAAACTGTGGTGATTGTGTATGCAGCACGCCTAATGTGCGACAAATCTGACAAACCTTGGATTTTTTTTTTTTTGCCTTAAACATATAACACCAACTATGAAATTAACTTGCTCAGCTACACAAATATTTTTCGCCAACACAGTCAAAGCCCTTTATAAGAGACACTGATATAAGAGACAAATGGGTGTAAGAGACACCAAAAGCGGCAGTCTTACTGCCGCAAAGCAGCAGTGTGTGCGCCGCGACGAGCACCGCCACGAGCGATGCACGTACCACCAGAACTTGCTTCGTGTCCGGCTGCTGCTGTGCGGCAGTAAGGCCGCCACATCACCACAGTGTGCCTACAGTAAAACACGGGTTGATAAGAAAATGCATACGAGGTACCCTGCTTATAGGAGACACCTCATATAAAAGACAAAATTGCTGCCAGGAGCATGCCCCTTAAAAAGAGGTTCAACTGTATAATAAGAACTACAAGTTCATATATTTAGGCAGCTGCCGAATTTCTAATGCCAAGAGAGGAGTTTCTGAAGTATTCAAAGCTATCACACTATTAACATACAAAACATCAACATCATTCTGTTTACCTGATACCAGTCACTGTTGATTTTGCCAAGTAGCACGACCACCTCGCCTGCAGTCAGCGCTAGGTCGCCTTCAACAGTCGCCGGAAAGTCAAACAGGGCTCGTCCAAAGCAAGCACCCGAAACGCTGGCTTCACCCGTTGACACACTGCACGGGGCAGTCGATGCATTCACTGCTTGGTCGGCGCAGTCGACGATGATGTCCACGTACTCCGTCGGAAACAGCCCGACTCTGCCGTTAAGCTCGCCTTCCGTCCACTCGTCGTCAACATGGCGGATGAGCGTCACGAGCTCTCCCTCATGAAACGACAACTCGTTGGGGTACTGGGCCTCGAACGTAAACTTGGAGCGCGCATAGGGTGCCAGACCGGAGTTGAGGCTGTGGTAACCGCCGACATCAGACGCTGCTGGTACCCCATTCACGGCTACCCCGCCAACATCCCCGGTGGCACAGGCTTCGCCAGAGTCAAAAGAGCGCTGCGGTTTCGATGAACCTGAGGAACTCTGCGGCAAGTATCCGTTCGCGCAGGTTGACGCGGACATCTGGGACGCTTTTGCCAGTGCAGCGGTCTCCTCCTCGTCGGAGAGAAGCGTGACAAAGTTTCGGGGAAACTTGCCAGACCGACCATTGCATTCGCCCCTGTTTACAGAAGGGAGAAGGGAAAAAGGATTCAGTGGTAAGGAATCAAGCCGTGACCGTGACTTCACCAAATAAATGCAAACTATGGCAGTAATGGTAAGGTAGGACACCAATGACTGCAATAACTAAAAAAAATGACCTACTGGCTAGACCAAGGACATGTTTGCTTCTTTATTGATTGTGTGACGTGTTGGAACACAAAGCTAATGAGAACTTAATGCTATTACAAAACAAAAAGCTAAAGAACTAGTATTTTATGGCTTACAAATGCTTCCACCTGAACCAAACTCTGGCACTCCGAGCAGACGCCATTAACAGGGATGAAATGTGCTATTTATGGACACCGTCGAAATCCTTCATTTAGTCAAATTTCACTATGGTGGCAGAAAGACCACAGCAGCCCTCTAGGATAATGGGAAAATTCGATAACACGACTGAATTGAAGAGTCTAAAATACAATTTCAGGTGTCCCAAGCCCCAACTCGAATGGCACGTGCACAGCTTGAATCCCAATTAAGAAATTGGTTTTAAGCTAAACTATAATCTCATTGAAACCAAAGATCATTTGTGACTTCATGCAGTTCAATTTTAATTTCCCCCATTCCTGCCTGTATCTTGCATATCTAATGCTCTAATAAGACGCCTCCCTTCACAGCAAAGGATTCAACATCCCAGTACAAGGTAGTATGAACTATATGTGGCATTCACCTCTGAAGGAATAACATGCATACAGATTGTGAGAGTTAAACAAAAGACAAACTGATCACATTTCTACTTCCAGAATAACTCAAGGATGGCTGAGAACCAAGAAGACTGCCCAATAGAAAGGCCAACAATATCAATAATTTTGAGAATTATGAGAACAGAAACTGCCATAATTCACAATAGCGAGACAAAAAATTTCAAAAACAATAGTGAGAATGAGATATGTTTAAGTACAGCACATGTGGTGCGGTTCCGTGTACGATCCAACAGGCACTCTGTCATACCAAACAATGCATCTCATTAGTTTCTGACAAGTGCAAATGGTTTTCCCCATGCGCCAACAGTGAGAGCTGCAAATTTTCAAGGCATGTTACGCACTGTATCAAATGCCACTATCACGCGTATCGCCAAAAGAATTTTTTTCAGGGGGTTCATTTCTTTGATAGACACAACCAAACGAATCCGATGAACACCTAGGCCAGGTAAAGTGCAGGGGTGCTTAATTTCACCGCAGTATAGAAATAATGATGAGAACTAAAATTTATGAAAGTGTTCGACAGATCACCCTTTTTTTTTTGGTGGGATCTGAACCCACAACCTCCAAATGCCTGCGCTTTCCCTGGCGTCCAAATGTATGACAGATTCGTTTGGTTGCACGCTGGATTGCTTGGTTGTAAAGCAAGCAAGTGTTGTTTGCTATAGAGGGGACTACTGACCAGAACCAGTCTTTGTCGATGATGCGTTGGATGTGCACGAGGTCACCACTGCGCAGGCTAATCTCGTCGTCGAGCTGCGCGGTCAGGTTCTGGAGCACGCGAGCCCAGAGGTTGACCTCCCGTGAGCCCTGGCTGGAGCGGCGGAGGCTTGCCCCGTCCAACATCCAGGCATGCGAGAGTGGGAAGATGCCCTCGAGCCCATCCAGCTGGCCTCTCCACCAGTTTGCATCCACCGGGGCCAGTCCGACAATCAGGTCCCCTGTCACCGCAACGTGATCGATATTCGGACAAACCGGTGATGGTGCTATTCACTTAGAAGACTTTGAATCAAGCCAGATTGACACTTGAGCCAATCAACAAAGATGCAAATATACTGCGTGCAAATCTTAGTTGTTAAAGGAATAAATAACCGCTCCGAATGTAAATAGAGATGAGCTCAACAGTGGAAAAACTGTTGAAACTATCAGCTGAAATGAGCAGTATTTTTTTCGTTACATGCAAATTCACACTTTTATTTTTTCACTTAAGTCACGAAAAATTACTTCTGGTGCCCCATGCAGCAGAAGGGCAGAGGTGATAAAAAGACTTTACGTGACAATGAACATTCAGAAAACTTATTCTACCCGCTTTTTGTATTTAAACATGGTTGACAACATCAAAATGAAGGTGGTTAACCACAGTTGCGTGCACTCCTGTGAATGCAGAATATTGAAAATAATGAGCAGTTTGCAAGAAGAGCAAGTGGCATCGCTATCACTTCTCAGGCTTCTCAGTTCTGAAAAATTTTGCCTATGTATTATCCACACACTTTTTCAATTAACCACTGACGGTTTAACTTCTACCGAGGGAGAGCATACATTGCATCGTAAAAAGGTGGCTCCAGAGAAATTGGTCGTCAGTCCGTGCAGTGACTCGCATAACTACTCGCATCACCGAGGGTACACATAAATTGTCCCCAAGAAATCTCCACATTGTATCAATTCAGTTGTTTTAGACGAGCAATACTAAAAAATAGATTTGCCAAGGTATAACTCTAAATAAGTTTAGATGGCAAAAAACAACAACCTTGCTTCCCATTACTGGTGGCTAAGCTCTCATTCATTGAATTAGCTGCTAAAACATCATCAGGGATATAAATGTACACAATGTCATGGAGTACAAATTAATTTCTTGTGTTTTGATAAATTTCGCAGCAGCACGACTTCACGAAGCTAGCTGTGTGGAGTCCTTCACTCTTAGAATGCAACAGTTGTACTCTTTAAAAGTAAATTAGGTTAATGTAAACATAACGCTGGGCTAGTGCTAGAGCGTCAAGGTGGCTTCAAGCTAGTAGTTGGTAAGGATTCATCATAAAAGGTAAAATGTGCAAACACTGACATAACAAGAGAAGAGAGCACGACAACTTGCGTCCATGTCGGCATTTTATTCCAAGGTGGCATTGCCGCCTTTTGGTGCAGCAAGTTATAGATCACTTGCTAGCCCAACTCTTCACTGTCAGAACCACAATGCACTAATACCCATTCGCTTAAAACTTCTCTCTCTATACTGCTGCTTTAGGCAGGGTCGAACGAAAGCAGAATACACATTGGAATGACTATTGCATCTGTTCTTTAGCAAGCATGGTTTGGTAAGTGTCACCAGGCTGATTAAATGATTGTGCGAGACATTACTAAATCCTCTGTACTTACAAAAAAAAAACCTTTATAGTGTGATGACTGCACATTCCAAAGGCCTACCATACCACGACTGAATGACGTCACAAAGCTTTCAATCACTACTGCGAAAACACTAGCACAGCAACAAGGTCAGTGAACTGCTCTATTAACAATGTGACAACTGTAGCTCTCTCTCTCATTTTTTCTGTTTTTTCCGGTGTGCACTGCCCAGTGCGTTGTGAAACGTGCACGACAACAACACGCCCCGTTACGCCTCATATGTTTAAAAAAAGTATAAGTACGTCTTTGCAAGCAGCTACGAGCAAAATTATGAACATCACATACACATTAAAACAATACGTACATTTATTTTTTGCAGCCTGGGCATGCAGGCTCATATCAACAAGTACAGTTCCCATACAGAAGCTCAGCAATGCATTGTGCATAAATATTTTGCATATTGTGCGACTCTGCTGAGAGAGGCCCAACATTTTTACTGTTGGTGGAAAAGTTTTTGGGTGGAAAATGGGAGGGGCATTTGCCCTGCAGTGGGCACATTCAGGCTGATGATGGTGATAAAATGGGCAGAAGGCATGGACACAGAAGAAGCTTTAAGGGGCCCCTCAACACTTTTACAAGTAGCCATAGAACAGATTCAGTAAAGAAGCTTATTGCCTCGTGAATTGACTACCGCAAAAATTTCTCTGAAATCACCCAGTACGAGTGGAGTTACAAAAATCTGTCGCATGCTGCTATTGCTTTTGCTATTCTATCATCTCGACGAAAGTGCTGGAAGCTAAACAGGGAGGAACGGCAAGGAGTTAGAAAATAGATCACACTCTCCTCATGACATTAAGCATTTATTCTCTCTGTCTTTCCTGTTTTGTTTTTTTTTCTTCAGATACACCCGTTCTCAGTGGGTCGTGTGTGCATGCGGACAGGTCGCAGCCAGCAGCAACCCCAGTAACTCTGGAGCGTGCCATGCTCAAATCAGCTAATGGCAATGCTTAGGTCCGTGACATAGCAATTTTCGAGCCTGTAGCGTCACTCGTTGAGAAACTGGAAAGTGATTTTTAAAGCGAATTTTTTGATATAATGAACTTACTTTCTTGTAAAATGCAACTTTGTTATAATGACGTTTGAGTGCATAGCGTTCCATCTTAAAGGTAGTGTGTCAAAAAAAAAAAAAAAAGACTGATTGAGCAGGTACACTTTTCCCCGCATTTTGTGCTGCTGTGATTTCCAAGGTCGCTTGAGGTTCACTTCCTCCACATTCTTTCTACAGTACGCTCACCGCATTGGAAACTCAAGTCTCCCGGCACATCTGACGAGAAATCCGCGGTGGCCGCAAACAGCTCCTGTCCGGGTGACAACTGTGGCACCTTGACTTCGACCACGAATGCGGACGGAAATTTACCCTGCTGGCCGCGCAAGTTGCCTAGCGTCCAGTGCCTGTCGACAGAGGCCACAACCTACACAGAGACAAGCAAAACCTGTTGAGGAAGGATGGCAGTCCAGAAAATCAAAGGCAGGTCACATCACACAGGCGCGATGACCGGTACCATACACTGTGTTCCAACAAGCATAATTCGGCTTCCTTTGGATCTTAAAAGATACAGCCTTTGTAAAAAGGTATCAGGAAATGTTTAGGAAAAATATACTTATTAGACATATTGCTAAAAACCCTCCAACGTCTGCAATGAATATCCCTTGAGCGTCGATGGACTTTTGCAAACAGCTTTCCTACGAATGGACAGCTTCCCACAAGGCGTATTGCAGAAAGCCCTTAAGGGCACATGTACAAGTTTCTTTAGCAGTACTCAGTGTCTCATGGTGGTGGCTGCCAGTGCCAAGACAGGGCTGCATGAAGGTTGGGAAATCATCGCACTGCCATTTATCGTCAGGTGTCATCAGGCCAATGCAAAGTGTGACGTACTGCTGTTAAATTGCTGTATTCCGCACTTGCACTGTGTCACTCAATGCTAAACATAATCTAACTTTAAACAAGGTCCACTATAACAAGGTCTAACTTAAATAAACGCCCGCAGGTGACTAGCACTTGGCACGTTTTGAAGGTCACATTCCCCACCGCAGCACATGCACAGTGCAATCGCACTGCAATGTGCTGTCATGTCAGGAAAAAAAAACACTAAGCGATTCAAAACAACCAATTCACAACCATATCAATAAAGAGGCTTGTTTATTTTTAGGACACAAAGCATTTTCATTTATTATTCAGCCTAAAAACCAAAAAGAAAGTCACATGATTACATGGCAAAATTATTGAACTTTTTCTTGGAGCAAACTAATCTAATGCAAGAAGTTGTGCTACCTTCCATATCAAAGGACATGACATATAAACAAAGTACAGTTACACTCCTACAGTCAATCACCCATGTCAGATGTCCTATTTTGTAAATGCAGCTTTTTTTTTTTGCCATTTCTGCCAAATGGTGGCCGTGAAAAAGCATTTTATCAGAGGACTTATTGAACCTTTTGAGAATCAGCGCACCATTTAGCGTCTCTTCTATGCCTATTGCTGCAGACAATCACCTTATTGAAGATGCTACCATGCTGAACAAGTTGTTTGATGAATCATGTTCCAGCAGCGATAACAAAATGATATTGTTCTTTGCTTGGAATGAATATGACCAATAGTAAATAGTAATACGACCAATAGTAAAGCCTCAATTGGACGTTAAACCCCAACTATTATTAAAGCCCAAGATTAAATTCCATTTATGCAAAAATATAACAGAAATAACTTTGCAATAAATAGATGTTTAATTATACTCAAAAGATAGCTCACTGAAAGATGTGCACATCAACGCACCGCCACCCCATTTTTTTCCTTGCATCAGAACATCAAGTGACTGTGAATTAGGTTTTCGTAGGTTTGACATAATTATAGACGTTCCTTCACGCTTCACACCTAAAGGGCTTGTATAGAAAAGTCTGCACTGGTAGCTACTCTCACAATGTCATGTCGGACAAGAAATAATCATCACTAACAGCCATATTCGTGCCAACAGCATAACAAAGATGCCGATTACCTCTGTCTAGTTTCTCAATGTCGTATCACTAGGATGACATCTACCATTAGAGCAGGACGAAAGACCAGTTATAAAAATATCCTATACAATTATTCAATAAGTGCGAGTAAGACTATACCTAGCATGGTAATGCAGGCTCACAAGAGAAGACTGACTGCATGCACAGACTTCAGAAGGAACATTCACAGCTCTCGGCTACATGCGTCGTATCCGTAAACTTATGAGACACTTCCAGTTCCACAAACATACTGTTACCTAAAAATCATGGCAGTTATCAAATAGCTTCGTCTCCAAAATAAATTTCACTCACTCCCTCATCATACTACATAATTTCTGGCTGTATTCTCACTGTATTTTCATCCCCTTGAATGCCCTCCTCAACCAAATCTTCTGTTCGATATTTTAATAAAATAACGACTGCCCACTCAATGAATCACATGTGTAATCCACTGACCCTATCCTTTCCCCAAATCCGAGCTAGATTTTGGAAACCTCAGTTCCTTGAACTCACAAATAATTTTAAGCTCAGAAAGCTTTGGGAAACAGACAAAATGTAAAGCAGCTTTACTTTCTTCTCAGAACTGTTATCTCTTGTGGACCGTTATAACGCATGCGCATAACATATGTAACTAATGTCTTGACATGTTACTTATTTTTGTTTGCCACAAGTAATTTTTTTGGTGCGTGCGTTAATGAAGCTCCAAGTATGCCGTGTCCTTTCACCCTCACTGTTTTCTCCGTTACAGTAACCTTGTCAGGCACCTTCGAGTGCAAGAGGTTTCTCATAACTGTCTTTTCACTTTGTAACTGTAAATTCGCTGGTGCGCATCCAACGACTGTTGTTTGTTTTTGATGCTTCTCATCATACAATAAGGCTTTGGTAAAAAAGTGGATAACATATATGTCTGCAATCAAAATGAAAGGATAAGAAAGAATGGTGGGACATAACGGCACTATATAACCTACTTAGAAGACGGAACATGCATGTCATTACGTTGTGATACCATATAGCTTTGAGTGTATAGCACTCGCACCCTTTTCCATTCATCAATTCAAATTCAAAGCATAAACTTCATTTGTGAATTCGGTGAAAAGCAAGCCCCACAAGCAACTTCATTCGATCCTGGTAATAAATTCTCCCAAATTTCCTAATAAAGTACACCAGGCATGAATTTACAAATAGTCGAAAAGACAATTGTCCTTTAAAGCTCCTTTAATCCAATGGTGCTTGACTCGGCGTTTCGTTGGCTACTGACGCATGTAAATTAAAGGCACGTTTCTCACAAGAGTGCTCGCTTTGAGACCTTGGCCCTAGCGCTAAATGCTACGCGCCGCCACAATAGGGCAATTATCCTGCAATGGCGTTCCAACAAAGGCGTGAAAACTCCACATATACGTGAAAGGCACACGGGCCCACTCATACCTTTCGGTCAGGCGTTGCTTTATAAGCATCGTCAAGAAGGCACCGCGGCCAGAGGCGGCGGCGCTTACTAAAGCTCAGACGTTGGTTTATGCCGGTTTGCGCGGACCAAACGTTTTCGTTGTGGTTCGCGGCGTCTCGTGTGCAGTGCACGTCCCGTTTTCGAGTCGCGAGGAAAAAATACGACCAACAAACCCGGAAAAGAGTGCGCTTTTACTCAAACGCTTTCCCGGCCAGGCGCTCGCAAGGTTTCAAGATACCGAACGGTTGTGAAAACAAACGAGCGAAACAATTAAATCAAGTAGTACTACGAGGTTTCGTGTTTCGCTCGTTGTTTTCCAGATCGACGACACTCCCCTTCACACAGCTACCGACTTTTTCTACTTATCAAGCATGCGACACTGAATAACATCAAAACAAGCGCGAAACCGCGATAAGTTTTCGCACTGCTTCAGAAGTTGAGCACGATTAAATATAAACGTTTTGAAACGGTAAGCGAAACTGTCAGATTTTTTTTTCTCTCTCAACCCGTTTCATTTAGCTTGTTCACAGGGCACAAAAGGTCGGTGATGACGAATTATCTCTGGTCAAATAAGCGCCGTCGCAGTAAAAGATAGAACGCGCAGAAGCAAAAAAAAAACTAAAATCTACGACGCGGTAGGCGAAACTGCCATCGAGTCCGCGGGTGTACCATTACAATGAGCGCAAGATACCAAAAGAGGATGATTAAAACAATCGTACGAGGCAGGTTCGAGTAGCGTGCTCTCACCTGAATCAAGTCTCCGTTCTTTATGGAGAGTTCCCCTTCGAGACCTGAGTTGAAGTCGTACAACGCCTTCACAACAGAGCCAGGCTCCATCACGTATCGCTCAACGCAGCGGCGGACGCCGCATTCCAGCCGAAATTTCTCACAGGCGACGCATACACGCGCACACACACTCTCGTATCACGCTTGACAGCTGTCTGAGCGGGCCTCCGATGCTCAACAATCGACGACGCAGCAAATACACGCGCCGTAACGAGACGGCAGCCGCTTTTGGTCGGCCGTCAGGTTCAGAAACTAGCGACGGAGACGACGAAGCTTAGATGGGGTCGCGGGAACTCGCGGCAACCTCGGAACGCGGTCAAACAGCGCGCTGGCTGGTCGTTTTTTCTCGTACGGGACTGGAGATAAGATTTCCATTCGCGGCCTCTTTACGTGCGAATGCCTCCAATGCTTCAGTAAATCCAGATCGCCACTACAGCATAACAAGCGCGCCATCGATGAAACGTACGCATCGTGAAGTGCGGACTGCAATGAAAATCAAAACAAACACGCGGCGACTGCTGCGCTCCCTCGTGATCGTTTCTGACAAAACGGACTGGAAGCACTAAAAATGGTTTGGCTCGTTTTATTATGATGACCAATTTAGGCTGGAGCTTCAGGCATTTGAAAAATGTAAGCACTGCCAAGTGAGTTTTACTCTCTTACTCTAAGCCAACTCATTTGCCCTTTAAGCTTTAGTACTAGTACAATGTAGCTTTAGTAGAAAGCGATTGCGGCCCAATAATTGTGTATCTGTGGTAGTGGCCACAATTGCTTGCTTTAGCGCCAACTGTGGAATTAAATCCGCAGGTGTTGCACTCTTGAAACACAAGCACATTGGGCCGATTGGGGAAATACACCAGCTGATGCGAAGACTGGAGAGACAGGCGACCAGGTTGCCTTCGCCAGCATACCAGCAGCCTCCTACACGCCTTTACTAAACCGAACTGTGCCCTACCTTCTCTCTCTCACCTTCGGCACTCCTTTATGCGTATGTTTCACCCTCTCCCCTCCTTCTGATTTTTACTCCCCTTTTCCGTGCACTTTATACACAACACTGAACATGGCTATACTATGCTACCCTCTCCCATATTTTTTCCCTCATTTTTCTCTCAGGTGTCTTGCTATAGTACTATACCTATACATAGATATACACTCTAATCTCCCCTCCTCCTCGCACTTGCTTTCCTATCCTACCAGTTTGCTATGCTATGTACAGCTATGCTTTATTCTCTCTCGTGCTCTTTTTCTCCTCACACTTTGCACTTCTTGCTGTACTATGCTTTACCCTCTTCCCTTCTCCTCACCTCTATTTTCCTTACCTCCATTGGATACGCAATACGTACTGTACGTGGCTGTGATGCACTTACCCTCTCCTTCCTCTCTCCTCACTCGTTTCACTTTCCTATGTGCTGTACTATATTACAGACAACCTTGCTCTGCACCCTTTCCCATTCTTTTTTCCCTCATTCTCACTTCCGTTTCCCACCCCATTACTATAGTATACTGTACATTGCTATGCTTCACCTTATCATAGATCCCCACCCGTGCTTTGCCTTTCCCATCATCTTGCTATACTACACTACGACTTACTATGCATTTACTCTCCTCTACCCCTCCGATACCATTGAATTGCGTATCTATACCTAACTTTCCTCCTTTCTTAGCTTGGCTTTTTCCCCCAGCTTTGTGCAGCAAAGAAATGGCAAGCTGGAACAGCTTCACAGTTAATAAGCGAAAGCTGGGCTGTATGTCAGTAACCCATCAAGTTTAAGCCTCTAACAAGACAGGAGCCACTCTGTGGAAGGGCACACAATGACGACATACCATTCCTCCTTTTGTGCATTGCACCTGCACCACCTGCAGACTCCCCATGCCTGCCTTTCTATTCACAGCATGCCATAGAATGTGGAATCAACTGCATGATTCCTGCAGGAGCACAAGCACACAAGCACGTGGCTTGCTCTCCCCTCGCAGTTGTCTCATTCACATGCCACTTCTTGGTATGCGAGATACACTTGCGCAGAACACCTGTGCGAGTTGTTCTGTGCACGGGAAAACAAGGGGTGGGGTTCACCTGCACTCTCGCGTGGGCACTCCTCTGCGGCTGTTTCATTAGCGATTTCTGGACGCATATCGCAAATCTCAGAGAGGGGCATGCAAACATCTCCTCCGAAGGTTTTCGCTTTAAAACAAACTGATAATTACTGAAGCTAATAAATCAGCAAAACTAATAATGAATCTATTTTAGTGCACGGTTAATAAGTTGTGAGCCATTCTGCTCGATGAAGATGGATTACCGGCAAAGCTATTCATCACAAGACACGGAATTTTGAACCATAGCCAATTATTACACATCCTGCCACACTAATCTGAAATCTCTGTTCAGAAAGTTCCTTTTGAATTTAAAGTATGTAACTTTGAATGCTTCTATTAGAACAGTGTGTCTTTTTGTCGCCTTCTCTGTTCACTGACATACATTACCTGGTCTGGCTTATTGTATGCGGCAAGTTTTTATGAATGACATCAACTGTCATTTGCAGCATGGATGTTTCCTTCATTTTTAAGAAAGTGCACTGGGGTGCGTGATGATCTTTACCCAATACGTGTGGCATGTACAAACATTCTTGCTTATGGTCTACAGATTTTCCCTAGCCATACACAGCTTCACTGTACGAGGCTTTCAGTTGTTCAATCTGTGTAACTGAAAAAATGCAATCTATCAGCCAGGGCACTTTGGCAGGTTGCTACTACTGCATAGAAGAGCCTCCCTCGAGAATGAATTAGTTTTCTGCTTAGCATAAAATTGCCACAAAGCACCAGTCAGTGTCAACTTCAGTTTGTCCAATGGTATGCACCTGTGGAAGTAAAGTTTGAATGTAGCAAGTGGATACAATAAACATTTGTGTGCATGTATTGTATTGTAAGGGTAGTGGTTATACCCTAGTTCATGCTATAGTATAGTGGGGTTCTTGTTAAAAGCAGCGATCAACCCAGCAAGAATATTCCAGAAGTGGCCAAAATGGCTTGTCATAGTCACACCTGTATAAGCACGCCTCAACTAATGCATCATGAAATTAGATTGCCTTTTCTATGACTGTGTATGTTAAGTAACTTTACACTTTTATTAGGATTTTTCTTTTTTTTTTTTTTGCACAGTGATTCTGTTCTTTCTTTGTTAGTTGTGCAGATACATTTACGTATTTCCGAAAATCTCAGTAATATAGGACGGGTTAACAGTCATGATATCCAAGGTGGATTTTCTGTTACTCGATAAATTGCTTGTATATACAGATACCACGCAGGCAGTTAGTTCGAGAGCTGCGAAAGGCGACCAGCTCTCTCGATATAGCCTCTAATATATTCAGACAATATGAATTCCTCATATTGAACTCATTTGCATTACTTGTGTCATGTGCTTCGAGTTGTCGATGCATTCTATCTCACGCTATTAATTGCTAGCTTTATGGTTAGCTCAATCGGCAGAGCGACCGCCTCAGATAAGCGTTGGTCCCAGGTGCGAACCCCAGACAAGGACGAATTTTTTTGGCTACTAAGAGGCTTTTCTTTGAGAAATTCGTACGGACATCTTTGTGGCTTCGTGCTACGAACAGGTTGTTGTCTTCTTTCTTTTTCATAAGTATGAACCAATGTAGCAACAATTTAAATTGTAGAACACAAGCTGGATGCAGCAAACAGTGCACTACTTGGAAGATAAACATTTCTACTGGAAGAAACGGTGATCTGCCTTACAGGAAGCAAGTGCAATGATTTCTTCTTTATTCACTTTTCACCGTAGTCCAGTGAGTTGATGTAGCGTCGGACCACTCTTGGCCAGCTGCTGCGCAAAAGACGAAGAGAGCCACACGGCTCGTGATTCGCGTGCCACTAGGTGGTAAGAACGCACCAGCTCCTGACCTGGCTGGACGCCTCAGTTGCAACTGCTTGTACGCCCACGTCGAAAAGAAAAAGCCAAGACGACGGCACGGCCTTGTCAGCCGCCGTCACGTCTCCTTGTACAACAAGCTCATCCTGCTCCACCATCCTTGATTTCTACCGAAATTTCAGTCCTGCTCGTGTGTGGCATCACTGAGGTTTTGTTGCCAAATGCTGCTGCAGATGGTCCTGTTTCATTTATGTCAGAGTCCTCCTGCAAAAGAATGCACAAAACATTGCACAAAACCTATGAAGTGATGTGAATCGAATTAAAAAAAAAAAACTGAAGCATGGCTTTTGGCGAGACTAACAACCCAACTTTATGGTATCGGTCTCTTGAGCAACAGAAACCGGATTGGTCTGTGTCTAAATATTGAATGGTTATGCAGAAAATTCTGTGAAACATTCCAGATCCTCATTCTTGATATGCTGCGCATATGAAGTCATATAGCAGCATATGCTCTAAACACTACTAGGTGAGCATGATAACGACCATACACTGGCCATGAAGAATACAGAACAAGTGAAGTAAGACTGCTCATAAAGCCTGTGTTGCTGACTCTCTTATTCACATAATGGGGGCAGATTATGTACAGCACTCTGAACAAATACTTCGCAGAACGCTTAGGCTTTTTCACGAGCAGCATGACATGCCATCTTTGGGACTTTCGTGTGCAGTCTCAAAATATACTAATACTATTCAAATTGCAAAAAATACCCGATTCTGTCATTATAGTTAAGAATACTACAATCTCCACCAGGATATAATGAAACATTCAGGCTTGTTGCTGGTCCCTTTAATAGCATATGGGCCAGAAGTGGCCAAAAGTGCTTGAACAATATTTTGATTGGCAACCAAACTTATCACTTAACATGACAGATCATTGAACACGAGCCGTGCCTTTACGAAAGTGCCCGAACTAACCTTTATGACGTGGTAACAAAAAAAAAAAATCTGCCCCATTTGTACATCAAACACATTCACTGTGTTGTAGACATTTACATGTGACAGATTTGGCATGCAGAATGCACTGGTCCTCCCAATTCGGTGCACAGCAATCTATCTTTTGATAAACGTCTGACTTATTCGCAGAGATGGCACACTATGCACAACAGTGAAAGCGCTATATGAATTCCTCGCCTTTTCATGAACTTACGTTGTCGAACAAAAATTAAATTTTGAGGTTATACTACATATAAAAACAACTGTGCGATTAGGTGGCATGTAAATGTTTCTAACCATCCGGTGTTCTTTCGTGTGCATTCACATCTCAGTATAATAATGCTTCTGCATTTCATGCAGGTCAAGATTTGTATTAACGTATCATCAAATCGAACAAACAAAGAAACACAGTGTCATGGCTTTTTACTAAGCTGCTATAGAGGGTGTGTTTGAAAACTTAGAAACACATCGTGCTATCCCAACTACTAGACAACAACACCGTTGCTGGCACGCATGAAGCGCAAAGTATTTAGCAGCCATACTGAATCAACTTAAAGCGCGGGACGTGGGAAACGATTGTGTCGTATTTCTCAAAGCCATACCATATTCACATGCGACAGTATAAAAATGTTAGAGATCAAGAGTAACAAGACAAGAGCAATGCCTCGTAGAAACACAGAGCCATTCATATCCGATTAAAGTTGCAGAGTGAACAACAGAAAAATGCACGTTCTCACGTTGCACTGCACTCACCTGAGGCTCTGTGGAGAAGGGGCTATCTGGCGTGATAATCTCCACCCTGCAGTCAGTGCTGAACATGGTGGCCCCAACTGTATCTGTGTGCACACGTTGGATGTGTCTAGTGAGATTTGTGTTACTAGAATAGTTTCTCCCACATGCACTACACTTGTAAGGCTTTTCACCTTTGTGCGTCAATAAATGCCTCTCCAGAACAAATTTTCGCGTGAACCTGGCTGGGCACAGTTGGCATGCGTGCACCTTCTCCGTGTTGTGCCATTTGAAGTGGTGCACCAGAGATTTCGTGCTCTTGAAGTTTTTGCCGCATTCTGTGCAGATGCCCACCAACACTCCGCTTGCATGTAGCTGCTTGTGCTTCGTGAGGGATAGCTTCTGGCAAAATTTGGAAGGGCAAATCTCGCACGCATATGTACACGGGGCTTCATTCGTAGGCGTGTTTGTAAAGACTTGAGCTCGCAGCAAACTTCTTACTGCAGACCACGCAAGCATAGGGCTTTTCGTTTGTGTGGAGGGCCCTGTGGTGTTCTTTCAGGGTTGAACTCTTGGCGAACTTTTGACCACAGACTGGGCAGGCATGTGGCCTCTCACCTGTGTGCACCATCTGGTGACTTTTAAGACCCCGGCTCCTCGCAAAGGACCGCCCGCGCGTTTTGCACTGGTGCTGCCTCTGGCCCGAGTGCACTGTCTAATGACTTTTGAAAGCGTATTTGTTCGTGAAGCACTGTCCACACATGTCACACCTGTAAGACACGTTCGCACTGCCTTGGAGGTTTTTTCTCGACGATTCTGCAGCATCTTCCGGGATTCTGGACATGAACAAATACACAACTGAATAACAATAATAAAGTAAAGTGACCATGGACTTGCTTCATAGCTGTTTGACAACACTGGCATAGATTCAAAACGATACCATGAAAAACAGCATGAGGAAGACGGTCGCCTTTCAGCTGTGTTAGCGCTGCGGCAATTCAGATGGGACACAGGGAGAGCAAGTCTAGCTAAAGAAAAATTATCTAACTTCAGCGACTTATACATCTTCATCAGCAGCTTTCATGTCACTCATAATAAAGCAAGAGTGGGCATGGTGATATATAGAAGATGTATGGCAAAATGTGTGATGCGTACTGCTATGAATCGACTATTCCTTTCTTACCCCAACTTAAAGAGAAATAAATAAATAAATTATGTGGGCACCTGTTCGTACACCTGGGCGCTGTGCAAAATTCCCTCAAATAATATCTCGGGGGCCCATGCACCCTACTGGATAGGACGGCTGCCGTGAACTATCGCGTCGCTCCATTCAGCACGGCTACTGATTTTAGTCGATAAGACAACCTCTGGTATGGCAGTAGCAAGGCTATCTATTAATGCCATCATGCTAGGCTAAAGCGATGCAGCTCGCGTGACTAACGATGATGACGATTAGAAAGGTTCGTATATACATACGAATTATCATCTGTGTATGAACCATGGGCTAGGTTTACATGATAATCTACATAGTCTGTGCTCAAAATACAATAATAAAACAGAAAAAGAAAGCATATGATGTGGCCGCCAGTATGCTGAAAACTGCTGTTTATTATTGCGATAGCAATTATGTGGACACTCTCGGCTGGATCTAGCTGCCAGCATCGTTTTCACTCACCGTATCTGTATACATATCTATATATATGTAAATGCAAGAAAGAAAAATAATCCAGAAAAAGACTCCGGTGCACGGAATTGAACTTGGGACCTCTGAGCCGTAAGTGCAAGGCGTTAACCACCTAGCCACGGAGAGGCACGTCCTTTAATGTTCAAACGGCAAGCTATCTATATCTACACTTACTGCTGCTGACGGGCATCTGTGGGGGAACTATCGTGTTTTCAGCATTACCAGCAAGATGGCGCAATGAGCCCGCGTCGCCACATCGTCACGACTCGGCGGCGCATGCACCCATCTCCCACGCGTACTTTGCACTGCGAAGAGGAAAGGGTCGACGCTCACTCGCGCGCCCTAATCTCACGGTGGGGAGGATCGTAATACATCTTGGCTGGCCTTGGGTTTTCATGGCAACGATTCTGTAGTAGTTACCAGGCACACAAAGGTCGCTGTAACCAAAGCACAGTCTCCGTTTGCAAAAAGAGAGCGCTTTTCAGACACATCAAATTAAGAACTGAGATGCTTATTCGCGTTTATCTGTACCTGTTTCGTGCGTCATTTGTGTGTGAGAAACGCGGGGAACGTTTAAATCTGCTTGCCCTTCCGCGCGTGACCTTCCAATTTGTTGCTATCGGGTTCATTGCTTCACCTTTGCGGCAAAGCTGTGACTTTTTGGTTGGTATGTGAAGTTTAACGTCCCAAAACCACCATATGATTATGAGAGATACCGTAGTGGAGGCCTCCGGAAATTTCGACCACCTGGGGTTTTTTAACGCGCACCCAAATCTGAGCACAAGGGCCTACAACATTTCCGCCTCCATCGGAAATGCAGCCGCCGCAGCCGGGATTCGATCCCGCGACCTGCGGGTCAGCGGCCCAGTAACTTAGCCACTAGACCACCGCAGCGGGGTAGCTGTGACTTTTTCTGCATTTCTTTAAAACATTTGTTGCTCATTATTATAAAAATACATACAAGGTACCGTGTGTGTGAATTTTGATACGTATTGTGGGGTCCCAGACGAGAGCACCACGCTATCGGAAGACATGCACACCGTTGACGCGGTCGAACCACGTCAAGCATTTGTGCACATTTATTCAACTACTGTTTACACAGACAATATCGCCAGCCGAATCAAATATGTCACTAGTGACACACTAAAAACAACCTCATGCAATATTCCGATATCACACTCAAGAAAATAACATTACAAGGTACCGCGATTACGGCGTCGCCGACGGTCGACTCACCATGAGGGATCCACGGGAGATGTCCATTCGCGGCAGCTACCACACGCCAAAGAGACTCGCTAATGTTCTCTATGTGGGTGCCTAGCCTCAAGGTTGCTCTCAGAAGAATGTACTACTAGGCCCATCGAACCCCGCTAGCTTTTTTGAAAAAGCTAACCGACTTGACCTCAAGCTTGTAGGGGTTTTTTTCATGCAACTATTTAATTGTGCTCACGTGTTTTTTTTTTCTTCTCTCCTGCCTTCCTTTCCTCTATGCCTCCCCTTCCTGAAGGAGCAGGCAGGCGTCGTGCCCTAATAAGTGGCAGTTGTCAGCCCTATTTCATCATCTGTGTCTTGTGTTTTTTGCATATACAAACCGCGTAGTAATACTAACAATAATAATAACAGCCTCACTGCCGGGCCGCACAGCTAGCACGACCGCGCTAACCTCGATTACAGTGATAGAGAACCAGCTCGAGCCCTGTGCCACCAACCACTCGGCAGATGTTAAACCTAAATGCCGCCTATCTGTGACACACTTGTGCACCACGAGGCACAAATGACTTTACGGTGGGTGATAGCACCCCAACAATGTTTACTACTTGACGCACTCTGAAAAGGCAAGTGTGAGCCGGGCAGAAATGTAAAGCTTACACTCAGATTGAGATCACCAATATTTATTTGTTTTCCATCGCGAGTTATAAAAATACGAGAAGTAGAACCAATGCCAGCCACACTAATCTAGCAACTATACGAAATTTCCCGTATTTCATTGAGACTGGTCTTTTGATATCTTGGTTGCCACCAAACAAAAAGGCACATTGTAGGTCTCAGTATAACTGCCTTATCAAAAGCATCACAATCATGATAACTTAAAACCCATTAGCACCAATTATTATGACTAATACCAGCAAAAATTAATGGATATATATTACAATGAGTTTGTGCTCCAAGCAATGCCCTGAAAGAGCCCAGCAGCACTTTTCCAAGTAACCATCGAATAGCTTCATTAAAGATGTTATTGTCTCCAGGTTCAACCGCTACAAAAAAAACTTTACAATCTGTCACGAACAAGCAGGGTTACAGAGATTTGTACCACGCTGTAATTACTTTCTGTCTTCTCTCGTCTGGACGATTGCTGGAAGCTACACAAGGAAGGGTGGCACGAGAGAAAGAGGTTCCCTCTAGTGCACATCATGAGCTTGAGCACTATTTATTTTTACAGCACACAACTTACCTTTCGCGCAATTGCGCATGGGAATGTGGCAACCTCCTGTGGAAGCAGCTTTAACTAAGCAGCTTATGATGCTCAAATCAGCCAATGACCGTGAATTTGGGGTTATGCAGCTGTAATTTCAGTATGTGGCTTCATTTGTAGAAAGAAGAGAGAGCAATTTCTAGCTAACTTCGAAAATTATTTGTAAATTCCAGGCTGCGTGCAATGCTACAATGTCTGGCTTGCGCGTTCTTAGGAGCCTTGACTATTGATTCGCAGCATTTCCTGACAATACAGTAAAGGTATTTCTGGCCCTCTTGGAGACTAAGAAAAAACACTCTTTCCCCCCCCCCCCTAATCTTACATGAAGAGACTCCACCTCACAGCTTACCAAATCTGGGTAGCTTGTTAGGCCACTGCGTCTTATAGGCTTGCTATACCTTACCGAGACAATTACAGAATTAGAAACAGATGGCACATTTTCCTTCAAGGAATTTTATAGATGCAGGAAAATGAATGCTGACCACTGATTCAGTTGCAGAAGAAACATACAACTTATCAGTATTCCTTTTGGTCACATATAGGTCTTGTGCTTTACTAATGGCAGCACAATACAAAATGGAATTTCTTTCAGCATGGTCAGAAAACGCTGGTAATCAGTAGTTGGGGCTTGCGAGAATACGCGAGCCAAGCATTGCAGTGGAGCACGCAACCTGAAATTTACAAATAATTTTCACAGTAAGCTAGAAATAATTTTCCTTCACAAATGATGCCATATACCAAAATGACTGCATCACATACCCAAATACACGACCATTGGCTGATTTGAGCATCCTGGGCTTGCAATCGTATTTAAAGTAGGCAGCGCGTTCGAAGAAAAACGGTGCATTCGTCAGTACTAGAGATGAGAGATGGCAATCACGATGTGCGACAAATCTGTAAATCCTCTCATACTTGATGGATTCTGACACTTTTTTTATAAAGTCGATTTGTGAGGCAACAAACTCTTTTAGTGAAGACACAATGGTTATTAGACAAAGTGTTGCCGGGCCTTATTAAAATGTGGTTCTTAGTCTCCTCAAAAGCTTGAGCAGCAAGTAAGCGAACCTAGGCCATAGACAATTTGAAGTACAGTCTAGAAAATGTAAACAAGAGGCTTGCATGAAGGCAAATGTATTGCTAATTTGTAGGCAATAATTAACACTAGAATAAATTTAAGATTCATCGTACTGGAAATAAAAACATGGCTTTCAATTGTTCTTCATTGGGTTCAAGTCGGCTTACTCTAGGCGGTCATTCATGATGTATTTTGTAGCTTCATTGTAGTCACTGCCAAGTGCAGCCTCATCTGGCTCTTCATTGGGGTCAACATGCTTCTTCTATAAAAAAAAAGAATTAGGTATTATTTGATATTTAGAAGAATATCTAGCCTTTCACATATGGTCACAGACAGGAGTGTATAGAACAAGGAAGTCACAGTTTCGGCACAAGGCCGAAGAAATGAATACGATAGCAACACATCCAGTCTTACACGAAGTAAGGCTAGGATATTTAGAAACCATGTTTAATATAGTGAACATGGTCGATTGTGCTTGAATTGACGGTAAAGCAGTAACCACAATATCTAAACAGATGCGGTGAATGGCCCGACAGGAGGCGAAGTTCAAGTTCGGCGTCAAGAAATGCAACAAGCCATTGCATTTTTTTACGTCAAAGTATATTAATGTGGAAAGCCCCGCCACGGTGGTCTAGTGGCTAAGGTACTCGAGTGCTGACCCGCAGGTCGCGGGATCGAATCACGGCTATCACAGAATCAGGCCGAGATAAAGATCAGCTTGCCCTAAGTACGAGTGTTGCCTGTTCTGTCGCTCATTGCTATATATGATACTAACATAGACGTTCAATTGAACGTCTATGTTAGTTTAGCCCATCCCATGATGAAGGGAGGACTCCTCCTGAAACTGTTGGGAAATGAATATATTTATCCTTGTTGACAACGCTCCCGTTGTGCCATATCCCATACCTTCACGAAGACTAACTGGCCCATTGAATTATTACTCGCAGTGTGTGTGTGTGTGTGTATATATATATATATATATATATATATATATATATATATATATATATATATATATATATATATATAGAGAGAGGAGAGAGAGAGAGGAGAGAGAGAGAGAGAGAGAGAGAGAGAGAGAGAGAGAGAGATGTGGAAGTTGGGTGCCCCACCCTTTTCTGGGAATATGAGAACTCTCCGCATATGGGTCAGCACCTTAGCTATAAAAGCAGACTTTACTCACATCGTGTAGCTTGGATTCAGGGCTACTCAGCTCTCTCTTGACATCAAGATCCGTACTGACCTGCAACAGCTTTATTCATTTCCAAGTCGAATCGGGAAATAACTGCACACTCTAAACAACACGCACATGCCCGAGGAAAGTCTCCATCTCCATAAAGGTTAAATTTTGTGTTTACTAGAGTGAAACACTACACAATGTCAACTGTAAAAAGAATCTTGGTTGCCACCGCACAAACAAGTATACTGCTGGCCTCCGCCTAACTATCATATCATATCAACTCACAAGCATCACATTATTGTGAACATAAAACCACAGACCAAATACTCAAAATTTACTTTACTTACAAAAAGTAGCATGGGTTCAGGGCTACTATGCTCTGCCTTGATGCAAACACCATTCATTCTATGAAAAAAAAAAAGTTAATTCATAATTTTTTTTTTGCGTGCCGCATAGGAGAAAACTGTGTACTCTGAAGAACACACTTTCATGCTGAGGGGAGTCCTCATAAAAGTTCACTTTTCCTCACCTATAAGCGTGTACTCAATCGTGTTGCCATCTGAAAGGATCCTAGCTGCCACCAAACGAACATGTATAAGCACTGTAGTGCCTCCTCTATTTTGCCACAAGTTACAACCGTGACTGGTCTCAGTTTATCTACCAACAAGCATTAATGAATTGTAGTTATGATATAGGAGAATCAACATTAAAAAACCAAGGCCACTGTCTCGCGAAGACGGATGACGGCTGTGATAGACAATTTATTGCATTACTCATGGTCACTTGAGGAGGAAGGAAGAGTAAAAGAAACAAAAGGCAGGAGGTCAACGAGACGCACGTCCGTTTTGCTATCCCACCCTGGGGGAAAGGGAATGAGGGACTGAAAGATATAGAGGTAAAAAAAAAAATGGCCCCGTGTCTGCATGTAATCTGCAAATGTCCTCGAAAGAGGATAGTCTTGCGTGTGGAGAGAGTGAACAATTTATTTGATGGTCTGCGCAAGAAAATCAGTGAATGGTATTCTGAAGGCGCTGGGTTAGAGTGCGGCGAGCGTGCAGCGAAGGTGAACGAACGCATCAAGTCACGTCACACGTGAGACATGACCGCCATCTGGCAGTTTTCTTGAAAAACGAAGCGCGTGCCTCTGAGAAGAGTGTGCGTGCCCGTCTCAGAGGTGATAAGGTGTAGAACGCAAGGCGACGGGTAGGTGCCACCACCGTCTTGTTTTAATTGATTGATTGATATGTGGGGTTTAACGTCCCAAAACCACCATATGATTATGAGAGACGCCGAAGTGGAGGGCTCCGGAGATTTCGACCACCTGGGGTTCTTTAATGTGCACCTAAATCTGAGCTCACGGGCCTACCGTCTCGTTTTAGCAAAGCGTTTGAAACACTCACCTTTTCGAGCAAGCGTTGCACGGTCTGCACAGCATGATAAGCACTACGGTCCTTAGTATTACCTATAGTCTTTTTCTAGTAAAAGATGCACATGCGGAATATGTACATGTTGTTATGGTGCCCCAGACATGTGCAATAATTGCTTATTAATTGACAATTGCACAAGTACGAACACGAAACCTTGAGCAACACTGGTGGGTTCTGCGGATGGGGTCAGCCGTCCGCAGGATATTTCAGGATGATGGCATCGAGTTTTTCAAAGCACTGGGGTTTAGAGACAGGGAGGGCAAAACAGACTAAGCAGTTAGAATTAACTAGAATGAGGTTATCTGATTGGTGGCTAAAGTCAAGGCACGAGTGAAAATTAAACTATTCACTGCAATGTACCAGCCCTATATGTCACTATTTAAAGGAGAAAAAAAAGATAAATCTAGTTGTTGGTTCACTAAATATTACGGCTAGGGGGCGTTAGCCGCCGCCCGATCTAAATGGTACAGCCACATCAATCCATCCATCCATCCATTCATCAGTTTCTAGTACCCAGTGCCGTTAGGAGTAGACAAATAGACAAATTTACAGACAGACAGACCAAATTTTTGCGTCGACGGTGCCCAAGAAAGACTATCGTCTTTAAAGAAACGGAGCACACAAAAAACACTGCTGCGTTCCATGGTCGTGAACGCAGGATCTCGGGCGCTTCACGTTGTACTGTAGCCTGGGTCACTTCAGAATGGCTTCATAGTCGCTGTGACGTACGTTACGGTACGCATTCGCAAGAGCACGCTTTGTTTTTGATGAAATCAAATCTGAAGTTGCGGTATACAGTGCCGGTAGAATGGCAGTATGTAGGTGTTCCGTGGCGGTAGAACATCATTACGGGACGCTATTCAAATCTGTGCGCGTACCAACGTTAGAAACGTTAGCGCGTACCAAGTCAGATCAGGTTGCATTTGTAAACCATCGCCTCTTTCAGTTTGGCAACATGGTACTTGCGTCTCAACGATACACTTTTTCCGATTCGCAATGTCCTCTCAGCCGGTAGTTAACGCTACAATCGGCTTCAACGCTTCGAACTAGAGTGAACTAGTACCACAGAACACCTACCAGATCTAACGTTGAGTCGTCCTCTCGGATTCTCGATGCGCGCCGTTCCAGCGTAGCACTCCGGGCAAGGTTCCATTTGGCGTTGCATAAGTGGTTGCCAGACTGGAAAAATGGTTGTTGCCAGACTGCCGCTAAATTTGGCAGAAATTTTTTTTTCTGTAGTTGTGGCTTTTTTGCAAGAGTGTAGGCACGGAGGAAGTGGGCCTATGGTTGCAGGTTCGCATGTCAAGTGACCATTACATTTCTACTCCTGTTGTTATGGGCTTGATTTTACAAGTAGTTGCATCATAGATTGCATACGCGCTTCGGAAATATTTAAATACCTAATAAAAATATGCGTAAATAATTGTATGCGACAAATACGTATTAGTCGGTACCGTTCAGAATCCACTCCCGATCAGAACAAGCCGTTGATCTGGCTGAACATAAATGGTGCCATCGAGCTACACCATAATCAAGTTGAAGGTTTGTTTAGTTTCGTTGTTTCGTTCAAAGTGGAGAGGTTTGAAGTGTTCGACGTGAAGAGAATTTATTCCGACTTGCGTTGTATGTCTGCCAAAGTGCGTGTCATTGTAGTAGTTTTGGACGCTTTACAATTACCGTAAGTATTATTTGTACAAGGTAGTTTACGATGCAGACCGCTCCAATGTAGTCAACAGGCAAAAACGAGTTTCTCGTAAGTGAGTTTCAATCGAAGTTGTTAAGTGTGCAAAATGAAAAGCTTGCAACTAACTGCACATCGAGGGAAGCCTAACAGCGTTACCTTTGCGCGTACGCCAAAGGTTGGAGAGACGAGTCCGGCTCTGAAGGAAAGCTAAAAAAAAAAAAAAAAAAATCGGTAGATTCCACGTACCTTGGCATGCGGATGGAAAATGACTGTGCTGTATTTTTTTAATTATTATTTAGCCAGACGTTAGGAAGTGGCGTGAAAGATATGCGCAAATGCACGTCAAAGACATACCTTAAACAGCCGCATATGTTTTATACAACTATTTGTTTACAGTTGCCTGACGAAGCCAACAACAACATGATTATTAGCAACACCAGAAGCGGTATGCTGACATGAAGCACTCGGGCTTGCGAGGATGGCAGCCCTGGACACTGCTTCATAACTAAACTTCAGCGGATGGCGTCAACCTGACATGACAACAGCGGTACCGTAGGATTGCAAATGTCATCATCAGCCTGACTACGTCCACTGCAGGACAAAGGCCTCTCCTATGTTCCGCCAGTTAACCCGGTCCTGTGCTTGCTGCTGCCAATTTATACCCGCAAACTTCTTAATCTCATCTGCCCACCTAACCTTCTGTCTCCCCCTAGCCCGCTTCCCTTCTCTGGGAATCCAGTTAGTTACCCTTAATGACCAGCGGTTATCCTGTCTACGTGCTACATGCCCGGCCCATGTCCATTTCCTCTTCTTTATTTCAACTATGATATCCTTAACCCCTGTTTGTCCCCTAATCCACTCTGCTCTCTTCTTGTCTCTTAAGGTTACACCTACCATTTTTCTTTCCATTTCTCGCTGCGTCGTCCTCAATTTAAGCTGAACCCTCTTTGTAAGTCTCCAGGTTTCTGCTCCGTAGCTAAGTACCGGCAAGATACAGCTGTTATATACCTTCCTCTTGAGGGATAGTGGCAATCTACCTGTCATAATTTGAGAGTGCTTGCCGAATGTGCTCCACCCCATTCTTATTCTTCTAGTTACTTCAATCTCGTAGTTAGGCTCTGCGGTTATTACCTGCCCTAAGTAGACATAGTCTTTTACAACTTCAAGTGCACTATTACCTATCTCGAAGCGCTGCTCCTTTCCGAGGTTGTTGTACATTACTTTCGTTTTCTGCAGATTAATTTTAAGACCCACCTTTCCTTTCAAATATGACATATATGAAATATGATTGCCAATGTAATGTTCACAAAATTAAATAGCCAGCACTGCAAGCACAAAAAGCTGTCGATATTACCTTTTTTTTTTAACGCTCACGCATTAAAACTGCCCATGTCTGTTCTCGCCATTGTACCCGCATTACTGTGGCACATACCCGCATGCGGGCATGTGCCATTTGCCTGCTAGAAAGAGTGATGACGTACATGAGGGCATTGTGACATTATTCATGTCATGACCAGCGAGTCATATTTGTCAAACCATCTTACCCTATCATACTTGTTTTGGTTTACCCTAACTTAAGGGGGTGATCAGGAGAGCACTCAGACGTAGGCAGGTAGATAGATATATAGATACGTTGATAGACGCTGCAACTGTCTGCAGTAGGCAAAGAAGTGCTTCACACACACAAAAAAAAAAAACGAAAAGACGCGAAAAATTGAGCACTGTGTTTTGTTCAGGCTTCGTGGCCAATCCCCTGTAGTGGGTAAGATCAAGCAAAATGTGGTTGTGGTAAAACTACTGTGGGATCTGCTAGTGCTTGTTCTCCATCGGCACCAGCTTTTTTTATCTGTATGTTGGACACAATTTTTGCATAAGTTGAGCTTACTGAACAGGTCTGCGTAGAAGGGTAATATGGAGCGCTTAAAAAACAAACCCAAGTTTCATAACTGGCACTCAAGGCAGTCTACTTTCAATTGTTATGTTCTTCATAATTGGCTGCTGCTTGTTCTTGTTCACCTTCTCTTGTGGCTCATACCCAATGTGGGGGATTGGCCAAGAATTGTGTGGTCTTATAAAATCTTACGGAATTTTAGAGCAATGGAGGTTATGGAATCCTTTGACAAGTTATGCCTACCCATTTGGAGTGATTTCAGTTGGCTTCAACATTGGTTCACAGTTGTAATGACAGCTGCATTCGATGACTCAAAATACCATCTACTAGTTTAAACTTGATGAAAATATTGCAGTGCAATGACCATCAAGTATCCTTGTGCTCTCCTTGAATCTAATTTTGTTTTCTCTGCAACGGTACTAAGCATCAAACTGAAATATTAAAGGTTACCAAGTATAAACTGTTGAGCGAGTTCATTTAGACGAACTTGGATGTGAAATGATCAACATGCACGCATTGTTCAGTGTACTCATTCCCCAACTCAGCTCAGCTTTATATATATATATATATATATATATATATATATATATATATATATATATATATATATATATATATATATATATATATATATATATTTAAAAAATCTTTTTTTCTAGAACATGACGAGTGTTCGGGTCACAGCAGAGCCAAGCAGACTTCCATCCTTGATACCTTCGGTGGGTGAAGCGCAATTTTTCTATTCCGATTTCCTTTTTTGATGTCAGCACCTACTATTGCAATAATTGTAGGTCAGTAGGGCTGCCAGACATGGTCCAACATTGTAACTCCTTATTTTGTCACCAACAAGGAATATTTTCAGCTTCATAATGTTAACCGTCTGAATGGGTTCACACTTTTATGCTTATATAAACACAGATTACAGTGTTCACGAATTGAAATAAAACATTCTTTCTCTTCTCCCTCCCACCCCCATTTTAACAACTGCTGCAACCACATTATGTCACTGCAAATCTGGCTGCTGAAGTTAATGTTGGCTTCGAGGAAATCGTTCCAAGTCAAAATTAATATGACACAAACTATAGATGCTGGAAGCGAAACTATGTTCATTACATAGCCCCGAATTTTAATGTTTCAGTCTGCGAGTCCTTTATAACGAAACTATTTTTTTCAGCATGAGCATGTAATTAAAGGTATGTGGTTTTTTCCCCAGCTCAGATTTAAAATGTGCCTAAAAAAAACTTTTTCAGGGCACGGCACATGTGGACATCGAGGTGGAGCCAAGTATCCCTGAAATCATGCTGCCTTCGGCAAGTCCAGTGAATTGTTTCATTTTGAATCGGTGCTTTCATTGTTAGTGATATTTTGAAGTTCATCAGCTGAAAAAACAGCTAGAGATACACAGGTGCTGCTCCACAGTTGTTGGCATTTGGTGTACTCTCTCGGCTTCTTACCATTCATAATCAGAACGGGTTCACGCTGGTGTGGTTAAGTGAAGTAGGGCAGAGAATGAGGTTATCTTCTCAACATGAATGTGTGGCTCAATGTATTGGTTCATTCCCAACTCAGTTCAGTAATGTATATTTACAAAGTCTTTTTTTTTTTTAGGAATTTACAGGTGTAGGCGTCAAGATAGAGCCGAGTAGCCCTCCATCTATTCCACATCCTGTAAGTGCATTTTTCTCTTTCTATTACTGGTTTTTCAAGAGATGTATGACAATGTCCTGGTGCATTCAAGCACATCTTGTGCCAAGTGATAAAATGTGGGGTAGTTTTATTGAGAGCAGCGTCCTGGCCTGGCTTGTTATCTATCACTTCAAACCATTGTGCAACAGGAAAAGGATATGGACAACAGAGAATAAGACACACCCAACACAGACTTTCAACAAAATAATTGTGCCACTGGACGTCTTTATATACCGGTGCAATATAGACTGTGCACACGTGTACAGGGTTCTTTTTTTATGAAAGGAAACATGCAAGCGCATAGCCTGTGCACTACCGCACCTGCTTACATCACCATCAACCGGCATATAAAGAAAGCTGTTTCTTCTGGGCGTCATTCATTAGCAAACAAAATAACCAGTCATGGCGCTAGATTGCACTCCCGCTCCGCTCTCACAACGGACGCCACCACAGAAAGTGGTCGCGAGCGAAGAAGCCGCTTTTGCCACATGTATCTGCATATTCCAAGCTTTTTAAGTAGGCTGTCACCAGTTTGTGCTTCAAGATTGTCCCAAGATAATCTTGCTGGTGGGTGCAAGTTTTGAGCACCAAACTAAATGTTTGTCCTTTGGCAGGGTATCTCTAACTAGTGATGGTGTCTGTTGCAGAACAGATTTTAAAAGAAGTGCTACCCCGTGTGCAAAAGGCTCCATGAAGCCGGAGTTCCGGCAAACACCTAAAGTAGGTGTTCTACTTTACATGCCCGAGGTATCGTATTCTATCACCTGAAAAAAATAACTAACTCGGAAAGCGAATGTTAATGTGTTCTGTTCCCAACAAGTTCGGAAAAATATGCAAGACGACTGATCCAAATGCAGTCCCGCTGGGGAAGTGCATTAAGCGGCCCTAAAAACAGGTTCGCTGAGTGTAGTGGCAGTGTTCTGTACAGTGTCTCACTTTCGTGTGGGAAGCAATACATTGGACAAACCAGTGGGGCCTTAATAAGACCAGCTAAGTGAATGGTACAATGACTAAGAAATAGCATCGATAGTTTTTTTTTTTTACAGTTCATTGTTGGGACTGTGGCTGTCAAACAGCATTCAATCGCTTCACAATTATGTCCCATATCAGGAAAAAGGCGTATCCATAAAATTACTAAGTCTTCAGTTACTTTAAATTGTGCAATAAGTGTGTTCACCTTTGTTGGCTCTCACCGACAACCAATTGTTGTTCTCGGCAGCGGCATCATCTAACTCTTAACTTGTTTTTTTTTTTTTTTCATGTATGCACATGCACAATCCATATTGCAGCAATATATAGCTATGTACATGCATGCATAGTCTACACCTGTCAGCATGTATAAGCAGGTTCAGTAATGCAATAAATTTAGTTGAATGTTTGCACTGGATGTGTCCTCCACTCTACTGCTTGTGTCTTTTTCATTTCGCAATCATAAAAAGAGAAGTTTTATTTGGTGGAAAGAAAGTAAGCTGTTCGGAGGAGTGTGACATGTCAGAAAATAGAAACTGAGTGAAGTGAGAAATAATTGGTGCCCAAAGAAATGCAGTACTGAAAGGTAAATGTGCAAGTGTGCAATCTATTTTATTAGCTAGCAGAAAGTGCACTGTGAAGTGAAACTACGCGCTGCATGGATGAACAGAAATAAATCATGCAAAAACACGAAACAGACAAAGACCTTGCACATTAACGACTTTTATTCAATCACTTTTGCTCGTGTTGGTTTTGTGTTCTCGTGTCATTCATCTCTGTTCATATATGCAGTGCGTTGTTTGGTTTCACAAGGCCATGTGAACAAACACCAGCGGAAGCATTTTTAAACGTCAGAAACTGCACATTCATTGTTTAATACATGAAGAGACCTCATGAAAGGGCGATGCACATTTTGTATATTCACCTGCATGGATTTTTCTTTTCCTTTTACTATGTTGGCAATGGTGACCAAACATTTCATGGGTTCTGTATCGTTTCGCTTAGGTCATTTGATAGTTGGCGCTCGTTTTATATGTTTTTATGCGCCTATTCTGGGTGCCTGTATTTTACTTTTCACTATTTGAAGTTGATTAGATGCTTTGACATTGTAGGGACAGGAGGTTATTGTAGCGCAAAGCTATAGGTTAAAAAGCAGGAAAAGTGTTTGGTTTCATGCAAACTAAGAAACCTGTAGTATCATATAGAACACGACCACACTCAATCGGCAAAATAAAATATGATGGTTCACAGGACCCTCTTTACACCAATGCAAATGAATCGTGTGAGGATCCAGTCCTGCTTCCAATGAATGACTCCGTAACCACATTGACAAACAACACTGAAGATTCAGCCAGTGCAGCTGCAATGGATAGGGACAAAAGGTGAGCTGTGGCTGTTCTACAGGAAGTACTTTTTGTGTGGTGGGTGATGCAATGCATTTAATTATTAACTATGATATCCAGCCTTGAGTATTGCATGTGTACTTCCAGTACTTACAATGAAGCAATTCATCCGCTACACATTGTTGCATGTCACTCACTTGCTGTAGTGGACCATTGGTAACGCATTTGCGCACCTGAACTCGAGGGCGCACATTTAAATTCATGTATTCTATCGCATTTTATTGACAATTAAAATGCTCTTGTGCATAGTTACAGGTCACAGTAAAAAAACTGCGGGTTGTAAATTTAGTTACGGTTAATAGCGCAAAAAAAACGTGGCTATAGACATGAAAGATAATTAGACCCTTGGGATAGTCCCTGCGCTGTACCTCTACAAAAAAAAACGTGTTTTGGTTGCTGCAAGGCTTAACAGATGCTGGTCCGCTGTAGCTGCAGAGATGCTGCAATATACCAGGCGAAGGAAGGGGGAGAAGAGATTCTGGCCGAAAGCTTGGGTATCATATATCGTCCTGTAGTATGTGTGGCATGGAGTGTTCAGATTCAGGTCATAAAAAAAATTGTTACGTCTGCACTCTTAAGCAAGTCGCTTGCTTAGTTTCAATGGTTTCAGGGAGCACAGTTGGCTGGCAGCTTTGTGTAAAGGTTTGCACTGGCACCCCCCCCCCCCCCCCTCCATTCTGGGTACTTGTTTCAAATTACATTTTCCTATAGAAGCTAGAAGCAGCTTCCTGCAATAGGTAATTTTGATAGACTTGTGCAAATAATGAATTATAGGTTCAAAGCGAATAGTTAACTATGGTAGAATAATTTGAAATCAAATTCAAATAGTATGTGTCACATAATATAATGTAAAATGGCCATATTCGCATCACCTAACTAATCTGCCCAATATTTTATAAAAATTTTTGTGCAAACACGATTTTTATTTTTGTGCAAAGGAAGTGGAAACAGCTTTGTATATTAGCAAGATTTGACTTTCTGTTAAGTGAGAGTTATAACCTGAAAAATACCATAGTTTTAAAATTTGCTATACTTAGAGCATATAAGCCAATATAACAAACTTTTAAGCTGAAGCAATAATGAATCGATGTGAAGGTAATCTGTTCAATTAACCTTCTAGTGCAGCGAGACCACCTTTACAGGGGGTCACGTGCATACGAAAATATATATATATAGTTGTTCATTTCACATCAAAATTTTCACTAATGTAAGTTTGTATTGAAGTGAATTCGGAAACTGTAGTATTCATTCAATTCAAAGAATTCGTACATGTGCACAAACCTAAATTTTGAGTTCGTGCTGTTCATTGTGCCAGAGTTGTAAAATCAGTGTTAGCCATGATTTAGTGCGGCGTGTTATTATCTATGTGCGTAGAAACGGTGCTATTTGATATAATTACTATGTGAATATATACTCCAATAGACGGAGCCAATAATATTATGGCACTCAGTAGCTGTTACGTGTAGAGATAGCAAAATTTCCAGAAATATTGAGCGATTGTAAAAAAGAACCTGTTTCTTTGTCATGTTTCTTTCCAAAATTATGGAAATATAAAAAAAACAAATTTTTTTATCATAAGGCAATATTTTATTGCCTAGTATCACGAGCAATACCTTTCATTATGTAAATAACACAAATGAAATGCTTTGTATCCTTTCACAAACGAATACCTGATTTAACTGATCGAAGGCGGGCCAGAAGCATCACTGCAAACTAATTTAGTTCTGTGTGAGTGGGTGTGGCTTCCTACAGTTGTTAAGGCAATTGGAATGAAAAATCCAGAAATGTCTGTTTCGCCGTGGCTTCTCATATGGAAAAATTGATTGAGATGGTAAAAAAATTAAGCTCACTTTACTTGTTCAGAGTCAGTATCATTGGCTTCATTTGTGGCTTTCTTCGTCGTGTTAAGGTGTCGCATTCTGGAAAGCATAGCTATTCTTGCAGTTATTACAGACAGCAAGTCCCTGTTTCTTGCCTACGGTCTCGCCAACCGTGAAGTGCATCCACATGGCGGAAATGGGCCCTACCATTGCAGAATCTGCTTGCACACGGATTTAAATGTGGACTTCTGCCACAGGTCGCAGAAGTGTACGGGGGAAAGTCAAAACTGAACGATAACGGGCACCAGAACTTCAGGCATCAACCCCAACATGAGCCACACTTGAACAACGAAGCTATGCTATTCGCAACTCCAGAAAACGCTCCGTGTGCTGGCAACACTTTTCAAAAAAACAAAGATGGGTACGCTGAATGGGGCAACGCAGCACTTTCAGTTGGCGCTGTGCTGAAGTTTGTTGATTTTGGTGTCGAATCGCGTTGCTTCGTCGAAAGCGAAAGGGTGGCCACGGACCACATCATTCTCATCGGCATAAAGGATTTCACTGGCAAAACAGCGGAAATAGTTGCGCTGTGCGCACAAGCATCAAGCCTTTTTGGCAAACTGCATCAGATTTAATTCAAGCTGAAGGCAAATGCTCATGTGTAGCCGGCCTTTTTGAAAGGTGCTAGCACTTTTGCGCTGTGTTGCTACACTGCTAAAGGCAAAACCTTAACAGTTCTTGAGGTAACTATGCTGCTACTCGTGCTGCTGATAGCGTTTATCTCATTGAGTTCCATTGTCTTGTCAAAAGCTGAATAAGCATGCAGTTCACTTGATTACAGAACGTTCAGGGGTTATGCCTGGGCCAGTGTGTCCTGAGATAAGGCATATCATAGTTTCGATTGTAATAGTAGTGCTTCATTCTTTTCTTTCGCCAATACATGTTATTACATTCTTAATGAACAAGATTGTGTGCTTCCTATGATTCACTTGTTTGTGTGGGCAGCAGTTTATATTCAAAGCAGATATATGCACCCACACTACCCACGCTACCAATGCACGCACATAATATATATACGCACAAGCACACATGACCTTCGTGCTTTTTTGTGTGCACATATATGTGTGTGTGTGTGTGTGCACATATATGTGTGTGTATATGTATGTGCACATATATATGTGTGTGTGTGCGTGCATATATATATATGTGTGTGTGTGTGTGAGTGTGTGTGCACACATGCAAAATAAAAAAACGACCGCAGCTTAGTTTGAGAATGGGTATCCCTACGGCTTGCAAAGAAAGTGAGCACATGCGAAAAATACACACGCATGTGACGCAGCAAATTTTCTATAGGGCTTGCAAATATAAACAAACTAAGCTCCGTGCTTAGAAAAGCCCAAATATTGATAAGAATGCACACACACTACGTAACAGTGTACTCACTGAGGAGAAATAAGTCGTCACAAGTGAATCGATTAGAACAAACTACTGTAGTGTCCGTCACCTGCTTTCCAATGCGCAAGTTTCCCATTTGTGCCGTTTTCTGTCTCGCGTCATCTGCAACCTTCGGGAAGTGATAGACCCATACATTGCCGTCTTTCCACCGCGATGCCACCCATTGCAGCACACTTCGATGGTCTTTGAACACTGCTTTCTTCCTTTTCGAGCTCACATATGGGGCATGCCGAAAATAAAGGAACTTTATGGTCGCTCCTCAACGTGCGCAACGTGGTAACATATATCCTTTTTCAAGGTTGACCTGGTTAGCGCCGTTTCCAGGCGCAGCCACTAAGTAGCCAGTGCTTAGTTAGAGTCGCCAATAGGCTCAAGCTAAGCTGACGCTAGAGCTGACTTTATGTGATGTCGATGGCAAGTGGTCAGCCATCGTTTGGTGTTTTGGTGTCATGTGCGACATTTTAGTTTCACATTCCACGCTGGGTGTTGCCTAAGGTTTATTTCTGTGCGTTTTATCCTACAGAAATTTCGACCAATTTTTCTATCTGGGCCGAAAAAAAAAAATTGTTTTCCTTTTTTTTTTCTTTCTTTGCATCTTTAGTTATATATAGATTATCACTGAGTGTTTTACCTTTCAGGTGAAACTGGGGCATCATTCCATGTACGTTTTCTTGTGCCAACATTATGCAGTTTCCACTGAAATGACTTCATTATAATCTTTTCCATTTCCTGCTTTTTTTTTTTTCTTCAATGTTCAGGAACTCTGAAGGAGCGACAGTATCACCTCCGAATAGGCGCTTTGAGTGCGAGATATGCGGTCAGTGCTTTGCCAGGAGAGATTACTTGAAGAGCCATTGGAGTGTGCACACAGGCGAGAGGCCATTTGTCTGCCCTGTCTGCGGCCTCATGTTTGGTAGGAAGGCATCTCTTAACGTGCACGAGCGTATCCATACGGGTGAGAAGCCGTACCTCTGTTCCATCTGCGGCCGCAAGTTTGCTCGGAAGGGGACTCTTGAGCAGCACAAGCGTACCCACACAGGCGAGAAGCCGTACCTCTGTTCCATTTGCGGCCAAGGCTTTTCTCAAAAGTCAGGTCTTGCGAAACACCGTTTCGACCACACGGACGACAGAGCATACACTTGCCTCACCTGTGGGCTCAAGTTTGCTTACAAGGCCAAGCTCGCTAGACACGAACGTAGCCATACAGGTGTGATACCCTATGAGTGTCCGATGTGCCCGTCCAAATTCTGCAAGAAGGAGACTTTAGACCGACACGTGCAGTTGCACACAAGCGGAGTAGACATGTGGCACTGCGTGGAATGTGGCAAGAACTTCACCAAGTTAACGCTCCTGCTGACACATATGAAGTGGCACGCGACGGATAAGCCACACCCGTGCCACCTATGCCCGGCCGGATTCAAATATAAATGTGACCTGGATGTGCACATGTTAACTCACACGGGTGAAAAGCCGCACAAGTGTCCCGAGTGCGCGAGACAGTTCGCCAGGAGTGGAGACCTCAACAGGCACATGCGCAGTATCCACGATAGAGCCAAGATTACAACAGCAAGCTCAGTCAACAGGGTGGAGATTACCATGCCAAGTAACACTCCGACTTCATTGCATCCTGTAAGTGCTTTTATTAATAATGTTGCAATTCCAACTTAACAGAAGTTGTTTCCTTGGATTTCAAAAGGGCATTGTTGCAGCCATGCTGGAACTGATTAAATGGCTTGTTTAAAGGCCAACTGCAACGAAACTTTACTTGGGCGGAAACTGCCCTAAGTGTGTAGTATGTATATAGTAAGTTACGATAACGACAGCGAAAAATTTAGCAGTTGCGTATTTAATTTATAATTGGTGCTTTAATTCCCAGCAAGCAGATGACGTGGAGCTCTAGCGGAGTGCCCAGGCAAATTGGACGAAATTGGATATGACGATTACTACAGAACGTCACCGCGTCGCTTCTTGTGAGCAATTTTCCCTGCCGCTGGAATGCTCTGTCCTGCGTTGAAACCTTTTCAATGCAGTGCGTTTCAAATGGGTCTGTGCTGCCTTGGCACTGCCTAAAGACAGCGTGTTCAAAACGCGTTCGTGCTGCATTGAATTTGATGGCAAGTCAAGTTCAAGTCAAGCAGCATTTCTGAATACGGGGGTCACACTGCAAACCCACCAGTGGGAAGCCTGGATCGGCGTTCGATAAGAGGCACGTTCACGCAGCTTCTTTAATTTAACATAGAAAAAACACACCAGGGAGCGCGTCCGCGATGTGCGTGCTCGAGGAGCGTGGAGCAGACGATTTTTCTGTCGTTCACGTCACTTCCGGTCAGCGGTAATGGCGTCGTTTTTTCTAGTTTCGGTTTCAAAGACATCGTCGTTTGCAAGCTTTTTTCTAAGGTAAGCGCTTGTATCTCGAAGGCGACATTCAGCAGGCAGCACTACCTCTAGCTAGACTACCTATATATTGATTTTTTGTGGAGTGCCAAATTTTGTTGCAGTTGGCCTTTAAAATTGCGTACCATCAAGTCACGAGCAAGCACCCCTAGCCAAGCAAGCGCCCTTTTCCCATCTTAGGGGAATTTCCAATATGTGCCCCCTTCTCCCCTCCCATCATTATCACTTTTTATTCGCCTGACAAGGGCAGATGAAAACAGTGAATGCATGTCTATTTAAGAAAGCACTGCACTAGAAGCACGGGTGCCCATTCTTTATTTTTAGCGGCTCTTTCACCCCTATGTTGAATTTTGATCCATGACCGAGCAAGCCCTCCCTCCCTCTCTTCACCCTTCACTGTAAGGGGGTGCATGCTTGGGATTTTACTGTTTGCGCTTTTTGATGTGCGCTTAAACATGTCGCTTGTTCTGAGTGTGCAGCTTCCTCTAGGTATACCAGAGTTGCACTAAAGTTGCGGCATGCAGGTGTCCCACAACATATGCCTCAGCCCGATGGAGAATGACACCTAAGGAGAGGAGGATGGAGGGGGGGGGGGTAAAGCATTGCATAGCCATGTATTATAGTACAGCAAGGAGTGGGAAAGGGAAAAGAGCAGGAAAAAAGTTAAAGCACAGCATAGCCATATGTTTGGTGGAGTGAAGCAAGGGCAAGTAGTGGTGTGAGGGTAAGGATGAGTGGGTGAATCATAACATAACCATAACAATAAATGTTGGGGTTTAATGTCCCCAAACCACCATATGTTTATGAGAGATGCCATAGTGAAGGGCTCTGGAAATTTCGACCACCTGGGATTCTTTAACGGGCACCTAAATCTAAGCACACGGGCCTCAAGCATTTTAGTCTCCATAGAAAATGCGGCTGCCACTGCCGGGATTCGATCCCTTGATCTGCAGGTCAGCAGTCAAGTGCCTTAGCCACAGATCACCATTCGTAACCATGCTAGAGGAGGGTAATAGAGATGAAGGTGGAGTGATGCAATGGTGAGGGGTGTATAGCAAAGTTATGTGGAAGCGAGTTGGAGGTTGGAGACATGAAGAGGGGAGAGGAGTACGGTGAACGGAGGTCAGGAGCAGCAGTGCGGAGTCAGGCGTGGGTGAAGGCAGTGTGCAGCCACACTAAATACGAGTGGTGCGACGTTAATGATGACATCATGACTTTACATACCGTATTTTCCGGATTATAAGCCGTATCTTGATGTAAGACGCACGGCACTATTTTCGCACGTTTTTACGAAAAAAAAATCATATCTAACTCACACCTTAGTATAAGACGCGCCTCTTTTTTGCGCAATCAGGCCAACTAAGCATAATTCGGCTTGCGCTCAATTTTAGATGCATTGTACTTACCCATTCCCGATCACTCGCATTCCATGAACGCATCAGTAAATGTGCCACAGGTTACGGCAAAAATGCAACGAATGCTTGTAAGCAGGAAAAAAATTATTCACTGCGTATTATCTAAAAACCATCAAAGGCCTCATCCTCCGATGCACTGTTAAACGGTTTGACCAATTCACTGGGTAGCGTCGCAGGGACATCATTGTCATCATCCGAGTCGCTGCTGTCATAATCCCCGGCAGGCGCAGACACAACAAAGCCAGCTTTTTGAAAGCCTGCAGCTATTGTGGACGCAGACACGGTATCGCACGCTTCGTCGACTCATTTGGCCACCTAGCCAAATGTTGCATGTCTCATGCGTCCAGTGGCTGTAAATCTGTAGTCGCCGTCGATCATCCAGCTTTTCCACAAACAGTGGAGAACAGCTTGAAGCTGCGGTAGACGGAGATATTCAAAGGTTGCAGAAGCTTTGTCGTACTGCCTGGTATGTCTGCAGGCGTACAGTTTACAGCCTTCACCCTTTTAATGTTGTGTCGGTAATATGCGCACGCATGCTGTCTATAACGAGCAGACCTTTCTTCACAAGGAAGAAGCCATCTGGTCGTTTGACCAAACATTTTTCAAGCCAAACTGTCATCATGCTTTCATCCAAGTATTCCTTTTCGTTTGCCTGGATGATGAAACCAGAAGGGAAGGTAGCGTTCGGCAGTGTCCTCCCGCTTAGATGTAAGCATTCGTGGAAGTTTAATTCCGTCAGCTCAGCAAGCCAGGACGACCGTAAAATGCAATTTTTCGTGGACGGTTCGCAGCAGCACCGGCTTCTCACCCTTTTGCGTGACAATTCGTCCCACCGGAATGTCCAACGTCAATGGAATTTCGTCCACGTTGACTGTGGTCTTCTGAATCTCGGTTTTGTCCATTTGCTTCTTCACGGGCACTTCAAACTTCTCCAGGTTTGGGCAGCGTTTGACAGTGTTGTGCAGGCTCTGATGCTCAAACAGTTGCGCCTCATAAATCTAAGGCGCCAAAAAGGACCACCGCCAAAACCAACAACTCCCATCTCCTGCGCCCACGTGCACACCTTGAGGTGCAACTGCACAGTAGGCAGTCCCCTTCCTTCAGCACATTGATCTAGTTCCCCAAGTGTGCAGACAGGCCTCAAGTTCGGACCACGGCACTTTCAATCCTCAGTCAGCTTTCTTCGTGCTTCTCATAGCCCTAAGCTTGTTCCGACTTACGCCAATTGCACACCATCTTTTCACTTGCGCCAAAGCGTCGTCCAGCAGCACGGTTATCATTTTTAAGTATGAACTCAATTACTGTAAACTTGAACAGTGATATGTAGCTTTTCCGTGATTGCCGAGGCGTACAAATGAACCGGACAAAGTGGAGAAGGCGACTCAACCGCCACAGCTCACACCACGTGACCAAGTGTTCACTGACGCGACCACGCGGAGAAGGATGGCTTGACTCGGCTAGGCTCGCCTCGGCATCGACGTGGATTTTTCCTACTATGGCCTGGCAAGTGCAACAGCACCTTCGCTGTCGGCCCTTGACTACAATAAACGGTCTTAAAACACTTTAAAGGGCAAAATAATAACAATAATATAGTGTAATAAAAAAGCATCATCGCTTGCTAATTTTAAATTTATTGGTTAAAAATTTGGTAACTCATGCAAAGCACAACAATCGCAACTTTTTCTTTTTTTTCTAGTCGTTTTTGCTGTTTTGAAGTCTGAATCTTCATGTGCCTGCTTGAATTGCTTGATTAACGACCTCACAGTCGTTGCCACAGTTAAAAATAAAAGGAAATAACTTCATTTCCAATGTGAAAGGGAGAAAATATATATACATTTTGCACGTTTGCATAAGACACACCATGGAAAAGTTCAGGAAAGAACCGCATCTCATACTCCGGAAAATACGGTACCTTGCACTCCATCACTGAGGCTTCCCTTTAGCTCTGCTGTCCCTTGGTGTTTTAACATTTAAAAGTAGAAACGAATGTGGGGCGTCGACTTGCGTTCTTTCTCGTGCGTTTTCAGCTGCCTTTGCTATTGTCTATAAGAACGTCAATGTGCTTTAAATGAAATGGGAATGTTAATGCACAGTATCTGTCACATATCTAACACTAAGTTGTAGCAAATGTGCTTTTGTTGTGCGACTTGAGCAGTGTCTTGTTTACAACTTGCAAAAACACTTTTGTTCTTTTAAATTAAGATATGGCTCGAAGCTATCAACATGCCACACTAAATTTGGTTATTCAGCATTTTGTCTCGGTGCTCTTTTGCCCCATACTGCCTTAATGCCTTAAAAACAGGGCTTCAAGCAATGAAACCGTTATCGCTTGGTGGCTTTGCTGTATTATTGTCCCCAATATTTTCCAGGCGAATCCCGACATGAATGAAAAAGGACCAGCTGAAGCAGCAGTCGACGAACAAGCAGCTGTGAAGCATTGTGGGGCGCCACAGCCCTTTGTGTAACCCCTGTGTGTAACCCCTGTGTGTAACCCCTGTGTAACCCCTGTGTGTAAGGAGACTGTGGCGACACTTATTCACCCATATGCGACATACTGCTGGCATACCCATGCGAAGACGCAATGGGATGAGCACTTAGAGACAAAGAACAATGTTTTTTTTTTTAGAGGTGTGAGTGAGTGACAAGCAAGTCGGCTCCACTTTGAACCCAGGAGTACCCAAAGACACAATCCTTGTAATCGCATTCAGCTCAACCTACTACTGGTGAAGGTAATGGCACTTTGAGCATGCATGCTTCGGCAAAAATCAGTTTCCCGATTCTGTGTGAGAAACAAATGTCCCTTCTGGGAAACCTGGCTGTGCATAAGCATTGCCACCAGTCTTAGAAGCTATCGCAGTGCTGGTGTTGCCGGGTGATTAGCGATGATGTCACTCCAGTATCACATGGGGATTGATTGATATGCGGGGTTTAACGTCCCAAAACCACCATATGATTATAACAAGCGCCGTAGTAGAGGGCTTCGGAGATTTCGACCACCTGGGGTTTCTTAACGTGCACCCAAATCTGAGCACACGGGCCTGCAACATTTCTGCCTCCATTGGAAATGCAGCCGCCACAGCCGGGATTCGATCCCGCGACATGCGGGTCAGCAGCAGCCGAGTACCTTAGCCACTAGACCACCGCGGCAGGGCGATCACATGGGGATGCACAGTAAATAGAGGTCATGCGAGTGTTATGCCTGCTGTGAACGTTCTATACATTGGGATTGTTAACAAACAGTGCTTTACTCACCCGGATAAGAAATCGACTAAGTGCCCGATGTGTCGGCAGCAGTACAAATCATAGAGTTACCTAAATATACACTAGAAGGAATTCTGGTGCTAGTGTCTATAAAGCCCCTAGAACCTCTCAAAGTAACGACATATGTGGTTAACCGCGTGCTTCCTCTCTTTTGTCTCTCCCCTGACCTCTCTGAGGCCGCCACGTCAACATTGACCAACTGCTGTCACGTGGGACCGCGGGGAAGTTTCCTCTGTTTACAATCGCCCGAGGCTGCCATCTTTGCTCTGGGGTGCGGGAACGTGGACGTGCTAGCGGGCAGCGCCTGTGGTTTCACCGGTGCTTCATGTATGCGTGCTTGTCATTCAACTTGCGTTGTGTTCAGAGATACTTAGTGCACAAAGCGAACTTCAGTGTCGGTTGCCATGGGCAGCTGCTGCACATTCGGATGCCACAATAATTCATGCGAAGGTAAAAAGTTGTTTACAATTTCGTTCGGCCAGCGCAACAAGTTGTGAAGAAAGGCTTGGATACGCCGAATCGGGATATTGGGAAGTACTGGGTAATAAATGGCATACTTCCAGATTTTGTATTCATTCATGAATAACATGACGTGTCTTATTCTTTTCAGCTCCATCACGACAAGTGAACGCAATACAGGTTTCAAGGCGTATGTGTGCTCGAACCTGGTGGCAGACCGGAAGTAATGTTCTCAGCAAAAGTTTAACGTAAGCTTGCGTGAGCGAAATGATGTCGCAGTTGTAGCTTATCTAACAAAGTCCACGGAACTTGACTGCATTTGGCAGGTAAATCGAAGTCTCCGCTCTTCAACTATCATAATACCACCAACACCTATTGCCCATGTGTTTCTTGCACATTTGGCACCCTTCGTGGAGTCTTATGAGGCACCCTTCGTGGAGTCCTCATGAACGACAGTCATCTGGCTATATAGCGTTTCCTTTCGTGATAACTCGGCACTCGTCACTTTCCCACCCAAAATGTTTTTTTCAAGCTAATAGCACGCGTGCTAATAGCACGCGTGCAATTTACGACTTGCTAGTATGGCGCGCCCGACGATAATGGAAGGAAAAACACGCGAGATTGATGGCTCTTTTGTATCGGGATAGAAACACACCCCAAAATACGCTTTTTTTGTTTTGCAAGATTATTAAAGAGCCCACACGAAAAAGCGAGTGCAGAGATTTTGTGGAAAAAAAAAGTGAGCGATCCAGATGCCCGTCATTGTTTTGTGGGGAAAACACGTCCCAAATACGCCTGTTGTTTTGCGGTATACAGAATGATACATAAAGAGACTCGTGGAGCGACATTAGCTATACTCAGCATCAGTGCCATAAAGTCATCCCTGCGACTCAAGTTATTGTCATTCCGACGTAAGATTGTCACGCTGTGCTTGTTCCATAGGCTCTATTACAACTTCCCTCAACTTCGTGGTAAACTCCTAAACCCCCCACACCGTACATCTCGTCGCCTTTTTAATTCTTGCAGCATCCAGCAGTTGCATGGTTCAACGTCTTCTTTCAGTCAATCTTTTTTGCTGATCGCCGTTACAGAGTGGAATATATTGCCGGATAGTGTTGTCACCGAGCGTAAACCCATTGTGTTTAAGCAGTTGCTTACTTATTACCTCTCATTGTAATATTCATTACGCTCTTACACTGTTAAATTGTAATGTTTTTATTTTGCACCATAGACAGATAATCTATTTCACTGAGATGTGTGTTTCAAATTTGTGTACTGACAAGTCTCATGTCTAACTTTCTATGTTACCCCCGCCCCCCCCCCCATGTAATACCCCAACAGAGGCCTTTAAGGGAAAATAAATGATGATGATACCCAACGAATCCTTCATGGCGGGCACCTCTCATGCATACTGGTAAATCCAGTGCATCATCACCTCACGAGGACCACGCAGACAATGTAAGAGTTTCAGAAGGTCTCATAGGCGTTTCTTTTTTTTTCTTTTTTTACACTCAGCCGTTGCAAGATCGGCCGATACGAAATAGGCAAAGGTTGCGTAATTAATTGTATACCATATGTGGCACTGCAGCAGTGTCATGAACCAGCGTTATGCTCGTGTATATAGCTTTAGGATTAGTTATCAAAACAGCAAAAAAGTGCAGCTAACAAATTTGTACCAGGTATTGGATAGAAATAGTGTTCTCTACAAAACGATACATGAACACTCCCTTGGTGCTCTTTTATAAAGTTCTTTAATTGCTGCAATTTTTCGCAAATTCTGCCTGCGAAGAGGACTGTGTGGCGCTATATAAAAGCGCTAACATCTCCTGAACAACATATAACTAAAAAACAAAAGATACCAAGAGCGAGACGGCTAGTGCGAATGCTTACAGCATGCTGCCTGGCGAGCACCGTTCACTTTTAGAAAGGTCGTCTGTTATGCAAGAGCAACGTAGGTGGTGCCACGTTCGAAAAGAGTGTGAAGGAGAGGAGACCGAAGAGGAACGAGAGCGAAGGAGGAAATTGTCGCTACTTTTCGAAGTTCTAGGGGCTTTGCGTGTCTGAATGCTGCAACGTATAGCGCTTCAGCGAGCATGGTAATTATGGGTATGACATGAATTTGCCTAGTCTTCGTACTTTATATTCGTTCTGGCTTCACGTGGCTTGAAGCTGCTTTGGCGCAAAACAACAATCGGCAAATGTTCAGCAGTTGCATTTCACCACCTTAATCTTTTAGGCTTACCATTTCAAATCAGATCACAAAGTTCAAAAGGGTTCCTTCTGTCCTTCTAGATAAAACTGAAACGCAGCAATAAACGAAGCCACAAGTGCGTTCGTCACCCGCAAGCATGAAGAATAGGCAAATCTATGTCATACCCATGATTCCCATGGCTCCTGTACAATCGCAGTGTCGGTGTCCCCTCTAGTAAATTTTCGGAAACTTATGTGGCATGGATGGTGCGGTCACCTTACCACTTGTGAGCTACATATTCCCTTAGAAGTGTGGCAGCTTGGGCTAGTTGGTATGGCATGACGATAGTTATAGCGCGATAACAAAGCGACGACACAGAGACAAGAAGGACACGAGCGCTAACTTCCAACTATACATATCTTCACTGGAACATTGACGGAGGCTGACTACAGCTAGCCACTTTCAACACCCCAGCAGCAGTTTCAGCATTTGCGAGAGCTGAAGGTAATCAACACCTGTACAAGTGTAATTTACCGGAAGCGTATCAACATTTGCAGAATTGCATGGCAAAAAAGTAGAATCGCATCAGGCAAATGGCATAATGAGTGGTTCATTTAAGGCTTTCCACCTATTACAAAGAGTTTGGCGACAATTCATCATTATCATCCATGATAAAGTGTACAGGTACGTGGGCATGTTGCCTTGGATATGCGGAAGAGGTCCTGCGCTACTTCGCAGAATGTGACAGTAAGTGTCGCATATTGGCCACGTGCCCAGCAAGAGGGAAGAAAATCGAACAAACAGAAAATGGTGGGGGGACATTAGAATAAAGCACAAGGGCGCACTCAGTTTGTGTTTGCTAAGACAACCGCGCTTTGACAGTGCACTGCCTGTATCTAGTCATTATACACTGCGCCACCGTGTGTTCTTGACCACTGTGCCACAACCACTGCCCTCCAGCGTTCAAGGCGTTCAATAGTAGTGTATAGGTGTTCTGTGGCGACACTCTCGCTGCCTGTCTCTCCATCTTCCTCTGCAAATCCCAACGCGGTTCGCAATGAGTTGGTGCGCGGGAGTCCTATCTGTCCACACTTCCACAGCCGCGACACAGCACCCTGCCAATCATTCTCTTGCACGTAAGGGTTTGAAGCGCGCCAGCTCGTGCCTCGAACAGAAGCGAACTCCCGGTGCTGTTGTCGTAAATGCGAACTGAGCCTATTGGGCTTTTACTGTGGCGATGAAGTTCGAGGGTAGCTTTTACACTCATTGCGTGTCCACAGCTCCTCCTCCTTGTCGCGTACCCGTTCACGCACCTCGAATGTCTTGGAGTTTCCGCCTGTACCTGCTCTGTGAATGGTACTTCTTTTCTAGTCGGTATACCCGGTTCACCCAAGTTGCACGCATACAGGTTGGATAAGTGGTGCCATCTAGCGGGGCTCAGTTTAACTAAGCAAGCAGAAAATTGTTCAATGGCCGTTATTGTTGCAGTGGTTCCCGCTACTTTCGCTTTGCTGCTACTAATGCTACAGTTACTGTATATGCTCCCTACGCGTATAGCATATACAGTATCTCTATTCGCCCTAGGATGCCTCGATGTGTGGGCACCCTATTCGGCCGCAGCGTCACTGTACCTATATGCAATGACTATTCTGCCATAGGGTGCCTCGCTGTGCGCAGCCGAGGCATGGCAGATGAAGGTCCTCACAGGCCGGAGAGCGCAAGCAGAGGCGCTCGCACATCGATGCATCCTATTCTGGCACGTGATCCCGTGGTGTGCCCACTTTTGCTCACGCTTGCACATACATTAAACGCGAAGGGCTGCCTTGCTTCGCCAAGCTTGAATTACAATGTTCTTTAATGAATGAGAGCCATCGTTCCAAGGGTTATAAAGGTGATGTGCTCAAAGTAAGGGTGACACCAAAGAGACTCGTTGCGTTGATGCACTTGGGTTCTGCGGTAACCGTTGATATCGGTTGATAGTCGGTGCTGTGTCCTGTATATTCTTCGTCCCGTCGTCACTACGCCGTTTTGCCACGAAGCGTCTCGGCTAGTTCGCCATTTGAACGCGTGTGGACGCTCATGAGACTTTCTTTTTTTTTGAATGCGTCAATTTGCCTGTTTTCTTTGTGCTTCTACATGGGATACTCCTATGCCATCTTTACAATCACCGGCGGTTCGATAATTCTGTTGGAATGAGTTTCTTCAGTGCTACGCGCTACGTCCATGTGCGCCAACACTAATGTGTCAAAATCTTGGTCAGAAATTAATTCTATCTCTACGCTTATGACTCTTCAGATAGCTGCTGCCTATTACGCGAGTCTAATTAATTTGTTCTAATTAATGTTGTAAGTACCTAACAAATAAAAACGAGCCCTTTAATTTCCTCTTTTGTTCATTGCGAGGGTCCTGTTTTGGTAGACTGGATTATTTGTATTATTCGTCAGCTGTCATGCAGCTCGTGATCACGTGTTTCGCTATGCCAGCATGCAGAAAAGTTTTGAAACTTGTAGTCATAGCTACCAGCGGCGCCGACTCACCTCCAAATTTGTGTCCCCAGCTATCTATAGACAAGGATTAAAATACAATGCAATAACCGAATCACCATGAATAACATACAGTGAGCCTGGTAATGTGATATGGAATGCAAACTCGCCCAGCATTGAGCACTCCTAATGCAGTGCACTAATTTTCAAGGAAACTTGTTGGATCCCATACGAGCTTCACATGGCTTTCAATCGATTTTGTCTGTTGAGCTTACTCCAATATTTCAGACCGTGTACCCTTCGGACCTGTGCTAAAGGTTGTTTCACATGCCGCGATTGCAGCGAAAAAAAATCGTTCCGTTCGCTTTATTCGCTCTGTTCGCAACCGTCGCTAATGGCGGTTTTGTTCCACATGGACACTCGAATAGAAACGTTGACTCGAATGGCCCGCGATTTTCGCTCTGCGACTGGAGCGGAGAGTTCCTGCCACCGCCCTTAGTGACAGACACGAATGTAATATAATAATATGTGCATTATGATATCATGAAGTTTCCGTGAATGGTAACGAAGGGCCCACTTAACTGCTTCGTCATTTAAGAACACTTTCCAATCTAAATTCATTTAAAATGCACAGCATCGGCCATTACCATGGTGGCCATTACCAAAACAAACACGTCGACTCTATTTCAACGGCTTGGCCGTACCAACCTTATTTCGCCGGGTCCCGACCAAAAATCGCTCCTGCCCCTGCCATCAGAGCTAAAATTTCCAACATGTCGGAAGCTCGCCGCGGACCGCTGCGGCGGTAGCGAACAGCCTTTTTTTCGCTGCGAGCGAATTCGCAGCCTGAAAATGGCTACTTTTTGTGTCATGTGAAACGACCTTTATACAGTGCCCAGTAATGGTGCAGATGGCTAACAGCGTGATTAAAAAAGCACTAAAGGCAAATATTAAGGCGACGTACATTGCTGTAGTCGTCCAGAAACCTGGCTCTTAGTACTACTTTGGGCCTAGTAAGTACTTATCACGAAATAAAAAAAAAAACGTTTTAGTGGTCCACATCGCGTTAGCGCATGCCCCTCAAAATCCCCCGCCGCGCGCTCTATCTCACGTTACCGTTGCTAAGCCCAACGTGGCCCGCCTTTACTGCGCGGCCGCCGGCACTAGTTAAAGTATATGCTTACTGAATGGAGCATATATACAGTAACTATTCTGCCACGCGATCCCTTGGTCTGCACACTTTTTCTGTCGTTCTTTATGAAAGGGAATACGCGAACGCGCGGCCTGCGCTCTGCGGCGGTAAAACCCCTTGATCCTGGGGCTTTATGCGGCGGCTGCCTACAGCACCATCAACCAGCAAGTGAAGAAAGCACGTTCGTTTTGGCGTCATCTATGGCCAAGCAAGATAACAAGTCATGGCCCGCATAGAGTTTCCCACAATACTAACTAGAGGGAACTCTGGCGCTAGTGTCTATGGGAGTTGCAACACACGGCGCTTCAGCGAGCATGGGAATGATGGGTAGTACACACATTTATCTCATTTTCGTACTTCTGGCTCCGTGTGTGTTCATGTGGCTTGGAGCTGTTCTTTCACGAAAACATAAATTAGCAAATGTTCACCGTTTGCGCTTCAAAACATTTTTTTTTAACTTTCTATTTCGAATCAAGTCCCTAAGTTCAAAAGGGTTTGTTTTTTCTCTCAAAACAAAACCGTAACCAGTAATAAACAAAGCAGCAAGTGCGACTCGCCGCCCACAAGTACAAAGACTAGGCAAATGTGTGTACTACCCATCATTCCCATGGTTAAAGTGAGCTATTCTAGCTCACTTTACCATGGTCGCTGAACGATCGCAGCGCCAGAGTGCCCTCCAGTTAACTTTGGGAAACTTTATGTTGGCCGGTAGACAAGCGCTGCTTTATCACGTTCCCTCACGAGCGATATCGGGCAACTACTGCAGCTTGCGCCGTGGTTTGATATGTTGATATATGTTGGCAGTGGACTACGGACTGAAGTGCAAATCTAGCAGCGCTCGTCCACCGGTCATTACTTGTGTGTGTGTGTGTGTGTTTCGCCACAGATGACTCTGAAAGCGAGCGTGTTTTCTTTTGCTGGCGGTCGATGGTGCTGTAGGCAGCCGCCGCAGAGCACAGGCCACGCGTTCGCGTGTTCCCTTTCATAAAGGAGGACGACAGTGTACAGTCGCAATCTTTTTGAGAGTGAACACAGGAGCGCATGGCTTTCTCGGCTCCCAGCAATCAGTCGGGCGCAGGGCGACCGGGCTGCGAGAATTCTACCGTCGCGCGCATTGCGTCATGCGATCGGCGATTCAGCACGTGTCGTCCGCCTTATACGTCCACGGCAGTAGGGAAGCCGTGTGCTTCAACGTGGCAGTTGTACTCCACCCGATTCACGAATAAATTTCAAAGTAAGTTACGTTTTCGAGATACTCGTTAGGGGTTTTCGCCAACACGTATTAGGAGTTCCAGCGGCGCAAGTGCACATTGCTAAAGTTATTATGAACGAGCATATAGAAGGAAAATCGCCGGATCGCGGTGCTCTTCTGGCAAGCAGTACGAGCATTTGTGAAAATATGTGGCAATATGCATAAAATAAGTTATGGTACGACACCCCGCTTACGCGGTGACTGCGGACAAACTCAAGGATCGCCAAGAGTTGCAGAATCTTCGAGCGCATCAGTGTATACACGTTTTCACAGGAAGTAAAAAAAAAAACACCACCATCATGGGTTGTGCGCGGGAGTACAAAGGCTAAGGGCGCAGCGTTGTCAGTGCATTTTCGAGGGGACGTGCCAATTTGCACAGCCCAAGGATGGCTATGGCGGCGCCCAGGGAGGCGTTTATGAAAAGGTGAATACTCTGTGCCAGCGCTGTACTCCTCATAACCTTCCAGAATGTCAGCAGTGCTGTTCTTAATTCAAAGGGGGGACAGGACAAAATGCTAATGTAACATCAAGCAAAGCTATTTCCTATTGCTGATACAACTTCCTTAAACTAATCACCCCTTCGTGGAACGTCAAATACAGTTCATGTGTTTGTGTTCTGACGTAGAAACCACCGTAACGCGCAACACAACCCACGGGATGACACAGATGAAGACAGGCGCAAACTACCGACTGTCTTCGTTCAAGGAAGATCTACACCTTCATACACCAACACCCTGCGCAGGGGCACCGCCACAACAACCACGAAAACTTGAACCAGACGAGAAAGAAACTGGAATTCAGCGTTCTCACCATTTTTCGATGCCAAAGACGAAGATTGCAGCGGTACTCGATGACTTCAAGGCGACGCGGTTCCTTGTAAGTAGTTCCAGAAGTCCGGGTATAATGTTCACGCAAGAAAATAAATTGAAACGTGACTACGTGTACTACCATAGCTCACGCTCCACGCCTGAACATCGCAGCCAGCCAGCCAGCCATGGCGCCGAATAAGTTCAGTCTACAAAATGCACAACATGAGGAACAGCAAATGAAACGCGGAAGCCAGCCGCCAGCGTGTGCTACGCGTGCGTTGTTGCAGCCAAATCTGGTCACGCCATTACGTCGCGGCATCGTTCGTCGCCGTCTTATCGGCGAAATCTGCGCGTGGCGTATTGCGGGGGAAATAAATCGAAGTTACACAGGCTAATCAAAGGGCCGCTTCGCATTAAAAACCAAACAAAAAAAAGCTTTGTTGCTGTGAGTCTAACCCACGCCATCTCGGTCCACGTGATTGGATGGCGGGCGTTTAACCCAGTAATCCAGCGTCTAAACCATGAGGCTACATGTACGAGCACGTTTTTTTTTTTTTATCTCCCACATTGCTCTTGCAATTAGAAGGGAATCGGTGAAAGAAACCGCAATAACGTTCTTCATGAGATTAAAGTGTGCCGAACAAAAAGTAGTAGTGGCTATATACAATGCGTCCTGGATTCAAACATTACACGTGGTTTCAGAAAAAAAAAAAACTGAAGACGTAGTCCGCTGTATTTGTGTGTCCTTCCTGAATGTTCCGTCTTTCTTTGCGCTGGTAAATCTACAACCAACTCACCCAACCAGCAGCTTGAGTGTAGTCCGAAAGCAGATTGTCATTTTTTTAATGAAAGGTTACACGCATGGGATGTCAGATAGCTTTAAAAACACAACGTATACAGTGGATTGTAAAAGTGAAGTCACAATTGTTAGTTGGATCGTCAAGAACTGCTAAGCCGTAAACGTATTTAAATGTTCTAAAAATTGTTGACACGTGAAAGCTGCTCATAAAATCGCTAACACGTTTGGGTCATAGTGTCAGAAGCTGTGGATACGTTAAGCAGGCACCAGCAGGTGTCTTTTAGTAACATGAAGACCAGAGTCATGAAGAGAAATAAAATTTGTTAGCAGCATAAAAAAATCTATAGTAGGCAGTTTAAGAACTAATCGTTGTGTTCGAGGTGTAACGACTAAAATCGTCACACGCAACGCTTCCAAATGGAGGACATACAAATGCAGTACTATGACTCGCAGCTATCGAAGATCATCCAACTGCCTCTATACAAGGCTGAGTTCCTGCAGTGACCACTTCAAAAACGCCGTAGCCGCTGTTCAATTTCCTGCAGTTCCCTGTAGCGCGGCTTTGCCAGTGCTACGAACGTCTGGGTCGAGCACATGATGCAAGGCTTCCCTGACATCACTTTTCCTTTACTTGGCCGGCCCTCCGTCTCACCTTCGGGCAGGCGAATCCAGGTCGTGCTGGTTTTGGAGCCTGTTTCAACATCTACGTAGTGGATGTGCAAGTAGAAGATGGATGGCAGTTGGCTGGCCATGGCTTCCACGACCGCCTCCGCATACGATGCCCTCAGCTTATTCTTGGTGAGGAGGCACAGGCGTTCCAGAGCGCTCACAGGGCTTAACAAGGTCTGCAAAGTGTAACAATGGACCACCCTTCTGAACTGCTATTCGGCGTGTGCGCTATATGGCTAAAATAGTTCATTATCGCAAAAGATCTTTCGATCAACACTCAATAGCACTCATTTAGTTATCGCTGCAGTTCGAATATCTCACTGCATCGTGCACTTCCAAGATTTCCGCCTACGTGTCCGTGTTAAATCATGTTTTTTTTTATTATACCAGAGAAGCAAACGAGAAACCTTACTCCAAGTCGTCGTCACAATCACCGGTCATCAAGCTTCATGCACAGCATATCAAATTTACCTTAGCTTCGTCATTGATATTGGTTTGAAAAAAAAAATCGCAGATCCCACGTGACAGTGGGAATCGATGATATGCGAAGCACGAATGAAGAAGGTTAACATGTTACTTTAAAATCGGCACAACGTTACGAGGCCGATGTCAATTATGCCGCACATGACGTCCATGTCATGATTATCATGCTAGGACGTGCCATTTACCTTCGTTGTCCATTCATGCCACGTAATATTAAATTCGGTATATGTGGAGCTAGCTAAACGGCCGCGAGCACACTACGAGTGTAGCTTGTAGTCATGTTTTACATGACGCGCTTGTCATGATTATCATGTTTGGACGTGCTATAATTACCTTCGTCGTCCATTTACGTAAAATTTGGTATGCGTGAAGCTAGCGAAATGGCCACGAGCGTGGCATGTAGTCATGTTCTTACACATTGGCGGATCCAGAGGGAATGGGGTGGTAGGGGCGATCCCCTCTCCCTCCCCAATCTGTCAGCGCCCTCACACTCGCTTCAGTGCTCGTAGTCCGCCTCCTGTCATCAATTAGGACAAATCAGCAAATCCACTGCGAGCACATAACAGTATTTATGCCATGAAGAGGTTTTTTTCCTAGTAAAAACAAAATACTCATGATCACGCCCCCCTCTCCCATATTACTTTACGCGACACCCCCCCCCCCCCCCCTAAAATGAGTGGCTGGATCCGCCCCTGTTCTTACATGACACACATCTGATGATTTTGATGTTCGCACCAGCCATATTTCTTCGTCATCCATTCACCTCCCGTATGTAGCAAATTTGGTACATGTGAAGCTAGCGAAACGACCGCCAGTGCACCATGATCGTGGCGTGCAGGCATGACTTGCATGTCATGATTTCCACGTTAGGGCCTGTCACTTATATTCGCCATGCAGTCATGTCATACCATGCCAGTTTTGCAATATGTCATGCGAACGAAACCGCCGCAAGCACAGCAAGACCATGAAATGTAAATAGGGAGCTTTAGAATAGCGCACCACGAGCCCTTGCGGTGCGGTCGCTGCCACTGCGCATGCATCGTAATGCGAGTCAGCGTTCGTGGACCGCACGCAAAAAAATCTGAAATTGCGTGCGGTAATGGCGGCCCGCGTGTGGCCCGCAAGCGCTGGTTTCGAGGCTATGGTGTCGCTACGATCGTGCGTTGCGGTTCGCAGCAGGGCAACCGCTATTCTAAAACTCATATGGCGCCCGCAGCACTTGCAAACGGTATTCTAAAACTCCCTAATGACATACATGCCATGATTTTCATGTTACGACTAGTCACTTATGCTCGTCATACAGTCATAATCACCTTTCCCAAAGAACACAAACCGTAGTACTGAATGTAAAATGCTCCGAGTACACCGATGTTACCTCAGGGGTCCCACAGGGCTCCGTCCTGGGTCCGCTATTGTTTTTAATTTATGTTAATGATATCTCTGCAGGAATTTCATCTTCTATACGGTTGTTTGCGGATGACTGTGTTGTGTACAGAAAAATTTTTGATCACAATGATGTATTAGAACTTCAGAAAGACTTATCGCTCATTTATAGCTGGTGTACCAAATGGAAAATGAATTTGAATATAACAAAGTGTGTACATATTTCATTTACCAAAAAAGATGAAACCATTTCAGTCACAGTACCATCTGAACAATGTACAGTTGAAACAAGAGAGTACATATAAGTACCTAGGTATAATACTATCATCTGAATGTTCATGGAGGCCCCAGGTTGACACTCTCATAGCCAAAGCTGGTAAGGCTTTAAATTTTATTCAAAGAAACCTGCGATGTTCGCATGTGAATTTAAAACGTATGGCATACACTACTTGTATCAGACCTATCTTAGAATACGGTTGTGTCGTGTGGGACCCCGCCGAGGTAACCTTCATTGCTGCCCTGGAACAATTACAAAATCGTGCTGCCAGGTTCGTCTTGGGACGGTACGGAAGGGGGGAGAGCTGCACTGCAATGAAGGCTGAGCTAGGATGGGAGTGTCTTTCTGACCGCCGCCAGAAGCAGAGATTAAAATTTCTTTACTGCATTTACTACAATAAAACTGGAATTAATAGAGAAATATACCTACACAACCCTCATTACACTTCAAAACGTTTTGATCATAGTTGCAAAATTCGGGAATACCAAGCTAAAACGAACATGTATACCAATTCATTTTTTCCTAGAACGATTAAACAGTGGAACAGGCTAACTGAAATGCAAGTACATAGTGGGAACGAAGATATATTTTATTCACTGCTGTAAACCCGTGTTGTAACCTGAACGAAGATATATTATGTGTGAACAAAATTCTGCTATGTGTGTGAACGAAAATGTACTTCAGTTATTTATGTGTGAACAAAGTTGTATTGTGTCGGTGAACGGAGATGTACGTCATTTATTGATGTAACCCCCCTGCTATAACGCCTTCGGGTGCTGCGGGGTATCTGATGAATAAAGAATAAAATAATATGCCATACCAAATTTGGTATCGATATATTATTGAAATGGCCAGGAGAGCTAAATAAAGGTCGTAGGCGACTAGACAGGCATACTAATAATAGATAGATAGATATGCTCAAAGTCGCCGAAGTTCGCTACGAGGTGCTTCGCATTTAGTAGATTACAAAAAAAAAAAAAACGACTAACTCTTCTATGGTGACGCAATGGATTCCAAAGTGTGCCGTAGTTATATCCCACATAGTCAACGAAGTTTGCTTAAACTTGCTATGTTAAGCTGCATTCCTCTTACTGACGAGGAGCTGCGTAGCACTGCATAGAAGTCGGGAAGGTCTTTGAACGTCACGGCCACTGGTGTGGGAAATTTGTAGTGGTTTTGGAGTACTTACGTCTTTTTTTTTCTTATTAAGCTTATTTTCATGGCAAGCGTGGTGTTTTTGGTGTTGCGAATTAAGTGTAATTCCTTAATACAAAAAATTACCCTTTAATGTCAGTTTAAATGAAGTGTAAATGGCAGGTAGATTGCTATCGAAGGTACGTACCTCGAAAGACGGCACGCAGAATTCTATGAGAGACATCCTGATGACAAGAGAGCGGAGGGCTTCGCAGGCGCGTAAAGCCGTTGAGAGAGCCTTATATCCGAAGCGCGGCACGTTGGAGTCGTCGATGAACCGCAAGTGGGCCATCTTGAAATGCGCCAGAAAGTTCAAAGAAACCAGGTTACGCACGTTGCTTAGCGTAAGACGGCCGATTCCGGTGGAAAACGCGCTCGCATCAGTGGGTTCGATGGCGAGCTCGTTGGCGCAGGAAGGGCATTTCTTGTGTCGGCCATCCATGTTGAGTCGGATGTCCAAATCTTCCACGCCTCCGAGCTTGAGGGCCAGCCGGCGCACGGCGCCTTCGGATCGCAGACCACATGGTGGCAGGGACAGCGCTCGGAGGCGCTGCATAGCTGGCGCAGCCAGGAGAGTTGTGAAGTCGACGCCTTCACCGAAGTGGAGGGAGCTGACATTGAGCTCGACGAGGTTGAGAAGCCTGGCGAAAAATTGGCGCAAGGCCGAGTCGTGCATAGGGCGGACGGTCGGGTACGCGGATTGGTCGATGTTTCCGGCGTACAGCAGGAAGCACAGGCTCCGTAAGTGGCTCCAGTTGTGCTGAAGGATGCCAATGAGGAAACCGAGTTCTGCAGAGTCGACAGCCACCAGGACGACTGGTTCAAGCGGGAGCGTCGTATCGGGTGACAAAGCCAGATCTCGCAGCTGGGCGAAGTTCAAGGCCCGCAGATTCTTCCGGAACACCACAGTACCGTGAAGTTTGATGCAATAACGCAAGTCGACCGGCTGCCTAAGGTCTGAGTACGCCGTGAACGGGGCCTCGCAGGTGACCGTCAACGTCCCAGAACCGGGCAAGTCCCTGGCGATGCTCGCGCACACCAACGCGCACCAGTCCGGACTGACTTCGTGCACAAAGTGAACGTGCAGTTCCTTCAGGAGCGGACAGTATTCCAGGAACCGCATCAGCAGCCTGATGTTGTGTTTGTCCGACACCTCGACGTACATCTTGCGGATCTTGGTTTCCTTACCCGCGTGCACGCTTGCCAAGCACTGAATCTTGGTGAGTTCTTCCTTGGTATCGTCCTTGCCGTCGACGAGCGAGAACTCCAGCTGCGTGACGTTCTCGAACGACCACAGCAGCCGGTCCAGAAGGAGGCTCACCTTCAGAGGGCATGCAACGCACGAAATTGCTTGGAGGTTACTTAGGTCGGATGCGACCGACAGCAGGAATGCTGGTATCGCTACGATGCAGTTGGATATGTCCAGCGAATGCAAGTTGTCTCCCACTTCGGCTATCTTGCATCTGAGCACCTCGTCGCCCGCGTTAGTGGGCAGCCCGTACGACGACATCGCGTGTGTATCTGGGATGATGAACCAAGCTCGATCGAGAGTGGAATTGATTGCCGGCACGACCGCGTTGCGGCCGGATCACTCCGCATATGAACGCGCTGTGTCGTCTCACACCACTACAGCGAGGGCTGTGATGCCACGTTGCCAGCAAATAACTTGTGACGTGGCGTTTGAACATCTTTGACAGACCCCAAACCACCGCGCTAAGACAAGGGAGCGGTTTCTTTCTCGCCTTTGCTACCCTTCCTACAAGCGATATATTACCTCCTCGCCACTTATTTCTTAAAAGCACGTGCACAATGTCGCACTGAGCGTTGAGTATATCAGGATTTCGCGCTCGTGGTAATCTCCGCTTACGCAGTCGGAAACATGCAAAATGAAGCAGGGGCGGATCCAGCCACTCATTTATCTTTGAGGGGGGGGGGGGGGTGGCGTCACTTATAGTAGCTTTTTTGGAGAGGGGGGCGTGGACATGACTTTTTTGTTGTTTTCACTAAAAGAAGAATTTTCGTAGCATTAAATATTGTTAATGCTTGCTCACATTTGTTTCAGTCATTTGTTCTAATTGGCGATAGGAGGTAGTCTAGTAGACGACGAGCACTGAAGTGAGGACAGGGGGGGGGGGCTTTGTGCTGACGCAGACGTTGGGGGGGGGGGGGGTCTTACTGAGATGAAGTGAAATTAGTTGATAGTCATGCGAGACAAGAAAGAACAGGTGGGTGGCTGTGTGGCAGAGTGGTGTAGGAGACAATCTAAAAGTGATATTACCAATCTAAAGTATGTACCGTCAGGTGAATAACTGTTCTGCGGCACGAAGTGCGCCAGGAAGACGACGAGTGCCAGTAGAGGAGAACGCACTCGACCTTTTTTTTTTAATTTTTTTCAGAGGTTGATTAGGGGCCCATCAAGAATGCCTGTTGATTTTTTTATAACGTTCGGTGTTCGCTATAGTTCGTGCTCTCGTGCCCCGCCGCGATGGTCTAGTGGCTTAGGTACCAGGCTGCTGACCCGCAGTCACGGAATCGAATCGCGGCTGCGTTTTAGATGAAGGCGAAAATGCCTCGGGTCCGTGTGCACCGACTTGGGCCTACGTTAAAGAATACCAGCTGGTCAAAACATACAGAGTCCTTCGATTGATTGATATGCGGGGTTTAACGTCCCAAAACCACCATATGATGGTCAGGCCATTCGTCTGCGGGTGGTAAGCAGTTGTTTTGCGATGGACAGAATGGCACTCCATGAGAATGGCTTCGACGACTTCTGACAAGAAGACACGGCCTCGATCGCTGAGAAGCTCCTGAGGTGGATTATGAGAGACGCCGTAGTGGAGGGCTACGGAAGTTTCGACCACCTGGGGTTCTTTAACGTGCGCCCAAATCTGAGCACACGGGCCTACAGAATTTCCGCCTCCACCGAAAATGCAGCCGGGATTCGATCCCGTTACCTGCGGGTCAGCAGCCGAGTGCCTTAGCCACTGGACCGCCGCGGCGGGGCTTACAGAGTCCTCCGTCATATGGTGGCTTTGGGACGTTAAACCCCTATATCAATCTATCAACGCACCCGTCGTAATTTTACGCATTTCATTCGTTTTTTTTTTTCGAAGGCTCACTTTAACTTTCAGCGCGATCACAAACGCTTGCAAAAACGCGCACGTGGCGGCCTCCCGCGGTGGACTTGTCAACTAAGGTGCTCACGGTCCAGGCGGCCGTGCTCACGATGTAGAAATCAGCCAATGATCGTGAACTTGGGGATATGGCATGACGTCGTTATATAAGTAGGCTGCATCATTACATAGAAAGAAAGAGCAATTTATATAGATGATTTGAACATTAATGATAAATACCAGGCCACTTCCTGCGCTATAATGTATGGCTCTCATGCTCTCACGAGCCTCAACTACTGATAGGCAGCGTTTTCTCACCATGCTTAAAAAGCGTGTACGTGCATGGCCCCTTTAAAGTCCTGTTGTATATTTGTAAGAAAGCTTAACGGGAGATCTGAACTAAAACACTACCAGTAAGAGGGCAAGTAAGCTGTAGTCCTTGCCAGGAAATTCCAACCTAAGAAGTCCTGTTGCAAGTTTTCCACAGGAGATTTAAACATGAGACCAGTACCAAGAAACTACCAGTAACAAGGCTATAAGCATGTTTGGCCAATTTTTCGGACACTGCTGCAGGCCATCGTGTTTGGGACTAAGCGTGAAATATTGGCAATGGGGACGTCATATGATGACATCATGACACGATTTTCTGCATAACTTGCGTTGATACTGCCCACCATGATGCCAACAGTAAATTTATTGGTTGATGAGGGATTTGTGGCTGACACTTTTTTGCCTTTTGGCTCCATCAACAAAACATTTCTGTTTCATTCCTCCGTTATACATCAATGCAAAAGTTATCACAACACCTTTTTTCATTGAAAATAATGTCGCAATGCAGTGTCACCGATATCCACTGACTTAACACAGCTAGCGTCAGATCGATCCACAAATGAGCGATACACTGATGATGACGAATGAGCCAAGAGGTTATTGCAATGCTTGCTAAAAAAGTGTATCGTGTTGACGTGGGTGCAAAAATTTATTTGTGTCCGGCAAGTTGCACATTAGCTTGCCACTGAAAATTGAATGCCCCTCATCATCTACTCACCTGACGCGCAAAAAATGACACATCTGCACCCGCCCCTTTCTGACCCTTCTGTTTATGTCCTTTTAATGACACTTGCACTTTACTCGCCCTATTCGGCAAGCCAGCTTATGTCAATACGCACCCCTATATCCCCCACCCTACCTCACCTGTTTTCCCACCTGCCCTCTCTCCTCACACTTGAGTGTACTTATGCATACACACACTGAGGTAGGTAGTGGTTACCTAGCTTAAGATAAGATCAATACTTGGAAACGTTGACTCAGTGACACCCCTTGTTTTAAGGAAATTTCATCCCTCTAATATATACGTACAGTCCTTCAAATGAAGCACATCAGCTTTCTTAAAGCTTGGAATTGCAGCAAGCTCATCTAGTTTGGCACGTAAAAAAATTGGGCATGCAAACTTGGACATAGAGAGAAATGCCTTTTCAAAGTTTTCGTGCAACTATCAGAGTTCAACCTTATTAGTGCAACATCCCTCAAGCAGTTTTATCGTACGGGCATCTATGAAAATCATGCTGATACAATGGCAATGAATCATATGACCCAACTGCATTCACTATGTTTGCAGCAGATACAGCGAGAGATTTCATTTCACTTCCGCTTGTCACGGCACACATCAAAACGTGACGGTAGCAGAGTCATTCTAAATATCAGAGTCCCACAGTGGCTAGACGCAGAGCACGTGGTTTGTTGACACATACCTTATTTACTCAATTGTGATGCCACCTCAATTGTACACGAGGGGCAACTTTTCATTGCGTTAAGAAAGAAAGAAATGAAATTTCTGGGTCCTATTGCAATGAGAGGGTCGACATTAGGTATCAAAATTTCAGAAAAAAAAAACTCATTACGTTTGAGTGAATACGGTATTTTCTGCAGGTGGCACATGTCACTCATCTAAGTGAATGCATAAGCCGCCTTCTGCGATCCTCAAAATTGAAATTCTTTTACTCGTGCGTGCTATGATTTCGTTGTGATGCCATTACTGTTGCAATGTAGTTTTTCTATGCCTTTCTAAACCTGTCATATATGTTCACAATTTTTATTAAAAAATTTCAAAGCATTGAAGAGACCTAGAACTGTGTCAATTTTGTGTATTCGTTTTTCTTGGTTCACATTGATTATATAGTATCAGTGATGGAAGCAACCTATTGCTTTTTGGAGCAGATTCTGGAGCAGTAGTAGTGCTTTGCAAAAGCCTTAAGTGTCTTCGGAGCAGATGCATGTTTCTAATGACTCCTGAAATCCAAAACATCACTTAATCATCTAATAAATATTTATATTTATTATTAAACATGCCGTATGCTAGTATGCAGCTAGTATACAAGCAGTATAGTAGCATCATTAGCGTAAATCCTGGGGGGAGGGGGGTAGAGGTAGTCCCGACTTTTTTAGGTTCAAGGGAGCACAGCTCTTGCTAGTGTCCCTTGAGATTTAGCTTTAGCTTGTGATATAATTAAGTTAACAGCTATGTACAGTGCAATTAACTTTTTAAAAACCTATCTTTTACTGTGCATCTGTGTTAAATGCCCCTCAACTGTGGACTATGGAAATCGCAAAAAGGTGAGTAAAAGAGACCGAATAGAACGATGCGATTTCTCGAGCTCGGACCCCATCCTTTTTATTTTTAAATTCTATTTGGAAGCATGGCCTAATTACTATATAAATACAGATACAACCCATATTAAAAATACGAATTGGCTGCCATGGCCCGATATGTGCCACCCCTTGCAATTTTTCTGTATTTGCACCACTGAGTTACACACTAGGATGATAGTGTGTATAAATCTTGCTTTTGGTTTCGCCTAAACTCACTGGGTGGTCCCATGGTTCAACTTCACTTTTTTTTGTTTGCCAACATACTTTTGGAGCAGGTTTGGAGCAGTATCTAATAAATATTGCACTTTGGAGTAGCACGGAGCAGCATTACTCTTTTGGAGCAATTGGAGCAGCACTTCCATCACTGTAGTATAGAGCAATGAGAAAAAGATAATAAAAGCCAGATCTCAAGAATTGTGGCATCCCACTTTTTTATTAAACTCTCGCAAACACTGCCATATGAAAACTTTAAGGTGACTAACAATGGGGCGGCACTTTATACATGAATAACAGGAATAAATGACGAAAGATGACACACCAATAAATGTACACATTTAAGCATGACAGCGTGAACAAACATTGTTAGCTTTAAGACATAACATAGAATCACAGAAACGGAGCGTTGGGTGAGCTTCACGCCAGCAACATAGTGAAAATGATCTGTATATGACGATGCACATATATAAACATCAACATTAACAAATCTGTTGTTCAAATTGCAGAAAGATAGCAAAACATGGCATAAACGAAGTGTACAGCGCCAAAAAATTTATCAGAAATGCGTAGCACACATGATCATTGTGTCAACAAGGACACCTCAACAACATTAAAAGGAAAAAAAAAATCAACAGCTACAAGAAAAAAAATATGATGAACGTTATTAATATTTTTGCGTTGTCCTACGCAAAGATAAAGTACCATTATGGGTTTTGGCATGGAGTGTGAAAATTAATATGAATAAGTTCGAAGTCGCATGTCACAATGGTAATATTCAATGCATAACCATCAAAAATGTATGCACATAAGAAATCCTACAAACGTGCTTCTCCAGCAAGTTATAGCAGAACCGTATCCATAAAAGCCTCTACGTAACGAAAGCACACACTTTGACAAGAACAATACACCAAGGTTTCTAAATGGACCTGTTTAGCCCTATTCCCGAGAAAGCAAACAAGAACAGAATGAGAAGTTGTTTTGTGAGTGCAACTTTTCTGCTTTCTAATGTAGCTGTTCGCTAGGCAATATGCATTAGCTTTCAAAAGTAGCTGCGTACGTATGGGTAGGCACAGATATATAAGCTAGTTTAATCCTCTAATGAGCATTCAAGCTTATGACTGCTTGCTATACCAGCCATAGCGCCGAGAGAGCATATTTAGTGCACTGGAGAAGCATGGAGCTCTATCCAAATTTATATATACACTCACCAGCGAAGATGTATAAATCTCTGCCAACACCCCCACCCTTCCCGAAATAAATTTCTCGCTGAACACCTGATGTGCGTTAGTTGGAAGAAATGGAAAATTTTGAATTTAAGATACTGACCGTGACAACTCGCACTCGATTTCCAGGGGGACCTGTGGTGCATGACAATATCCCAGAAGTTATAACATTGTTCCCATTGTCATAAAATGCAAACTGCTTCTTGAACGTTGTGCGCTTAATACCTTACCACGATGAAAACATAAACAGATGTTAAAACTTTTGTCAGGTCCTGAAAACCAGACAACATTACAACTAAACATGAAGAATACCGAATCCAACAAGGTCTCTACGAGAAGCTCGTTTAGTGCTTTGCCTATGTTTACATGAATTACCAAAATTAATGCATGTGCATACATATATGAAAGAACTCCAAGTACACGACACCCAGGACATATCTGGTAAACTACACTTGCTTCATTAGAGACCGTACTGTGAAAACAGTTGCCCTGCTACTGTAAACTGCTGCTTCACAAATAACTATCGCAAAACGAAAATCAGATAAAACACTCAAAGATGAACTGTTTGTCACCCGTAGTTGGAAAAACAATTAGGCGATATAAAATTTACTGGCACAAGGTCCCACCCTTTCAATTATATAAGCTACGCCAATGCCATTCTATCGTGCTGTGAATGCCATTAACAAGGTCGCACCAGCAACACCGAAACCACAAACATAATTTATCGATTAAAATATTTCCTCAGCACAGACGGTAGTGCTTCAGGTGTAACTCAGTCTGCGCGACATACGTGTGGTTAAACGCAAGCTGCGCCTCGTAGGAACACTCGCCTCTTGACTTGCTGCACCATGCCTGCGAGATGACCTGGAAGCTACAGCCTTTGGCTGCGATGCTGACGCATTGTGGCCACCTGTCTTCCTACGTTTGGAATATCGAGGCGAGTCCGAAAAAGCATCCTCATCGTGAAGGAAGCTGTCATCCGTCATGGTGCCGCTGTCCTGAGTGCTGGGAGCATTCACAGAGCGACGGCATGTTGAGCAGACGGCGCTCGACGCCTTGTCCGTCGCAGATTCCTGTTCGGCTGCGCTTGACCTCTCGTCAGACAACTCTACGTGTGTCTTCAATGAAAAGCTCATTCTTGAATTTTTGTTCCTTTTGGTGGCCAGCAAAGTCTGCTCTTCGGTGACAACATCCAAGTCCTTTTTCAGGTGACTCGAGTGCATGGCTGCTGCAGGCTTCTCATTCATTGAGCAGCTTGTACGAGTGGTCCGCGCCGGTGTGTTCCGTTTCACTCTGACACGAGTAGAGCGCCTCATAACTGGAGTTTCGACAGACATTGCTGTTTGCATTAGCACTTGAGGATGCTCCGACACTGATGGTGCATCAACATTGCTATCAGATACACTCTGTGTATTTCCTGCTTGCTTTTCCATTGCTGCATCAATCAGCCCACAGTCATAAGTCCTTGTGTGTCTGGATGGCGACTGACATGTGCAGAAGTTGGATGTGGGGCTCTGTGTGTCTACTATTTCGCTAGATGTAGTTGGCACTGGGCTGAAAGGAGGTGACTGAGTGCTCGCACTGTTGTCGGACTGCGAAGCTCGTATTGCAGTCAACGAGAGCCTACTGGTCTTCCCTGTGCTGGTGTTTACAACCTTATAGCTTGAAGCAGCACTTGGCGGTCTTGACTGTCGTTCTTGCGATTCATAAAGAGGCACCTTGAGCTTTCTTAAGTGTGCAATGCTGGCATCGAAGTTCGCTGAAGGTGCTTTGTAGGAAGAGTCATCATCGTTGGAGTCCGAAAAGGAAAGAACTGCTGTATCAAAGTCAATGATGGAATCCTCTTTCGTATTATGTTGGGAACACCTTCGCGAAGGCACTCTTCGCAATGATTGCATTCGCCGCATAGCGGCTTGAACAAGGTCCCCCTCTTTATCAGAACTTAAGGAGTTGGGTAAACCATCGACATTTCTGAGCAGGGGCACCTGCGTCAAACCACCGAGATTGTCATTTGTCTCAGACAAATCGTGTTCTGCAGTTTCTGGGCCTGGCGTCACATTCGCACTAGCTTCGCCGACTCCTCTGCGCTTGGGAGGTGTTCTTGACGGCGACCTACACGAACCTGCAACGCGGGCAGTGATCGACTCTTCTAGCTGTTGCTTACTAGAATGTGAAACATCACACCCAGTGCTTGTTGCCTGCACCTTTTTCCTGCCTGAAAGTGAAGCAGATACAGAGCGAGTTCTGGGCATGCTCTGATTGCCCCTATGAGTGGCTGCCGATTCTGTTTCATTACTTTGCAAGCGACGCACTGTTACGGATGGACTGCCTTCTCCCTTGTTCCCACTCCCACACTCTTTCTCAGTTATGGCTTCTTCATCTTGCGTAGGTGAAAGGCACCTGACAGAGTCACCATTATTTACGCTGTCCTGTAATACCTTTCGCCTAACCTTCAATGGTGGTGATTCGATACCTTCACGTAGCCCACTTTTCTTTGCTTCATTCGTGCCAGGCTTGCCGCCTGACTGGACGTCAGGTCCCACGACCCTTGACTGCAATGTTGTTCTGCCTTCTTTTAGTGGGGAGGTATTATCCATTGCTAAAGACAACTGCCTACGTGCACTTCGAGTCAAGACTCCATGCTTGGTTTGCCCCGCTTCGTTTATGCCAGAGACGGGGGATTCACCTCTCATTGTTGACGAACTACTGTGCCCACTACCAGAAGCCATCTGTCTTGTGCTGATAGTGCTTACATTCGCCACCTCTATTCCAGACTTTTGCTTGATAACGGACAAGGTTGCCTCTTTTGCCGGTGACTTTTGTGCGATTCCATTATCACTTGAACTGCCTTGTTTTGTGGGTGACTCTAACCTACGGGAGAGGCGCCCACTGGAACGAAGCTTCGCAGGAGCACATGACTTTTCCGGAGTTAAATTTGCATTGTTTGAATAATCCTGCCTTTGCACTTCCATTGACAGACTTGTTGCTACACTTCTGCTTTGCACGGTCTGGGCATTTACATCTCTAGAAGCGTCGACAGAGAATTCACAAACTTCTTGCTCCGCAAATACCAGACTTCTAGCACAACTCCTTGTGCTTTGCCTCCTGGTGGATACTGCAGATCCCAGCGGCTGCCTAGCATCAACTATGTTTTGCCTTGAATGCTCGCTATTCACACTCTCTTCATTTACGCTGACACTTGTACCATCAGACTTCTGGCTCAAAGATAACTTTAGTGCTCCCTTTCCACAAAGGGCGAGATTTGAAGTCAAAGGCTGTGGACGAGGTGTGTCCTTTCTTCTATATACAAATGGAGTTCTACCAGCCATCATCTTCTCCATCTTTGGGCTTTTTCTGGTGTCTTTTTCAGCCTCAAGTGGTTCATTTTCATCTCTTTGAAATTCATCAGAGTCCAATCTTGAAGCACCATTTCTCTCAGATTCTGATGTTTCGTTTGCTTCTGGCAGCTTCGAGGTCTTATTCGTGGGCAATGATGTTCGAGGGCTGTCACGACGGGTGCTTGCCTTTTTCTTGCTAGGACTGAGATCTTCAGTCTTTGCCGCTGACACGTTCATCAACCTTGTACCATCAGCATTGAAGCTCGCACTGGCCACGTCACTTGTGGCCGCATCTGCGCAATCAGAGTCAGACATTGAAACTTGTTCTTTGTCAGACACCACTCTCTGTTTGACTAGCAAAGAGGGTGAACCGCGAGAACACCCTTTACGTCGGGCAGGTTGGCTCTTGCCGGTGCCGTTCCTCTCATCCAAGCTTCGGCGACCACCCTGACCTTTTGATTTAAAAGACTTACGAACGGAAGTACTTTTTTTGACAAGCGGAACCTTAAAAGACGACTGCGGCAAAGCTGAAGAAAGCGTCTTCCTTCTGAAATCCACGGGATCTGTTTCATCATCAGAATCGTCTTCAAAGGACAGCACCATTTCTTTGAGTTTCGAGAAAGGTGACGGCGATCGCCTCTGGGACGAAACTGAAACAGTTGTGGCTTGTGACAGGCGAGCAGCTCGTTGCCAGCAAGACGCAAGCCCTACATCGTTGGATTGTAGCTCTAAGGTATCAGCATCAGATTCAGCAGCCAGGTGATTGGCCTCCGTTACCGGAGATTCAGGAGGGGAGAGGTGCATGTTTAGCAGCGACGAAGCATCAGGTGACTGCTGTCCGCATGGGATTTCATCAGCAAAATCTGAGAACTGTGCACATTGTACAGTGTCTGGCAGTGTAGGATGCTCAACGCTACATTTATCAGAAAGCTCGGCATCTTGCGGAGCTGGGTGGTCGACCCTGCCCTCTCCATCAGAAGAATCGGCTTTCTGCAGTGCCGAGTCTTTAGCACTGCTGTTCTGGTGGGAACATTCTTGTGTTGCCGAGTGCTTCGCACTCACACACACATCGCATGATTTAGTTCGTTGCACTGGGTGTCTTAAAGCATTAGCACGATCAGGAAGCTCTGCTTGTTGTGATGCTGAGCGCTTGGCACCATTTTCTTTGTTGGAAGACTCGGGATTTTGTTGCAGCGACTGCTCAGCGCAGTGGTCTTCATCCGAAGACTCAGAGGGAATTACAGTTTCGCTCCTACATGCCTTCCGTACAGTTTTTGCTGGCTTGACTTGCCGTAGTGCTGAGTGCTCAGTACTGCCCTCTCCATCGGAAGACTGAGCTTTTTGTAGTGGTGAGTAGTCAACACAGTGATCGTCACCAGAAGACTCAGAGGAAATTAGTGTTCTGCTGCTAAAGGGTTGCAGAAGGGTTCTCACTAGACCGTCTTCTCCTTGTTCTGAGTGTTCAACGAAGTGCTTTTCAGCAGACCTGGGTTCTTGTGGTGCTGATTGCCCAACGCCACCCTCTTCATCCGAGGAAAACTCGGCCTTTTGTAATGGTGAGCGGTCAACACTGTGATCTTCACCAGAAGACTCGGAGTAAATAATTGTTCTGCTGCTAGAGGGTTGCAGAAGGGTTCTCACTAGACAGTCTTCTCCTTGTTCTGAGTGTTCAACGAAGTGCTTTTCAGCAGACCTGGGTTCTTGTGGTGCTGATTTCCCACCGCCGCCCTCTTCATCCGAGGAAAACTCAGCCTTTTGTAATGGTGAGCGGTCAACACTGTGATCTTCACCAGAAGACTCTGAGGAAATAATTGTTCTGCTGCTAGAGGGTTGCAGAAGGGTCCTCACTAGATCGTCTTCTTTTTGTTCTGAGCATTCAACGAAGTGCTTTTTAGCAGACCTGGGTTCTTTTGGTGCTGATTTCCCACCGCCACCTTCTTCATCAGAGGAAGACTCGGAGGAAATTAATGGTCTGCGCCTACGTGCCCCCTTAACAGTTCTTCCTGGCTTCAGTTTCCGTCGTGCCGATTGCTCAATGCAGCGCTTTTTGAAAGACTTGGCTTTTCGTGGGGCTGTGTGCTCAGAACTGCTATTTTGATCAGAAAACTCGGCTTTTTGTGCTGAGTGACCAACTATGCCCTCTTCATCGGATGACTCGGCTTTATGCAGTGGAGAGGGCTCAACACTGTGATCTTCATCAGAAGATTTGGATGAAATGGAAGTTCTGTTCCTACGTGCATTCTTTACAGTTCTCGCTCGGTTGTAGTCCTGTTGTGTTGAGTGCTCAACGCAGTGTTTTTCAGAGGACTTGACTTCTTGTGATGCCCAACGCTCGACAATGTCCTCTTTGTCGGAAGACTCCACCTGTTCTAAGTCTTCAACAAGGCCTTCTTCAACAGCCGACTCTGCTTTTGCCAATGGCAAGTGCTGAGCACTGTGATCTTCATCAGAAGACCCGGAGGAAATGAAAATTCGACTACTACGTGCCTTTCTCACAGCTCGTGCTGGTTCAGCTTCAAGCGCCCAGAACTTAGCCCTGCGTTCTTGACCCGTAGACTCGGAGGAAACTATTTGGCTCCCATGTGCTTTCTTCACAGTACTCACAATGGCCACATCTTCAACCTCAAAAGGTGTATGTGAAATGTGCTGCCCGGAAGACTCCAAATTTAATTTTGAGAGAGTTACAGCTGTATCTTCAGGCAGATCCTGCCCACCATTTTCTGCAACAACCTCAGCATCAGACACACTCGAAAAAGGTTCGGCAGTATCGTTAGACATTGCCTGTCTACTAGTTTTCGCGACAGCCTCATCACCTGACGAACTTGAGAGAGCTTCAGCGGAATCATCATTTTGTCCGATGTTTTTCCTTCTGCCCTTTGTCGACAATGTTTTGGCACTGGTTTTGGGGTCACAGTGCTCGGGCAACATTTCTTCGTGGTCACTGTGGTCATCATGATCTTGCACATCCGAATATGAAGACGATTCCTGCTCACTGCATGACTTTCCTGTTGAAGAGTCTAGTGTTGAAAAGTCCATAGAACTGCTGAGCTCCGGACACATATACAACTGTGGAGATGGCAGATCTTGAGGCAAAATTGAGCCTGTTGTAGACTCCGGGGAGCTGATCGGATCACCAGCGTCTACAAGCAATGTTGCCTTGCTAGTCTTGTAACACTGTGACAAAGTTTTTTTTACAGAAATCCCTACTGGCTCGTCTTGTGAACTTGAAGGACATAAAGGCCCCTTTATAGAGCTCAACATTGCTTCATCATCAACTTTAGCATCAATGTGCTTACATGACTTTTCTTGAGGTTTGTTGACACCGCTTTGCTTCGTTTCCTTCATTCCATGCCTATTGCGACTTAGCATGGCCAAAGAATCTGAATTTTGTGCACCTGAAATCGAACGCTGTCCATGCGCATGATGGTGAAGTGCATTTCCTCGAGAAGATACACAAGTCTTTTGCTGAACTTCCTTGTCCAGAGAAACTTCAGAAGCAGCAGATTCTTTTGGAGTTTTTAATGCAGTCAGCTTGTCATTCATTTCACCAGTTCCACCCGGTTTGCGCAAGGCCCGAGCTTTGCGAGCCCTCTTCCGCTTCTTGCGGTTCTTTCGGCGACGTGATGCTGCAGTTGTCTCATCTGCACAATTTCCAGCTCTGTCTTCACCTTCTGACACTTCTTCAGCCCCACTTGCATGTTCATAATCTGCGCAGCAAATGGGAATGTGCTGTCAACTTTTGGCTTTAACAACATGCTTTGAGAAAACTCACAGCCTAAAGGTTTGTTCAGTATATAACCACTGCATATAGATGTAACGTCCCAAGCCAGTTCAGGATATTTCATAAGCGCATTTTGCCAAAATTCTTTTAAATTGACTGAAAAAATGACAGCGAAGCTAAGTAGAGGCATTGTAACGCTCCAGTGACTCAACTTCACTACAAAACAAGAGGTCATCGGGGGCAGACCCCATGGACAGACACACCTGGCATCGCAGCAGAAGAAATGTCAAGCGTTTTATACTTAATACTGTACTGTTATTCCAATAAATAAATAATGCATACTTTCAAAGGAAAAAAAAGCGTGCTTCTTTTCAAGTGTAAAAAATAGTCCATTACATTTTGATGAAAAATCCGGAATGCAACGGCAGAGTAATGCATAACCTGGTGGTTAAACTTGCTAAGTTTCACTTCTACCTTATGGTTACGAAAAATTCATGCAGTAAGTTATACGCACAAAAGAATGAAGCAAGATTCAATAGGATATAACTTCAAACCCCTTTGTTTTACACTCGGCAAACAAGCATTGCGAATCTCAAGAACGCAATCTTTTCAAAGCAGATTCAAAGCCTGTACTTCCCATCATTCCCTTGGGGGCATAAGCGCCGCTGAAGGAGCCTGCGAAAACATCAGTGCCAAAGTCGCCTCTAGGTATTACTGTATGAAACTCTATGCTACATGTATACCACAGTCTCTGTAATGCAGAGTGGCACGAAATAAATCACGTGAAAGTATTTCAAACTAATACATAATAATCTGGATTGCACATTCAATAAACTCAGAAGTAAATACACGATGTCAGAGATAACATGTCGTAAGAGAGCTGTATCACATAGATGAATTCATAGTCAGGATAACATTGTTCCGCAAACACTTAGGTGTGGTGATTAAACAAAATGGTTTCAGACAATATAGGGTAATGTGGAGATGATTGAGAAAGGCCTTTGCCCTGCAGTGGCCATACATTATAGGGTGACAATGAAGACTCCTTACTATATAGTGGCAATGACATTACTAATTTCAGCAGTCAATTGTAAAACTTTCTCTGTTAAAAGCTAGCATTAAACTTCTGCAATGCAAGAAATACCACACCACATGAAGCACAAGTCTATTTGCTCAAGAGCAATTTTAATTTTGTCACAACTATGACAACCTTGCTGTCACAAATTTCGAACTGAAATAACACCTTACAAGGTTTAGAGAAATGTAGTTTCTTGCATAAGCTTTTTAGGTATAATAAACAGCACACAGAAGTGAAGCAATGACAGATGTGTGGAAATGTGCACCTTTTGGCCGTGTCGCCACAGCATCTTCGTTTTCTGCACTGTTGTTGGCCCCTTTATTCAATTCTTGTCGTCCGCTGCCGAGTTTTTTCGTAGGGGATTCAGCATTTTTCAAGACTTCATCACCAGTATCACCAGTGCTGTTGCAAAGAAGCCTGTCCAAGAATGCTCTCGTGTTCAGTGGAGAGTTGCTGACCTCACTGATGAACTCAGAGTTGGACTCGACGTCACTCTTGCGGGGTGTGGCGATGTTCAACTGCAGACGGCTCAGCGTTGCATCCAGAATTGCATGCAGCTGCTCATCCTCGACCTGAAACCAACAAAAAACACTGGAACTGGCCAAGCTGAGCAAAAAGATACGACTACTGCTGGAAACATTTGTCTTAAATTCAATTTCATGCACAGCAGGCTACACTACAAAAGCTAGACAATATATTTAAAGAGTGGTTAATTGAAGCACCGCTTTCAGACAAGACAGCATAGCTAACTAGACCTAACCAGTGTTCTAATACATGCATGGGTAAGCTTTGGGCAGTTGTGTTGCTAAGGCAGTTGGCCCGTGATTACGGAGCGCCGATAACAACATTAGACACAAGAGATGCTGAAGGTGCATGGTAATCACTAACTCGCAGCTGAAGTTTATTTCGATCGCAAACTACACCGCACATTTTATGCATAATGTGGCGTGCGCAACTTCCTTGTCCTGTTTTGAAAGGTGCTGTATGTTGACAATAACCTCAGTTGGCGAGTCTCGTGTCTTCCTAATGGTATTGTCCTATGTTGTATGCTCCTCTATTTTGCAGAAGGACATGTCACATGTCTCCTTCCGCAGAGAACAAAGAAGCATAGAACAATTGCGCTCTTAAAGAGACACTAAAGTCAGATAGCAGTTTACGCTAGAGTGAAAGCTCAATGTATGACATCTAAAATGACAATATTATGATAAGCAGAGCCCTACTTACCGAGAAATTAAGGGAAATGCACAAGAACACATGCACCGCAGTAGGACATTCTCAAAATGATACCGATGACGCTAGACGAACCACCTACAATTAATCACTAGTAATCGATCTAGCTGCACCAAATAAAGAGCCTTCCATGCATCAAAAGACGCAATAAAAAGCAGCTTGTTCGTTTCTGTTTGATTCATGAAAGAAAGAACCGCCGGACATTACTATGGCGAATGGCACAAGTGGTTCAAAAATTCAATTTTTCGCGTGGTCACACTGCACAGGTCGTGCCATCTAGTGGGGTGCAGATGAACCAAAGCACGTCTGCAATCTCGGAGCTAATGGCAGAAAATTGATCAATGGTCGTTGTTGCTGCCATGGCTGCCGCTGCTTTCGTGTCTACTAGTGTCGGCGACCGCGCAGTAAAGTTGGGCAATGTTGTGCACGGCAACAGTGAGGCGAGTCGGACCGCTTCTTGAGGCGGGTAATTTGAAGTGTGACAACGCGATGCAGACCACTAAAACATTATTTCATTTCAAAACAAGCCTTTCCTTGACACAGAAGTGACACTACGAGGTTTCTGGACCCCTACTTCAGCAACCAATGTTAACTTGATAGTTGCCTTTAGTGTCTCTTTAATATTTCTTTATTATGAACCAACCATCCCAATAACACGTTCTAGTATGTCACATGTCTAGAGTATTCACAAGCATGGCACTAATTATAGCCAGCCATCCAAGTCAGTTACTTTGAGATACCGCACTTAACCAAGAATGCTTAGCGTCCCATGATTAGATATGACACAGTAAGGCCACATCGCTATAAAGACAACATGTGAGCATTGTGGCAAAGCAGTACAAATAATGGGATGAAGAATATACAGGACACAGCACTGTGTCATCTATATTGTTTGTCCTGTCATTTGCACTGCTTTGCCACAACGTTCATAAACCAACTGGCCCACCTGCAAACCCTAGTGTTAACGTGAGCATTTTGAGGTCATTTCCCAAGCATACATGTCCACAATCAAAATGAATTCATCCTCCCTTAATGACTTGCATGAACTCACAGCAATAAACCGTTGCATGACTGAGTCTTCATAAATTTTATCCTCCAACATGCATTTTAAACTGCAACAATTGATGCCCCACACTGTGCGAAGTTACTTCAGGTGCCGTCTTCCTAATGTACTTTCAGGGCTTTGTCCCTTAAATACTGTAATGGGAAGGTTGAAGACGCCTTGCTATAGTGTGTTAAAATAGCCAATAGCCAACATTGTCGTTCGAAATTTCCAATGAAAAAAAAATAACTGCGCACTTTTATGATGTGAACATGGTACTGCAACAACTTAGCAAATAAGAGCTACAATAAGAAAATTACAGAGTCTAGAGCGACCCATTGCGGCTGTTTCTGGTTTCTTGCTCGTCCTTCACACCCTTCTCTCGCAGTGGAGAGGGATAGGGGTAGCCTTTTATAGTGACTACACCCACTTCACCAACAAAACGCAACATCAGCGACTGTGTGGCCAGCGTGCAACCAACGACAGAGCAAGGCTTTCCCCATATGTGCACGTCTCATAGCAGCCCAGGGAGGAGGAGCGGTGAGAGGAGTACAAGGTATCGGTTGGACAAGCACCCTTTCCCTGGCCGTCAGAGTAATGAGACTCGTCTCGGAGGCCTTCGTTATGACAGTACCACATCTCCCGTTAGTCTCCGAGCTCTACAAAACAGCAGAAGGCTGCACAGGAAAATGAAAATGCAGACTGTGCGGAAACTGCATCACCATAGGGTTAAAGCACTTTTTCGTAGTGCAATGGTTGAATCGAGAAGCTCAGTAGCACGTGATATAGCTCACGGGCAGGACTTCATCACTGCAGACATGAGGTTTGGACTGGCGTAGGGAATAGGCACTGGAATGGCACCTTGAAACGGAAGGTCTGAGCAGTGCGCGGCACTGTAACATTTGCAAAACACGATTGTCATGTTCTACTGTACGAATTAGTGAGCTTCTTTGGGGGGTTCGAATAGATTAAGGTTATCGAATCAATCTTGACTTCTCTTTTTCTGCTTTTCCATGCCAATTTATTTCCTGGTTCGAATTATTCACTTCATTACTAATGTTCGTGCTTGCCTATTAATCAATCTTTTTTATATTTTTAATTTTGTTTTATTTCTCCTCATTAAAGACCAAATACAGCATACATATTAATAATTTTCTTTGAAGAATACCCGCTTGACGGCCAATCCCTCCGGCGAGAGTGTGTGCCAGGGTTTCGAAGGGCTACTCTTACTCCACTATAAACCGCGAAGCGACATCTCTATGCCATGGTCAGTGAATTCGATATAAATCAATCGAACAGACAGCGCACAAACCTCGGCAGTCCTCGCGTCCTGTTCGGGCTCTTGAACCTCCTCGTCCGCGATCAGGAACACGTCCTCTTCGGAGGCCGCCGCGGCATCGCAAGTCGTCCTGATGCCGCCGCCACACTCCTCCAGGGTCCGACAGGCCTCCAGAAGCTCGGCAGGGTCCGACGCACTCTTGCAGAGCCGCGCGATCACTTTTCGGCGACACGTCGGCACCTCGGACCGAGGCAGCAGCGCGACCAGCGCGGACTGCGAAGAGAACCACTGCTCGAAGTCGAACTCCGCGGGCTCGATGGAAAGGACGACCGGCTTGACGGTCTTCCAACCACGTTCGGGTAGCCGCCTCGCGAGGCACGCGGCGCACACGACGAACTTGAAGTACAGCGCGGCGCTGGTGCACGTGCGCGGGCAGTAGGCCGCGAGCCGGCGAAACAAGTCCACCAGCTTCGACTGCGGATCGGTCGCCGAGGCGACCGCCGACGTCTGGACGAGCACGTCCCAAACCGCGTGCTTGTTGTTCGACAGGACGAAGCATATCTTGGTGAGGGTGCCGGGCTCGTCGCGAATGAGCGACAGGTCCAACAGGTACGAGAGCACGGCGCACTGGTGTGCCCAGTAGTCGAAACGGTCGCCGATCCGACCGGCCAGCAAGGTACGCGAACGTAGGTAAAGGTGAGACGACACATGGCATAGGACGTCGTTCAAGTCCCGGGACAGTCGATCGTCGTCGGGCGAACGTAACACGGCCCTGAGGGTTTTTCCCGCGTTGCGAAGAACGAACTGCAAGGCGCTGGCGAGGTCCTCGCAACACGAGGCGGTAGACAGTTGGCGGCGGGCGCTGTCGCGCCACTTGATCAGTCGCGTCGCGGCTTTGTTCGGGGCGTCCGACATAGCGACGACGCCGCGTAAGGATCCGCGAATTTTAAGCTCTCTGCGCCGCGGACGCTGTCACTGAAGTTCAGTGGGGAAAACACTTCGGTAGGCCAGTCATGCCACACAGCACGTATCCGAACATGTGCTCCATCACGGCGCTGTACATTTTTCACGCTTTTCTTTTTTTTTTTTTTGTAACAAAAACCACAGAACACCTACTTGATGTCGATGGCAATGTCGATTCCCGACAACGCGAAATAGGTCTTTGGTCGACGTACCGAAAAAGACAAAAAGATTTGTCAGGCAGTATAAAAACGACTCTATTTTTTGCAGTATATTAACTCTATGACTTTTCAGGACCGAATGGGTTCCAAAATGAAGGGAAAGTTTTAATTTTAGCATTACAAACAACATTTAGCATTACGAACAGACTGAAAGAGGCCGAAGAGTTCATTTTATTCGTTTGTGAAAAAAAAAAAGCTGTTTTGAAAATTTGCGACTATTATAAAAACAGTCTGAAATGTCTTAATGTTATCATTCACGCTCGTACATCACGAGAAAATAAACATAGAGGAAGAAAAAAATAATGTAGTGTTGCGTGCAAAACCATCATAAAAGTGTGATTAGGCTACTTAAAAAACCCGAAACAAATCACAGCGTATTCGCCTAATTAATGATGATGATTAAGGCGAAGCGTTCGTAAATTCGTCCGTCCGTCCATGCGCCGGTAAGAGCGTCCGTCAGTGTGTCTGTCCACCCGTCCTTCTAGCGAACACTTTTTTTTTTTATTCGGAAGGCTGCCCTTTGGCATAACAAGCATAGATAAAAACGACACAGGTTCATCACGCATAAACAAACCGTAACATGTGGACATGCGGATATGTGCCTGAGAGAGCGGGCATGTGCCACCGGTGGTTAAAACGGTGAAAAAAAAAAAAAAAATCGAGCAAGCTCCCCCGGTTTCATGAAGTTTCCTACAAATATAATTTTATGAAGCGATGTCTGGTTCCCCGCAATAGGACCAAGTGTACAGGACAGCGAGGCTGCCGTCTCTTTCGAGAACAGGGTTCTTTTCCAGAGGCGAAGGCAGGGCGCCTCGATGGCAACATACGTTACAGGAAAATCCCGGTAGCATTCCAGGGCGGACCTGTATCATGACTCGCCGAAAATGCGCGTTGGAACGCAAATGGCATTGCAAGTGCGGCTGCGCATGACGGTCCCCGCCGCATAGGTAGTGATAGAACGCGGCCTCAACCCTTGCATCCACTCCTGCGCCTATCATCACGAGTACGGGCCAAGGAGGTTCAAGGAGGTTAATTATACTATAACCTCCTTGGTACGAACCATTTCGGCGAATGCCAACTTCTCGAAGCACATATTTACCACACCTTTGCTAGGCGCCGCTCGCTGGTTTTCGTTACGTGGCAGGCGCTTGTCTTTCTTTCCCTTTAGCTAGTACGACAATCATGCGCCTTGATGTCCTTTCAAAATTTTAGGGACAATACATGCGCCTAGCTCTCCAACAATATATACCCCCACCCCCCCCCTAGAGCGCGCGCACACACACACACTTGGCCTTTAATTCTTACCTCACTCTCCCGAAGTCTTCTGCCCTTTCCCTCTCAGCTGCTTAGCTGCATTCTTATAAGAATAGAGGGAACTCTGACACTAGTGTCTATGACAATCATGCGCCTTGAAGTCCCTTCAAAATTTGAGGGACAATACATACAAGCGCCTAGCTCTCCAACAATACAGCCCCCCCCCCCCCCCCCCCCTCAAAGCACACACACACCCAGCCTTTCTTACCTCACCATCCCAGAGTCTTCTGCCCTTTCCATCTCAGCTGCTTAGCTGCATTCTTACAAGTATAGAGGGAACTCTGACACTAGTGTCTATGGGAGCTGAAACGCATGACACTTCAGCGAGCATGAGCATTACGGGTAGTACACTGATTTGCCTAGTCCTCATACTTCACGTTCCTTTTGCCTTCGCATGGCTCGAAGCTGCTTCGTCACGAAACAACAATCTGCAAATATTCAGCACTTGCGCTTCACCACGTTAATCATTTAGGCTTACCATTTCAAATCGGGTCACAAAGTTAAAAAGGGTTCATTCTTTCCTTGAAAACGAAACCGAAACACAGCATTAAAAGAAGCCTCAAGTGGGATTCGCCTCCCACAAGTACGTAGACTAGGCAAATCCGTGTACTGCCCATCATTCCCATGGTCAGTGAACAATCGCAGCCCCAGGGACCCCCCTAGTTCCTTTTAGGACACTCTATGCTTATATGCCCTTTGGTCACGCGACACCTACTACTGTTAGTACTACTACAACGAAACGACACATGGCAGACTTGATCAGTAGTAGTACTTAATGGTTTATTGTGGAAATGAAAAAGTTAATAGACTAAGATGACTTTGCTGTAAAAGGATGTGTAACCCATAATAGTGACAGCCCAAGTAATACGACTTCTCGGTTCATTCAGCTATGGGTCATTCCAAGTTAAATGTATGAGCCCGAAATTCGACTACCAGCAGTTTTAGTGAAAAAAAATTGGGCAAGAAAGTAACTGTGCAAATGCAATTTTAGTAAAGCATCTTCGTTAAAAAACTCACAGTTTTGGCGCAAGGCTGAAGCAATGAATACGATAACAACACATCGAACTGTTATACAACGTAAAGCTATTTAGGAACCACACGAAATGTAGTGAATACGGTCGAATGTGCGTTGAGCTTCAGCGTTTCTCGCACGCACAGCAGCATGCTATTTCGGTTCGCAGGCACGTATGCGAGTACGCCTTGCTTCAACGAGGCTAGCATTCCATAGTAGCTGTGTCACAGGTGTTCGTACAACATGCGGTAGCATCACTAAGGCCGAACTACATAAAGCGTTTTCATCAATTGATACTGCAGAGTACCAGTCCTCAACTTCACTATTTGAAAGAAAAAAATGCCCTCAGATCTGGATGACAGCCCGGAGGAGCTCCAATATGTGCTGTCTTCAGTAAAACGAACAAGTTCACCAGGAACAGATGGAGTTACATATGCTGCTCTTGCTAATTTGTGCAAAAAAGGAAAATTACAGCTGCTGGACATCTATAATAAAAGTTGGCAAGAAGAAAAAGTTCCGGAAAGCTGGAGGATATCAAAAGTAGTACCGTTGCTAAAGCCAGGGAAGAGCCCTATGCAGTTGGACTCGTTTAGGCCAGTTAGTTTGACAAGTTGTTTTTCAAAAGTGATGGAAAAAATGATCAATGAACGAATTTTATGGTGGCAAGACATGAAAAAACTACTACCAGAAAGCATAGCCGGCTTCAGAAGAGGTAGATGCACAATGGACTGCATTCTGGATTTGATCACAGGTGTGGAAAACCAACGAACGCAAGGAAACATCACTGTCGCTGTATTCCTTGATGTCCACCGAGCATACGACACAGTGAGTCACGTTCACGTTCTGGAAAGCCTGGCGTTACAGGGATTCAAGGGCAAGATACTGCGTTGGATCGCTGACTTCCTGAAGTACCGGAAAAGTTTTGTAGTTACGCAGGAGGGCCCAACATCGGAACATGTCGTCAACCCAGGAGTGCCACAGGGCAGCGTGCTAAGCCCTACTCTCTTTAATGCAGTCATGGCGCAGCTCCCGTATAATCTTCCACCTAACATCAGATGTTCAGTATATGCTGATGATATAAGTATATGAACGTCTGGTCCATCGTTTTTGGATGTACAACAAACTCTACAAGAAGGATTGGATTATGTAGACCGTTTTCTAAAAAAAAAAGAGGTATGGCACTGAGTCTCGCTAAAACAGCCATACTTCTGTTTACATTAAAAAGACCTGGAAATTTCCAGATTACTCTGCAAAATCAGCCTATTCAAATGGTTAAAACTCATAAATTCTTGGGAGTAATTTTAGACCGGAACATGGTCGCCTCATGTCCAGTCCCTGGAACAAAAAGTGAATCAGGCCATTCGAATCCTCCGGCATCTCTGCGGGGCCAAATGGGGTGGTACTACAGAGTCGTTATTAGCCCTACATGTTGCCTGGATACGCCCCATCGTAACTTACTCACTGCCTCTGCTGCACGGACTCCCAGCCTCCACCGAAAGGAGACTTCACTTGTTATTGGCAAGGAGCTTGAGGGTATGTCTGGGTTTACCACGATCAACTTCCAGTACTTTAGTGTATGCGGAGGCTCGAGAGCCACCTTTGGCAGTACTCCGAACTAAAGAAACATCTCGAAATTTATTTAGAATTCTCACGCAACATGAAAGTCATTTTTTATCTGGTGTACTAATACAAAGGATGGCAACGAGACTACAGGATACTATATCATCATTTCAAGCAGTAGTACCAGAATTTAAACAATGGAAACCTTCAAAACCACCTTGGACACTGCCACTTCTCAACGTTATCCGTGAAATAGACGGCATAGAGAAGAAAGCAGACATGGCACCTCTAGTAGCGGCACAGTTGGTACTTCATCAGCTTCATGTAATGCATAATGAAAAAACGAAGATATATACAGACGGATCATGCACAGAAGAAGCGTCAGCCTGTGCGGTCTTTATACCCGAAATTCAGAAAAAGAAGATGTACAAATTATCGCACAAATCTTCATCGATGACAGCAGAATTGGTGGCTATCTTTGAAGCAGTTAAGCTTATCTGCGAGAATCCTGAGCCATAAAAATGGGTGATATGCACTGATAGCAAACCTGCTCTTCAGCTAATCAGAAATGCGAGATCACCTTACAAAAATGGTGAAATAGCACAATGTATCGCAGAAACTGTGGAATATGCCTCATCGCAGGGTCACAACATCGTATTCCAATGAATAACCAGCCACATTGGAATAAAGGGAAATGAAGATGCTGATAGTCTTGCGAAGAAAGCATTGAAAGAAGGACGGGATTGCGCAATCCCTATGTCTGGGGCGGATATTCCACATTTTATATCGCAAGGAGCTAACCATTGTACGATGGAGAAGTGGTTTGAGAGCCCTAAATCAAAGGAAATGGTACTTTATGAAGTTGATCCACACAGAAAATTTTCCATAGCGACAGACCTCCCACGACACCTAGAGACATTGATCCACCGATTTAGATTGGAAGTAGCATACACAAA